TGGAAAAAAAAAAGAAAAGGAAAAATATAATAGCGTTGTGCCTTTTATGTTCTCTACCTTCTCCGTGTCTATCCCTTCCCTTTTGGGATATTTTCGCCGCGTGGGAGAGATGTCGACACTCTGTCGCCGGAAGTCAATCGGAATCCACCGCACCTTCTAGCTTCAATCCGCTTGATTTTATATTCTTTCTCTAGTATCTCATACTCCTCAACTATTCTGCTCCAGTCTCTCCCTTTTTTTTTTGTAAGCATCTGTCGAGGTTTCTCACGAAAGGTGAAGAAGCTTCTGGTGGTAGTTAACAATCGGATTTGGGTAGTTTAGAGGTATTTCTAGGGTTATCAGCTTTTGATTTGATGGAACCAAGAGTCGGAAACAAGTTTCGGCTCGGACGGAAGATCGGCGGTGGATCATTTGGAGAGATCTATCTTGGTATGCTCTTAATTGTTCTTGCTTCTTCTCGAATTCAGCTCTCGTTTGTGGTTACTGAATATCTGCGTTTGTTTAGGTACCAATATCCAGACAAATGAAGAAGTGGCTATTAAACTTGTAAGTATTCGAGAACCAAATGAAGTGACTATCGAAGTAGATCGATCATCGAATTAAAGATAATCTAGTTTTGGGAATGTGAGAGGTTTATTATTACGTTTGGTAAATGCTGGACAGATATTCTCATTAAATAAAGAATGAATTTTCTCGGAATTTGGAATGAAAGCTGTGATTGTGTTGGCATATGTCTACAAGTCTTTTATGCTATTGCTTGGTCTTTCTTAGCTTTGTAGCTTCTTCTTTTACCTGTCTAAGGGGCTTGTTAAAATCGATTCCAGTAAAAACATAGGTATATTGCTTGTGCTTAGACGGAAAAGGAATAAAAGATATTCATTTAATAGGCTATACACAGCTATAAGCAGTTACTACTGGTCATGCGATTGTTTATTGACTGAATTAGCTGAGTTATTCCTTTCCTTCATTTTGATTTTCTATGAATGTTTTCATTCAGTTCTCAGTTAAATCAATGCTTTTGGATTCAACCTGTTTTTCTTTTTTTTGTAAGAACTGAAAGCTATTATTTGATTCTTGGCAAGATAGTGTAATTAATGCTGAATAAGCTCTTAGTGTCCACGACAACGTTACCTGCAAGTGGTGGGCCCAACCTGTTGAAATATTTGACAAGTTTGTTGTGGCCGAAATAGGGATGGAGAATTACGAGGCTGACAGCTATACCATATTATTTGTATTGAACGTTGGTTGCCTGTTATAAATATGCCTCTCTTTTTTTTTCCTGTTACATCTTTGCACTGGTTAAGTATGTTCAATCAAATCCTCATGATTGTTTTCATATTCCTTTGTTGTTCTGCTATGTGACAGATACATCCTAGTCTGGCTGCTCTGTTTGTTGTATATGTTCTGACGGCATCTTTTTACCCTTTTCCAGGAAAATGTGAAAACTAAGCATCCTCAGTTGCTGTATGAATCAAAATTGTATAAAGTACTACAAGGAGGAAGTAAGGACTTAATTCTGTACTTGTTTAAATTTGCATTTTCTGGTTTCTTCTTTCTTATCCAAGAGAGGTTGGTTTCCTTTCCTTGATTTTAGCCGGCGTTCCAAACGTTAAATGGTATGGTGTTGAAGGGGACTATAACGTCCTTGTCATAGACTTGTTGGGGCCTAGCCTTGAAGATCTATTCAATTTCTGTAGTAGGAAACTTTCACTAAAGACTGTACTAATGCTTGCAGATCAAATGGTAGTATCCTGTCTATTGCCTGAGAATAGTGTTCCCACGTTGAATAGGGATATTGGCAAAATATTTAGGATACCTTTTTGTTCTCTTTGTCAGATCAATCGCATTGAATTTGTTCATCAGAAGTCTTTTCTACACCGAGACATCAAGCCTGACAACTTTCTGATGGGTCTTGGGAGGCGCGCAAATCAGGTAGCTGTTGAAAAGGGTTGTTTCTAAGATTTGTTTATTTTCCTCAATTTTTTGCTTAATGAAGTTTTGGCCGAATACAGGTATATGTCATTGACTTTGGTCTGGCAAAGAAGTATAGAGACTCAAATCATCAGCATATTCCATATAGGTTGGCCATATCCCTGTAATTTTCCTTGTGAAGCCTGTGCTTCTATTACTTATGTGTGCACAATAGTGGACTAGTGTTGATAGACTATACGAATAATGGGTTCGAGCCAGTGCTAGAGTTTGCTTTAATCTTCTACTAGCCTGTGCTGTCTAACTTGAGGTTCTTCTATGCTATACAACACAATAGACACTGCAGTCTAGATGTCTCGATGTCTCTTACCTTTTTGTTGTTTTTCCCCTATCTAGAAAAATGGGCCTATTTTCCTTGGTTTTGAGTATAGTGGTTGCTTCACGTTCGATGATTGAAGTATATGATGTATCAGCTTAGCAATTATAATCCTAAAATCTTGTGTATCACAGGGACAACAAAAACTTGACTGGAACTGCTAGATACGCCAGCATGAATACTCACCTTGGCATTGGTATACCAGTTCATTTAGTTTATAAACTTTGAAATTATTTTAAAAACGTATTTTGAATAGCAATCGTCATTTGTATTACAGAACAAAGTCGTAGAGATGATTTGGAGTCACTTGGATTTGTTCTCATGTACTTCCTAAAGGGAAGGTATGTAACTCTCTTCCATGTTGGCCTGTTTTTAACGTTTTTTAATAGGGCAGCCTTTGGCTTACTTACCCAATTAAATGTAGTCTTCCGTGGCAAGGACTGAAAGCTGGCAATAAGAAGCAAAAGTATGAGAAAATCAGTGAAAAGAAAGTGTCGACATCTATTGAGGTAAAATAATCTTCCAAGACTTGTGTTGGTGATACTTGTGGTCTAATACTGATTGAGTATTCTTTTCATCTTTTAGTCTTTATGCCGAGGATATCCATCTGAATTTGCTTCTTACTTCCATTATTGCCGTTCCCTGAGATTCGATGACAAGCCAGACTATGCCTACCTGAAACGGCTTTTCCGTGACCTGTTTATTCGTGAAGGTCTGATACCCTAATCACTTCTGTTAATTCCAGTCCAGTGAAGCAAATATAACTTGAACCAGTCAAGTAACATGCTAATTAAATTTTGCGTTGTCCTCTGCTCATATTTTAGGCTTCCAGTTTGATTATGTATTTGATTGGACTATCTTGAAGTATCAGCAATCACAGATTTCTACTCCTCCTCCCCGTCAACATGTAAGAATCATGGTTTTAAAATATTTTTGAATTTTATCTTTCTACTTAAAATTCTGCTGATGTACATATCTTTCTTCCAGGGTCCTGGAGTTGGGCCAAGCTCTGGCCTCCCCCCTGCCATTGCTAGTGCTGAGAGGCCATCAGGTTGTTCCATCTCTTTTAATTTTTTGAGTAGTTTCTTCCCCATGTTTTCAAAAGACATATAACTTTGATCCTTTGCTCTAGAGGGACATTTGGTTTTACCCATTTGATATATTCTTTGGTTCCACTGCAGGTGGAGACGAAGCTAGACCTTCTGGCTGTGCATCCGGAAACCCTAGACGAAGTTCTGGACAAATTTTTAACTCAGGAAGCTTAGCTAAACAAAAAACACCAGTTTCTTCAAGTGATCCTGCAATATCTAAAGATGTGGTGGTGAGTATATAAAGTTTTACATATGTTGTTATACAGGCGTCTTTTTTTTAGCTCCTGTTCTGAATAAATGAACATAACGTTCTGTAAGTTTTACATATGTTGTTATACAGGCGTCTTTTTTTTAGCTCCTGTTCTGAATAAATGAACATAACGTTCTGTAAGTTTTACATATGTTGTTATACAGGCGTCTTTTTTTTAGCTCCTGTTCTGAATAAATGAACATAACGTTCTGTAAGTCTTGGAGACTCAGCAACGGGTTGTATACAAATAGCTGAAATCTTGTACAACTGAAGTCTTGTAGTATCATGTTGTGTAAGCATGACCCATTGGATTCTTATTGTTTATATAAATAGTAACTGAATTGTTTTGTTCGTGACAGTTATCTAGCTCTAGCTTTCTCCGCGCAACTGGGTCATCAAGACGTGCTGCTGTGTCCAGTAGTCGCGATGCTGGAGTTCTTGGAACTGATTCTGAGCCATCAAACCCTCAAATCTTTGAACCTGGATCAGGCTCCAACACAAAGATGCAAGGAGGTCGAAGCTCCCCTATCGTCTCATCTGAAAACAACAAGCTATCATCTCCTTCCAGAGGAAATACTTCAGTCATGAAGAACTACGAGTCCAATCTTAAAGGGATTGAGAGTCTGCATTTTTAGTCACTGGGGGGACGATGGATGATCTTAGACCCCGGGACAAGTGTAAATTAAAAGACTAAAGAAAACATCTCTTAGGCCCTCCCCATGTTTTACTTGCATTTGTGTTTACAGGGAGGGAGACTTTTACTTGTGCTTGTAAGCACTCTCAAATAACAAAGATAAAGAAAGACTCTGAAGAAGTGATTCCAGGGAAAGACAAACTCAAAAGAGGGTTGTGAGATCATAGAGTCAAAGACTTGAACCCTTTTAGTCCTCATTTGGTCTTTTTTACAGGCTCTGTTGTGTGTCTTTCGTGCCTCTAAAGGGGATTTGATGTGTTTGCAACAACAAAAAAAAGTATAAAAGAAAGAAAAGTTTCGTTTCATTAAATTTGCAATTTTGCATCACTCATGTTTCAGACGGTTGTGAGGGTAAATTGTCATTTTTATTGGTAAATACTAAATACTGAAAGAAGAAGAAACCATCACTGATGTACGTAAGCAATAATTGTACTGGTTTGCCTTAGAAGAGGACACGAATGTTGCTTATGTCATATGCCAAGTTGAGACCTTAAGAGGACATGAGAGTTGCATGTTATGTCATATACTCATATTACTATACTTAATGTCTATGAATGCAATCAAGGCCATTAATCGTGGTCACTAACAATTGATCATAGCTTTAATGATTCAGCCTTTAAAATCTTCTTGTTACAACAATCATAATAACATTGAGTTCACGATAGTGGAATCTTATCTGATGGATCAACGAGGAGAAATAAACAAGAATCAAGAGAAGAAAGATTGAGAAGATTTTGTTGTCGGATCACCACAAACCATAGACAGCATTTGAACAAGTCTCCTTGAACCATTTGAAGCTCTTCCTCATAGATCCCTTCACTCTCCCTTCAACACCATACACGTTATAAGCAGCCACTCTCTTCTTCCTCTGAATCTCTGCCTCACACAACCCCTTTAACCCTTTCTTCCCCTTAGTGTTGCTTCTCTTGGATTTACTGTTTGGATTGTCTCTCACCATTGTTGAATTCTTGTGTGGACTATAAGTTGATGTACTGTAAGATCTCACCATCACTGGAGGCTGCTGATTTGTTGGGCTTGGTGCTGCTTCTGATTTTCCTCCATTGCTTAAGCAATAGTATTTGTTGGTGATGCTACTGCTTCTGATCTCTGCTCTGCATGACTTGGATCTGAACATTTCTTTCCACTTGCAACAACCTCAAGAAATGGCTCTGCTTTTAGGAAGAAAAAAGGAGAGCTCCTTTTGGCTTTTATCTCCAACCTCTTTCTCTTCTTCTTTTTGTCTCTTGTGATTTATGTGATATAGAGAATACCAAGTTATTTTTTATTCATTATTTAGTTTAGTAATTACAACTTCAACATCTAATTAGTTCATTGAAGTTTTTTGTTTGAATATCGTATGTCGTATGTTTGTTACATTATTTAAAAACAAATTTTAGAGATTAAATACTAAAGCACGGTGCTTTAAGCACCTAGTACACTTTTGTTGCATGTTTTATTCTTCCTAAGAAAATTTTGAAAGATCTCATATTCTCATGTCCTTCGGGTTTACACATGGCCGCTGCTTACTAGCCTTACTTCATGGATTCGAGGGGCACGTCTCGAATTCCAAATAATTATCTAATATTTATTCATTTTTTTTTTAATTACATTGGCCGAAACTTTGATGTGCACAACCACATAAAACCTAAGTTGAACAATATTTCATATAACACAAAAATTTGACTCACACCCTCTGTAAAATTAAAAAACCTTCGATTACAGACTATCCTTGTGACTCACGTTAACAAGATAGTTATAAAATAAAGCCGAAATTCTTGAGTGCCAAAAAACAAAACCATTGTCATGAGTTCTTTTCTCATTTTGCCAAAAAACTATAAATAACTCTAATAAGTAAGCTGGAAACAAAGAGAAAAAACATAGGAAAACTGCAAAAAAAGGAAGGCAAAATCAGCAGTTTTTCGGTAAAAACATAGAAATTACCAGGCCGCCGCAAACAGTAGAGAGAGAGAGATATAAAAAAAGAACTCAGAGAAGATCAGCAACATTGCTTGGCAACTCCTCAACGACGACATTGTAAAACTTCTGAATATCAGACAACATTCTTTCATCATCCGTTGTCATGAAGTTGATCGCCACTCCTTTCCTCCCAAACCTTCCACTTCTTCCGATACGGTGAAGGTAATTCTCCGGCTGTGTTGGGAGGTCAAAGTTAATGACCAGAGACACTTGCTGAACATCGATACCACGTGCAAGAAGGTCAGTGGTTATGAGGACACGGGAAGATCCAGACCGGAACTCACGCATGATGATGTCTCTTGTGTTCTGGTCCATGTCTCCGTGTGTGGCAGAGACCGTGTGGTCACGGCTTCTCATTTTGTCAGTTAGCCAATCAACCTTACGCCTCGTGTTCACAAAGATGACGCTCTGCGTGATAGCGAGTGTCTCGTAGAGATCGCAGAGTGTCTCGAGCTTCCACTCTTCTTTATCAACATTGACGTAAAACTGCTTGATACCTTCAAGAGTCAGCTCGTCACGCTTGACCAGAATCCTGACGGGTTTGTTCATGAACTTCCTTGTGATCTCAAGGGCTTCCGGTGGCATTGTGGCAGAGAAAACACCGACCTGAACCTTGGAAGGAAGAAGCTGGAAGATGTCGTATATCTGATACAGAAATCAAGTCGTAAGAAAAAGAAGGATTGATTTGATTTCATCATAGAGAGAAAACAAGACTAAACCTGATCCTTGAAACCACGAGAGAGCATCTCATCAGCCTCATCAAGAACAAACATTTTGATGGCATCAGCGCGAAGGGATTGTCTGCGTAGCATGTCAAAGACACGACCAGGGGTTCCAACAACGACATGGACACCTGACTGAAGAATACGTTGATCCTCACGCACACTTGTTCCGCCAACACAAGCGTGAACCTTGACACCGAGATAGTCACCAAGTGCCCTCATAACCTTTTCGATTTGCTGGGCGAGTTCTCTGGTAGGGGCCAAAACAAGAGCTTGGCACTGAACATAAGCGATATCAAGCTGCTGCAAGACGCCAGAGCAAAAAGTGGCGGTTTTTCCAGTTCCAGATTGAGCTTGCTGGATCACATCAAGACCCTTGCAGAATGGAATAATCCCTCTCTGCTGAATAGCTGAAGGCTTCTCAAAACCTGGAATAAGGTGACCAATGACATTCAGTTAATCTAAAGCAATGTCACAGAAGCACAGTTTAAGAGTGACTTTGAAACAATCAAAAGAAAAACAGTATACAATAAAGGTAAACATTGTGTTCCCAAAACGAAATATCTCAAGCTTACCGTAAGCATAAATGCCCCTCAGAAGATCCGACTTCAATTCCATTGCATCAAAGCTATCGCAGACTTCGTCATAGGTCGTGTAGAATGTTTCCTCTCCTTCCTCGCCGAGTCTGCAAAGTATCACACAACTCAGTTCTTGGTATCGATTTTCTTGTTAAAGACAGTGATTCAGATGCTCGATAGTAAATTAACTTACAACGCATTCATCTTAGTATCGAACTGACGAGGATCATACTGGGTTCCTTCAGATGCCATTCCTGCCATGACTGGAGAAACATAACAGAATCTAAGTGAACCTTGTAAGGAAAACAGTTTTCAAGAGAGCAAAAACCACCTCAAAACATTCAATTTATAATCAAACTTTGTCTCAGATCCCAAAACAACTCGTACAAAGAAAAAAAGGAAACTTTTTTTTTTTTATGATACAAGCACGAAGAGAAAGCAGAATCAAATCAAGCATAAAAAGCTTCTTTTTTTTTTCAATGATAAGACTATAAATCTATCTTAGTAATATCAGTTGTACAACCAAAACAGAACAAGTCGCACGTTAATCCAATATCTCAATACCATCGATACTGTACAAAAATCAATCTCTAACGAATCAGCATTGCATACGATGAATCAAATACGAATCAAAACATAGATCCTATAAGCACAACGAGAGAATACAACCATATTCATAAAAATAAAAATAAAGAGAGATTCAAACCTGCTATTAACAAACTGAAGAGAGATTGAAAAAGAGATCGAGAGAGAAGAAAGATTGAAAAGAGACAAGACCAAAAACTCCTCGGATCTGCGCCGTGGAGTTGAAGAGGAAAAAAAAGCTATAATGACTGCTTCGTTGCTTTATATAGTTCCACCGTTTTTTGTTACGGTCGCGTGTGTGTTTTTTTTTTTTTTAGGTCTCAAGTAGGAAAAGGAAAAAAAACATTAATATCTTCTTTTTCCGATTTGCCCTCCCAACTTTCACTATATTACGACTTTTTCTACTTTTGTTCCTTTCGACATAGTCGGGTCCCAAAACATGAAAGCTGAAAGAAGAAAAGCTAACTTTTTTCTGACCCTTTATTATTCGAACAACTTATCTTGGTTCTTATATGAAACAAGAAATAAGATAAAATTATACGACGATAATTTCACTAGTTATAAAACCAAGAGGAGCTTCTCAAAATTACTCACAAAACAGAGCCACGCCCAGTAAATTAATTAATTTTTTTTAGGGTATATATCAACAGCTAAACGGAGACTCTGGCATTGGTTCGTGTACTAGCTGGGCAGCCAAAGAAAGTCTTCAAAATCACAAGTTAAGATGATTTCATTATGAGAAAAGGCCTCGGCTAAACGGAGTCTGAATGAGAGCTCAGAGATATGTCCCGTAGACTCAAGCCAGGAGCACAAGCTCGCCACGACAACCTGCAAAACAACATATCACCACAACGTTAAGACACTTTATGTGAAGGAGAAGAACGACAAAATGGCAAAGTCTCAGTTTTTACATTGTTCATGTATCTCTTTAGCTAACTCCAGCAGGATTTCAGTTTCTTCTGCAAGCTTAGTCATCTTCTCCAAGTCTTCTACTGCTACTTTCGCAACACCTATTTTGTTCTCTGCCTCTACAACTTTACACGCAGCGGTTATTGCAGCTTCCTCGATCATCTCTTGCGAAACGGCCGGAGCCTGATTGTTTGATTGCCTAGGTTTTATGTTTGTTGTCTCCTTTAGTTTTAGGGCAGGCGTCCTTGTCGCTCCTGGTCGATCGGGTAACTTATAGAAGTTCTGTAACTGCTGTGTGTTGGATTGAACAACACAGAAATTAAGAGAGAGAGAAAAAAAGGAGCTATATGGCATGAAGAAAGAAGAAAACTTTAGAGAAACATGATGACGAGGGATTCTCTCTTTATATTTAGCATTAGATCAAGAAGCTTGAACCATTCACTTGTTTAGCTTACTGGTTCAGACAGATATGGACAAGATGGTTCTACGCGCCATTTCACAAGATGGTTTTGTATGGGAAGTTATAAAAAGAAAATGTGACACAAAAGAAAGAAAAGTGAGTTTTAAGACTTACAGGTTTTAAGTTGCTAACCTTTACAAGTTTGCCCTGAGCTGCAAGCCTTCTTAGTCTTGAACTAAGGACTCTTCTAAAATTTGGCGGCACTTCATGTCTTGGCTGCTCTTTCCACAGTAAACCATAAGGTCCATAAGGAAATGTTAAGGGATAAAAAAAAAATAACAGAGAGTGACCCAACCCCAACTTAGAGTAAAATCAAGAGAACTATAACATCATTCCATAAACGTCAGAGTACAGATGATTAACATTGTAAAACTTGACTTTTAGAACTTAGCTATCATTTGAGAATGACGAATCATATGAAAATCGCTGATGGTAATAATTTAAACCTTCTTATATTCAATTTTAAAACACCGGCCCATTTGCGTCCTTGCAGTTGGAAAATGTACTAAGTGATTATATTCAGAAGCTAGACAAGATAGTGTAGATGTTCAGATGTGTCTAACATATTGTTGCTCATAGTATGGATCAGAGCTTCCTACCTCATGATATCAAGGACACAACAGATTTGATGAGCAAGTAATGTTCCATGCATGAAAAACTCAAGTAAAAAGAGGCAGATGGACACTCTAAGGAATAAACCTACTACACTAATTCATAAACCGAGGATGTTATATATCCTGACCAAGTTGCTGAAACCTAAATGTACACCTCAAGTACAATCAACCATTTGTAAACGCCCATGCAGAAACAGTTTACATATGCAAATAACAAAGCTACCACTTCCCCATGTGTAGATTGTGAGTCTCAACCAATAAATCAGGCACAATGAGGTTCTGACTTCTGATCAATGCAAAATGAAGAGCAAAGAAGAACTTGTCTAAACCTCGATGAAGCTGAAAATGGAACCGACATCGGATCCGTTTGCATCCACTAAAGAAGAGAGAGCTTCAAATATCATCCCGTCATACCTGAAACTAGCAACTCATCAGATGTTTAGCAACGCATGAATTAATCTATTAACGATTGGTACTTAGGATTGATAGGCTATCATTTTTGGAACTGGGCAATCTGCATAAGTTCTGGTCACTTCCAAGCAGGAGAAACAGAAGATAAAGAAAGACCTGGGGGCGTTCTTCGTATCCACCACAATGTTACAACTGTTATCAATGCTAAACTCAGTAGATGCACTGCGACGAAGGGAAGTAGCTGGTGAAGGTGAAGAGTTATCATTAGGAGGTGGAGTAGTGGTAACTGCAACTGCAGCCGGAGTGACTGCTTCATCTTTGACTTTTGTCGGCCTTGCCTTATCCTTTGAGCATTGAGTACCGGGGGAAACACTCAAGTTACGCCACTTATCCTAGAAAGTATTAAAACACATATATAACTACAGATTCTTGTTCAAAGGGTTAACATGTAAAAGAGTAAAGCCATTGCAAAATTCTAATCACGAAAATGGAAAACAAATGAAGAAGAAAGTAATACTTTTTCCACCTCAAAGCTACTAGGTTACAATTTGTACACTTGACTCAATCAAAAGCAATTTATAGGGTTCATAATTACTATCAACAAATCCTATGACTAATGATAAGAGGCGAAATTAATCACAAGGGAAGAATAAAAGATAGTTCATAATCTGGTTTTAAGCCTCGAAGAACATAGATTATCAACCCAATCCCAAAAGGCCAAAACTTTAACCGCAGGACCGGGCAAAGATTTGCCCTTTTAAGGATCTTAAACTTAATTCCGACATGACTGAGTACAGATTTCATTCCCGGTTGGTCTCAAATTCGATAGATTACGTTTCAAAGACAGTGGCTAAAGTAGTCAATGTGGAATAGACAGAAGAGAAAAAAAAAAAACAAACTTTGAGGTCGATGTTGGAGCGATTGGTGAGCTGATCAGCGAATTCGGGATCCCGGAGAATGTTCTTCCACTTCCCGGCGCCGTGCTTCGCAATTCCGGCGAGCAACGCCTCCTCTTCCTCCGCCGTCCACTTTAATTTCTGGTTTCCCATTATAACCTTCTGCCTTTCACCTCCTGCTCTCTCCTTGTCGCAGCGAATGTGTATTTATACACAATCGGAGTATAATCGGAGTCAGACGACGGCTAGTCGGCGTAAATTTTGCCGGAAGTTTCGATTTTTTTCTGGCTCTGCGCAGATTAACCCCTTCTTTTGGGATTGCGAGAGTTTGGAGTCTGTAGAAGTTTTGGTTGCTGTGACCCCAAAAAAAAAAACGATTCACAGTGTCCTAAAAAGTCTAATTACGCACTAAAAAGAAATGAAGTTTGGTTTTAAACCTTTTAATTCTTTTATTTTAGAACCCTCACTAAATTGTGTACATATAAATGTTCCCCAACTTTTTGTTGTTGTCACGATGTATATTGTAGTAAATTGTTTATAAAAATTCAAAAGTTAAACGGGTTAAATATGTGAAAATGAAACTTCTGGGGGTGAAATTAGAGATATCAGTATACAGTGTGGCTGCAACCGAAAACCAAAAAGATAGTAACAAAATTGGGTTTAATTATAGAAAAATAAAAACTATTGGGGTCAAAATCGAATCATAAAACGTCTCTGGAAACAACTGGAACAAGTCTTTTTTCACGGAGCTAACCAAAGAAGAAGAGTTTTCCTAAAAACCCTAAAAAACACAAATACAGTTTTAGATTCATTTCTCCTTTCCGCAACCAAAACATCGGAGAGAAAGCTACATCACACGTTTCTCGGTCGTCTCTCTCTCTCTCTATTGCGAGACCATCGAATCCCTAACCCTAAACCTAAACCTAAACCTAGACCACAACAACAACAACAAATCTCTCAATCTCTCTCTCTGTATCCATGGCGGCCAATAACGGATCCGATCACGGATCAGACGAGAACACGCGTCTCTACAATCCATACCAGAACTTCGAGGTCCCAATCAAATCTCAGTACCTTTACAAGCTTCCTACCTCCCCTGAGTTCCTCTTCACGGAGGAGTCGTTGCGGCAGCGTCGATCTTGGGGTGAGAATCTCACCTTCTACACCGGAACCGCTTACCTCGGCGGCTCCGTTGCCGGCGCTTCCGTCGGCCTCTTCACCGGATTCAAGAGCTTCGAATCCGGCGACACTACTAAGCTCAAAATCAACAGGATCCTTAACTCCTCTGGTCAGACCGGTCGAACCTGGGGTAACCGGATTGGTATCATTGGGCTGATCTACGCAGGTATCGAGAGTGGCGTCGTGGCTGTGACTGATAGGGACGATGTTTGGACCAGTGTGGTGGCTGGTCTTGGAACCGGAGCTGTCTTCAGGGCGGCGCGTGGGGTTAGATCTGCGGCTGTGGCTGGTGCTCTTGGTGGTTTAGCGGCTGGTGCTGTGGTTGCAGGGAAGCAAGTTGTGAAGCGGTATGTGCCCATTTGAAGAAGAATGTGAGTCTAATTGGAAGACTCGTCGTTGTTGAAATTTTTGATAGGGAGAAGAATTTGATAGGTTTCGTATGTCTTTGGAATCATGAAATTGAAAAACTTGTGTTGGTTTCAAAGGTGTACAAATCTGTATGTCATAATGCAGTTCACTTTGAAGAATAACCTGCAAACCTTTTTTATATTTATACTCATAAAAGTGTCTTGCTTGCTTGATAGTTTCTGATGAGTTAGTGTCCTGTGCTATATTTCATGCTAATGTTTGATCTATGTGTTGTATCAGACTTCTTTCAAGCATTTCTTAACATTTTATGGCTTTTACCTATTTCTGTCTTTTCTTATCCCGAGGAAAGTGAGTATGAATGTTAGTTGATTCTCAAAGATTGTATTTTTATTTGCATCGGTTTCTATGTCACTGGTGTCTTTCTGTTCTTAAGCATTTCATTTTTGTCTCCGGGATTTTGCAAGCCATGATGTGGGATCAGTCCACAAAAGTCTTCCTGAGGTTGTGGTTTATGTCCCTCAAGTCTTAGGCATATCGTGCTTAGGGACTTTGGCAACTGCTTTTGTTAATTTATGTCAGACGATGCTATAAAAACAAACAGCGTCCTCAAATGTTTCTCCTTTCAAAGTTAATTGTACAATTCAAAAAGTCTTGAAATTTCAGTGTTTGCAGTTGCTAAGAAAATACTATGTTCAGTTACAGAAGATCATGTTCCTGTAACACGATGTTTCAATAATAATAAACAAAACATTCTTTAACAATGATGCATTTTACATGACCAAAACTACCAAGTGTTTTCATATACAAGATACGGGACTCCACTCCACACTATGGGAGATCACCCCACTGAACTCTGGATGGAGCACAGCTCATGAAAGACCAACGATTGCCTTTGTATTGGCCTTTATGTGATCTTGGAGGTCGACTTCTTCTTGGTACGGAGTGATTACTGGACGGATCTGGATCTTCGTTGATCTCAGGTGCTATTGCCATTGTTAGCTTCTGGTTGATCTACGTCGAATTTCCATGTTTTTTTTGTCAATACTCAATAGGATTTTCTCATTTGATCTTCTCTCTACATGGCAGAGACATGATCATGAACTGTGAAAGTTCTGCAGTAAACATTCTACCTACTTTTGACAATATATAAATCTAACTGATCTAAGATTCTATTCGATATGATATATAGCATGTGTGCAGATTAAAAAGAGGCTTTTTGTATGTTTCTTGATCCACTCAGGTCTAGGTTCATGTTTAGATAAGTATTTGAATTGAGAAATTTGGTTAATACCTATATGCTTATTGTGTAAGAATCATTATTATAGTAGACAATGTAACAGTAGAGATGAATTCATACTGTGTGGGGAATTTCTTAGAGTTCGATTTCCAGTTAATATTCGAAAACATAACGGTTCTAAAAAACTAACCTCAGAGGACGGACTCGGGGCAAGTGGGGCTGAATTATGAGTGTGTGACACAGGAGATGTTGTGTCCTGAATACTTTCATTATCCTCTGTTGCAAACTCTTTTAACCTATTCAGAGCCGGTAACAGAACTGAAGCAAGATCAGGTCTATCCTTTTTCCTCAGCTCACAGCACTGCAAAGCCAATTTAGCCAACTCCAGAGTCTCTTCTTCAGGCCAATCTGATACTGTTGGATCCAAAATTTCTCTAAGGTTATTATTTTCAATCGCCATCTCTACTTTGTGGCCTAACCCCATTGCTGGCATAGCTGTTATGATTTGCAGAAGCACCACACCAAAAGAGTACAGGTCAGATTTCACTCCAAGCAATCCGGTTTGCTGATACTCAGGGTCTATGTAACAAAATGTACCTGTTCTCATAACCCAAAAGGAAAAACAAAAATCAACTCTATGGTTCCATGTTAAGACATGTAAAAAGAGATAGAAGATAAGATTCTTACCGGCTGCAGAAGTCATGTGATAGTTACTGAAGGTATCAGCTACAGAGGGAGGTACTAGGCGAGCTAGACCAACATCACTGATTTTGCTAGTGAAATATCTGTCGAGCAGAATGTTTGCTGGCTTCAGATCACGATGTACTAAAGGCTCAGGTTTTGCATGGTGAAGGAAAAGAAGTCCTGTGGCAATCTCAGAAGCGATTCTGAACCTTGCTCTCCAAGAAAGTGGGGGTGTGTTGTTTTTGCAGAAGAGTCGATCTTCAAGTGTTCCATTTTCCATGTACTCATAAACAAGACAACCATACTCCGGACATGCACCGAGAAGGATCACCATGTTAGGATGTCTCATGCTACTCAGAACCTCAATCTATTGAAGACGCAAATAGATTGAGTCAGGAGAAGAAGAAAATGAAGAAAAAGAACAGCAAAACAAGGATTTCACTATACCTCTTGTTGGAATTGTTTCAGGCCCTGTGTGATACCTGACTTCAAGATTTTAATGGCGACAGAAGTGTAATCTAGGACAGCTTTGTAAACAGGTCCATAACCTCCTTCCCCAATCTTTAGAGCGTCTGAAAAACCATTGGTTGCACTTTCAACATCTTTGATACTGTAACGTCTATAAGAGACCTTATTGGCCATCCTTTGTTTCTCTAACTTGGCTTGCATCTCTAGTAATCTTCTCTTTTGGCTCTCCATTTTCGCCAAGCGCTTTGCTATTTCAGCTGCTTGGATTGCAGAATGCCTTTTATTTTTCTCCTCAGACAATGCTCTAGGCAGCTCTATTGCCTCGTCTAACTAATATATTAGCCATTCAATATCTGATTAGTATTCATCCACCAGGAAACTAAAGGAAACAACAATATCATCAAAATTCTTACGCTTTCATTTTGGTTGGTAGTGTCTTTTCCCTTTGAGGGATTAAACTGCTTCAGTTCAAGTCTCAATCTTCTCACCTCTGCTTCAAGATTTTGATTCTGAACAAGCCCCACATCAAAGAAGATAAACCATGTCAATAGTATGTCTACATTTCTGCAAATCTGGAACCCAAATTCATGTTCTTTAGAACTTTACCTGTTGTTCCACGAAATTTACCGCATGTGGACTTTCCTGTGCATCATCAGTTATCTAATGTTAGAAAGTGAAAAGGTCAGAATATCTATATTTGAAAGTGATAATACTAACCGTTGATGTCGAAGAAATGGAGCTTCCGTTGGTATTGGAACTTTCAGAGATGGTGTAAGAACTCGCAGTTGATACCACACCATAACTGCCATTGTCAGTCTCTGACTGAGAAATCTCACTCAGAGATGGTGGTGGAGAGATGCGAGGTGAATTCGATTGGGATAAAGCTGACTTGGGTTTGTTGTGTTTGGTAGATACAGATGATTCCCTGTAAAAAAAAAATATAAATTTAAAAAGAGCATTAAATTTTCACTAATCCATGTTGAAACTATACAAGACATGGCTAATAAATGGTTGGAAGAAAGTGGAGATTACCTCTCGGAATCACTGGAGTTAACAGAGCTCGTGTGTTCGTAATTGTACAGCAAAGAAGAGAGATCTTGTTGCCTTGTATGTTTCTGAGGCTGACTCGCGGATTTGCTCTTCAAAAGTTTACCTTTTGACACAACAAAGACTGCACAAGTCTCTGGAGCCGTTTTAAGCAAAGTGGTGGACACATCTGGACTCTTAAACTTTCTGATCACACAGAGAGAGAGAGAGAGAGAGAGAGAGAGACTGATGTTAAGCATTCATACAACCAAAATTTGAGATGATATATTGAGCATGAGAATCGAGAGAGAAAAAGAAAGAGACTTGAAAAAGGAATTGTGCGCAGATGCACCAACAACGATGTTTGATACTGAGTTGTTGGTGATGTAGGTGACAATAGCATTGGAAATGTCAGTATTCCGAAGAATAACCTCCTTGGCTATAATCTGTGAAGCAATGGATAATAAGTAAATGAATCATTTAAGTAGATTTGTTGCAAAGAAGCTTGGAAATGAATGATCACTAACTCCTTTTCGAGCACAAAATCCTCTAAAAGGAAGAAAGAATTGGTGTTCATCGTCCTGATTGTCATGCTGTAAATGTGCTCCTGCGTTTCCTTCTGCATAAAAAAAAATCACAATTAGGGTTTGTTTTGATGATGAAGATGAGTTTGTTAGCGAGAGAAAATGTCTGTACGTTGAACGTGGAGAAGGACACAGTGTGGAGAATCGACAATGATATTCTCAACAGCCCACTTCAAGGCATGTTGGCTGTTCTTGTCCTTATCAATGGCAATCGCCGTGATTATGCCATTGTCCACTCTCCTTGCAGACATGTTATAGAGACTTGCTTCCCAAGAAAAAATAAATAACTTGTTTCATAAGCAAACCATGATACTGATTAATTTATCACTAACATCTGAAAACCAAAATCGATTGTGTTTGTTTTCTTTCGTTTGGTTCAGCAACTTCTGAGAAGGAATGATGAACAATAAATAAACAGATTTTGCATTGTGAATGATGTAGCTTGAGTGGTTTTGCATTTGTGCTAATTTTGGAGGGTTTTCTCAAACAACTCAACAGTCTTGTGAACAAACAAACAAAAAGGAAATTTTCTTTATCACAACTCTCTACTTATCTTTAGAAAGTGATATTTTGGGAAGTTAGTAGTTCGATCGAACTTATTCATAATAAACGCACCATTTTAAATCAAACAAAAATCAGTACCAATTTGAATTTATTATCTTGATTATTAGTAAGGTATATGTGTTTTTTAGTAAGACTACAGCCTAAAATATATGTCATTTTGAAATATTTTTTTATTTTAAAATATAAGTCATTTTTGGTTTTCTATATAAATATTTTTAAAAAATTCTATTTTTATCTATACTCTTTTTACAGCTAAGTAATTAGTGTGAACATAATAAATAATATTTTCATAAAATAAAATTAAATAATTTTTAATTTGTATGAAAAAATTTGAAACGAATTATATTTTGAAACAGAAAAATATATTTTTTTATAAAGTAAATTAAAATGTCCCTGTTATTTGAATTTGAAATATTGAAAATTCTCGGATTTCTATTTATTCGGTATTTCTTGTTTTTTTGCTATAAGTGCATATGCATACTACCAAATAAACTTTAACCTTATGTAAAACTGTGTACAACAACATGCGCCAGTCGTATTTACTCTCACAATTGATATACAAATAAAATAATTTCGCAAAAAAAAAACAATAATAAAATAAAACAACAATAATGCATATTTGATTTTGATTTTGATTTTCGACCGTATCAATCAGAAGGCCACGTGGGCAGGTAGAAACCGGAATTATTGCGAGAGTTTTGACTTTGAGAAAAACAAAACACGTTGCATTTTCTCATTTACACAGCCAAAAGAAAAGAAAAGTAGCAGCAGATCAATTTCTTTTTCTCAGTTTTCGTCTTCCATCTTCTCTCTTTTAGCCATATTACCATGTCTTATACGTCTCTCGATAATGATCTTTTCCGATAGTTCCATTAAATTAAGATTGTGAAAACTTATACTTTAATTTTATCTAAGCTGGAAAAAATACTAATATCTAAGCTGATTATTTAATTGATAGTAATAAATCTCTTTGGTAGTGTTACCTTGTCTTCAATGTATACACATGTTCCTAAGATGGTCGAACAAATTAAAAAAAAAAGAAATCTTATATCACTAATGTCTGTAGGTGATCCGGTGACCATATTAAGAGTAAATCAATGGTCTCAAAACATATCAAGAAGGATAAACAAAACGAAATATATATATGAATATTATCACAAAAGATTTACGTTTTTAAGATAAGAAAATATTCTTTTGTTTAATTTAGTAAAAAGAACTGAATAAATTCATTGAATGACTCGTTTTGGAATTTGAATAATAGTAACTATTTTTAACGAAAATTGTACGTAAGGAATTGATTACATATGTTGGAAAAGAAACATATATATCTACTACGCGTCAAGATTCCATTCATTCATATCCCATTCTCTTACATATACTAATATTCTTCCTATTCATAATGTAGAACTAGTATGCATGCATATACATGTCATAATTTCATCCATATATCATATATGTTAAATTATATTTGACTTATCTACATTTCATTTATCCATAGTTTATCTATTCATCCTGTAAATCCTATTTAGAATCAATGTGGGGGTCTACGCGTCAGGATTTTGTGGAAGTTCACTAACAAAAAAGTTTATAGAAAAATTGTGGGAACATTTATATATTTTTTAACAAGAAAAACGAAATTTCTTAATAAAACATTCTTCATAAATGAGAAATCAACTAAAATCTATACACGTTCCAACTATGTTATCATTATTACAACAAATAATTTAGTATTTGAATTCGAAAGCACTACGCATGGTCAAAAGATTATATTACCACCATGAAAACAGATTGATTTTTTTTAAAAAAAATTATGATCCGGAAAAGAAATGAATCAAATAATATCTGCTGTTGGTTGATCGACAGGTGTTGCCTGAAGCGACCTTAAGAAAGAAGAAACCTAAAAAAGAAAAAGACAAAAAGGGGCAAAAAATAAATAAAGGACAAAGTTCTTAAAATGATGCAAGACTTGTGTATACGTGTCTCTTCTATAATCCTTTTTGTAATAAATACTCCTTTTTTTTGTTTCTTAGTTTTATTAATCACAAAAACCAGAAAAAATAAAGAATAAGTAACAGAGAGAAAAAGCATACCACACAATATTCCCTTCTCTCTCTCTTCTTTCGCTGGTAGAGAGCCTCTCTCTAAAGCAAAAACACGAGCGATAAAAAAATCCGAGGGAGCTAGAAACGAAACGAAACGAAAGAAGACCATCTTTACTTGTTTCTCTGTTCGTTTTTTTTATTTTTCTTTTTTTTTCTAGATGCGAATATCTTAAGATTCAACTGGTAAGTTCTCTTTTTCTATCCTTATTTTTTTTTTTAATGTTGTCTGCGTTTTTTTTAAATGATGTTCGTGTATAGGTAGCTTTTAAATTTAATCGGAGGATGTTTTTTTTTTTGCGATGAATCTTTTTTCTTCATCTATGTAATTTTGAGCTGCTTGTGTTAGTTTCTTAAGAGCAAAGCTTAATTTCTTTATCTTATACTATCATCTTTCTATTTCTGGGTAAAAGCTAAAGCTGGTTTTGTTATTTAGATCCAGGAAAACCCATGTTCTACTATGATTCGGGAAGACGATGTTTCGATTTTTTAGGTTTTTCTTGTGATTAATATCGTTGATTTTGGACTGATTTTCCCTCTCTTTTTTTTCCGTTATTTTGGTTTATTTTTTTGGTATTTTGTGTTTTTTTTTTCCAATTTTCATATACCGTTTGGATTTGGGAGTTTTTAATTGTGTCTTGCGATCTCTAAACAGGCTGAAATCGAGATGAAGATTTTGCGAGATCAGCCAAATTGTTGGGATCAATCAAAGATAGTGGTCAAAAAACCCCAAGTGGAAAATACAGTCGCATAGATTTCGTCAGATCTGTTAATCTCCGGTACTCAATTCTCATTGATTCGTCCTCTGTTATGCTAAAGTTAAGTGTATGAATAAGCTTAGCATAATTAGTAGCGTCGCTGAGAAAACTCGAATGGAGGAGGAGTATTTCTTGAAGATCATGAGCTTAGAGGAATCCAAGAAGATGAGAAACATTGGATTGTCTTAAGAAAAATCAAACCTTTTGAAAACTTACTTACTCTCTGTGGTTGGGAATCTCTTTATCTAGAGAGCTCATGGAAGACATGACCCCAGCAGTTGCAATGACTCTGAGCATAGCTAACTCAATATGTGACTCATCATCACCTGTTGAGATCTCTCAGCTCAAGAACGTTACCGATGCAGCTGATTTGTTACCTGATTCAGCCAATCAGAGCTGTTGCAATGGAGAGACTGATTCCACCATGGAAGATGTCTCTAAAAGCGGGTCAACAGTTGTGGATGAAGACGAGGTATTATCCGTTGTGGAGGATACTAATGCAGTCATAAACGAAGGCTTATTGGTTCTTGATCCTGGCTCTGAGTTAAGCTTGTCTGATACAGCAATGGAGATTGAAAACGGGAGAGTTCTTGCTACAGCGATCATCCTAGGAGAATCAAGCATCGAGCAGGTCCCCACGACGGAAGTCCTTATCGCTGGTGTGAATCAGGACACGAACATAGAGAATGGTTCAGCTTCGGAGGTTGTCATTCGGTTGCCAGAAGAAAATAGTAATCATCTGGCGAGAGGGAGAAGCGTCTATGAACTGGACTGTATACCTCTTTGGGGCACGGTTTCTATTCAAGGTAATAGATCCGAGATGGAGGATTCTGTTGCGGTGTTACCTCATTTTCTTAAGTTACCTATCAAAATGCTTATGGGGGATCATGAGGGTATGAGTCCAAGCCTCACACACCTCACCGGTCATTTCTTCGGTGTTTATGATGGTCATGGAGGCTTTCAGGTATGTTATAAAGACGTTATCTCTTTAGTAATCTTTTGATTTGAGATGTTACGTTAAAAATTATAGCTTTAAATGTGTGATGGCTTGTAGGTTGCTGACTATTGCCGAGATAGACTCCATTTTGCCTTGGCTGAAGAAATCGAGCGCATAAAAGACGAGTTATGCAAGAGGAACACAGGAGAGGGTAGGCAGGTCCAGTGGGAGAAAGTCTTCACTAGCTGTTTTCTAACCGTTGATGGTGAGATAGGAGGGAAAATTGGGAGAGTTGTTGCTGGTTCTTCTGATAAGGTTCTTGAGGCGGTTGCCTCTGAGACTGTAGGATCAACTGCTGTGGTTGCTTTGGTTTGTTCATCACATATAGTAGTTTCTAACTGTGGTGATTCAAGGGCGGTTTTATACCGTGGCAAAGAAGCCATGCCTTTATCAGTCGATCACAAAGTAAAAAAGAGCTTCTTTCTTTTGCTTCCGAACCTGAAATCTTCCCGACCTGATGATCTCTTTCCTGTTTTCTGCAGCCAGATAGAGAGGATGAGTATACAAGAATAGAAAATGCTGGAGGGAAAGTTATACAGTGGCAAGGCGCTCGTGTATTTGGTGTTCTCGCCATGTCTAGGTCTCTTGGTAAGTAATGCTTCTCTTGATGACCAATAATGCACATCTCTATGAATGTCTTGAGTTTGGCTTATTACTTTTCAATGGCACATCACAAAAACCATACCTTGAGAATGAATTTACTGTCCATCAAGAAACGTTAGATCCTCGGTGTGTTTCCTCCTCTGGACCTGTTGCAGGTGATAGGTATCTGAAGCCATATGTGATCCCAGAACCGGAAGTGACATTCATGCCAAGGTCAAGAGAAGACGAGTGTCTAATACTAGCCAGTGATGGTCTTTGGGATGTAATGAACAACCAAGAAGTCTGTGAAATAGCGAGGAGACGGATCTTGATGTGGCATAAGAAGCACGGGGCACCACCTCTAGCAGAGAGAGGCAAAGGAGCAGATCCAGCTTGCCAAGCCGCGGCTGAGTACCTCTCTGTGCTTGCTCTTCAAAAAGGAAGCAAAGACAACATCTCCATTATTGTGGTTGACTTGAAAGCTCAAAGAAAGTTCAAGACCAGAGCTTGAAGCTCGAAGCTTGAACAAACAGTCCGCTTACTTACTTTTTTTAGTGGGGTAAGTTCCAAAAATTTTCTTATAATTTTACTAGATCGTAACAGATCTAATTTCGACTTGTTTTTTACATATTATTTACTCAATATTGTTAGAGGGAGGGAAATAAGAAAGAAAAAAAATGTGGGTTGGGGAGGAGAAGTTAAGACTGAAGAAGATAATGATGATGCATAGCTAATTATAAGTACATTCCTTTTTCTCATGGAATATGGATTGGTATCTGTAAGAAGAAATAGGCCAAGATATGTCTTTTTTTGGGGGGTATTAAAGTAGATGAATATGTTGTAATATTTAAAGATGTGGCTAATGAAATTGTAATTGAAACTCTGTCACATTAACCCCTTTTGCCTTTCTTTTTCTAATATTATTTTCTATAGATATTACTTTATGACTTTTTAGTTTTTATTCTGCAACTCAACCAGAGTATTGGCATGGTTAAAGTCTTATCTTTAACTTAGCCTCATTTTAGGTTTTGTATTTATTTAGAAGAAAATAAGCAGTATGCACAACAAGTGGACGTGCCGGAGTGGTTATCGGGCATGACTAGAAATCATGTGGGCTTTGCCCGCGCAGGTTCGAATCCTGCCGTTCACGGTTATTTGTTTTATTTTTCTTTTGGTTTTCCGCTTTCTCATCTTTTAATATTTCCATAACCAAATCAATTTACATTCAGACCATATATCTTAACGACAGTTTAATACTTTATTTTCTCAATGGAATGAGATATAAATCAAACACTCTTTAAAAAAAAAAATTTAGTGGCACCACAAAATCTAGAATCCGGAAGAAAATTGATATCAGTTATGGAAAAGATTAATTTTGGGGGGAAAAAATAACAAAGATTGATAATATAAACATTGAATTTGACGGTTTTGCCTATTGCCTAAGCCAAGGATAGCACCGGCTCTCTCCACATTTGACCCAAATGCTAATAATTAAATTCTTTGACAATAGTCATTTAAATATTAGCAGATTGTCTGTTAATCGAAATTAGAAGTTAACAGGCTAATTACGCCTCAGTTTCATATAGAAAACGTGTGTAATAACACGTTAGACATATGATACCGTTGAACAATTTGGCGTACCAATATGTATTTGCTTCATGTAATCCAGCTGTATCTCTATGTCTTTGTAATTCCATTTCCAACTTTCACAAGCAAATATCGCCGTTTTCCATCTTATCTAAGACAAAATCGTCATAATTTTTTAAAAAATATTTGATTAGTGTTTTGGATTCACCGGATTTGGTACCGAATCTAAAACATTGTTACAATGTTCTATAATTTATAAAATATCTCAAGTAACATGTCTAATACTCCAAGACAAAAACATATTTTGTTGTAAGAAAGGTGTAAAGTAAGTAATCCAGAAAGTAAGAAAAAAATCCATATAAAATGACCAAAACACAACTCCCAACCACTCCAAACAAAAAGTTTTCTTCCTAAAGCCTAAACCCAAACTTTTCAAAAAAAAGGAAGAAACAGCAAAAGAAGAGTATGGAAGAAGAAGATGGAGACGCGTCTACGCCGTTTTGGCTTCAATCCCGCCGCAACAACACTTACTTCCGTCGCACCTCTAGCCTCGGCGGCCGCGCAACCACCGTCGCAACCCAAGTATTCTTCGCCGGAGCTGCTGCAATCCTTATAGTCTTCTTTATCATCCCTCCTTTCTTCACCTCTGTTTCACAGATTTTCCGGCCTCATTTGGTCCGCAAAAGCTGGGATTATCTCAACTTCGTTCTCGTCCTCTTCGCCGTCCTCTGCGGCTTCCTCAGCCGCAACGCCGGTAACGACGAAAGCACTCATCACAAGGAAGAAGTCAGTAAAAACAATGAGGTAATCAACGGTTATGGTTTCAACAAATTCTCGTCCTCGCCGTTGATCATCGATCGAGGTCGTGTATCTAACGGTGCCACGCCGCGTTACTGGATCGATGATCGCGGCGGAGATCAGTTTCCCGATCATACAGTGTACAAGAGGATTAGCAGATTACGGAGTAGTAGCTCGTATCCAGATCTGAGGCTTCCAGAATTCGATACCGATCAACGGTGGAGATTTTACGATGATACACGTGTAAGTCAATGCCGCTACGAAGCTTCAGATCCGATCTATCAAAATCCAGTCTGGCCAGAGGTTAAATCACCGGAGGAAGATATTGATCAAACAGACGGCGGCGACGGAGGAGGAAATGTCACTGAGAAAGTTGAGGTCGTTGCGACGGCGACAGCGGAAGTAGTAGAAGAGCTATCGCCGCCTCCGCCTTCTGCTCCGGCGTCTCCGCCTCGTGCTCAGAGGAGGACAAAGAGAGTGTACCAAGACGTAGCTCGAAAGGAAGAGAAGAAGGAGAGAGCTGATTTTGTGACGGCGACGCCTCCGATGACACCAGTTCCACCTCCGGCGACTGTGAATCAAAAGAGCAATAAACAGGAGAAGAAGAAGAAAGGAGGAGCAACCAAGGAGTTTCTGATTGCGCTACGGAGAAAGAAGAAGAAGCAGCGGCAACAGAGCATCGACGGTCTCGATTTACTATTCGGCTCCGATTCTCCTCCGTTAGCCTATTCAATGCCACCGAAATCACCGCCGCATCCTCCTCCTCCGCCGCCTCCACCACCTTTCTTCCAAAGCCTTTTCTCGTCCAAAAAGGGTAAAAGCAAGAGAACTTATTCAACTCCACCGCCTCCTCCTCCTCCACCACCTGAACGGAACTTTGAGTCACGCGCATCAATGGCAAAGATTCGCAAAGCTCCGATGGAATCACGCACATCTAAACCCAATCCGGCAGCTAAAGTATCCCAATTCGTAGGCACTGGAAGTGAATCCCCATTGATGCCGATCCCGCCACCGCCTCCTCCTCCGCCGTTCAAAATGCCGGCATGGAAATTCGTGAAGCGTGGAGATTACGTCAGGATGGCTAGTAACATCAGCATAAGCTCAGACGAACCTGATGATGATTCCGATGTAGCTCAATTAGCCGACGGTAAGGCCGCCAGTAGTATGTTTTGTCCGAGCCCCGACGTAGATACCAAAGCCGATGATTTCATCGCGAGATTCAGAGCTGGACTCAAATTGGAGAAGATGAACTCGGTGAAACGAGGGAGATCCAATTTAGGACCCGAACCCGGACCTGGTGAATCCGAATCTTAAACGGGTTACCCAAGCGTATAGAATTTTGATTTTTTTTTTTTTTTCTCGAACGTCGATTCCTTTTTTTGGTTTGAATTTTGGCTTAACTTAATTGAGTAATTGTGTTGTTGTTTTTTTCTTACATTTAATTGATTTCGTATACGTAGTTTTGTCATTTGTGGTGTATACAATTACTCGATTAGTATCCCTTTTATAATGTTAACCAAAGTATCTTTACATATGTATACCAAGTTATTGTTACATGTTTTATGAAACCTAAATATATATAGGTTAAGCAGCAGTCTAGGGTTTTTGCCTCTCGAAATCCTGCAATCGGTCTTCTCTTTTCTTCTCATCTTCTCCATGGGCAAGAAATGTGCCACAAAAGGTGAAGCAGCCTCGGCTGTGAATAAGGACACCAAGCCTTTAAAGAAAGTTAAAAGAGGGACAATGCAGAGATTGGCTGATCGTTTTCAGCGAATCGAAGCAAAGGTGGATTTTTTGATGGCAAAGGTAGATCTGTTGATCTCAGGTAAGAAAGTTCCTTCCGAGAAGCCTCCTGCTAAGGCTGCTTCTAAAACAGAGGGATCATACTTGAGCTCTTCTTCAGATGATGAAGTTGCTGCAGCCAAGGACTCAACTGCAGGGCTTCAAAGCTGCTCTGTAAAGGGCAAGGCAGAGAACAGTTCTTCAGAGGATGAATCTTCTCCTGATGAGGAATCTGCAAAGAAACTTGTTGCAAGTGCCAAGCCAGCTGCTAACGCTGAGAAGGCAACTCCGGCTACTACTACCAAGGCTACAAGAAGTTCAGATTCATCAAATGAAGATGAAAAACCTTTCCAGAAGAAAGCTAAAGCTGATACAATTACTCCTAAAAAGGAGAGCTCTAGTAATGATTCTAGCGAGGAATCTGATGAAAAGGAGAGTGGTGGTCGTTTTGGTTTCGCTGGTGGTCGTTTTGGCAGTAGAAATCGTGGGCCTTTTGGAGGCCGTTTTGTCGGTGGTCGTTGTGGCGGTGGAGGTTATTGTGGCCGCTGTTGAGGTTTTGGTGGCGGAGGAAGAAATGGTGCTCGTGGAAACAGACCTCGTAGAAGTCTGCCTTTTCACTACTTGTGTTTTTCTCATGTTCTAACTAAGTCTATGTTAGAATGTTTAAAATGTTAAGTACGCTCCTTTTTATTACTTCGGAAGAATTACTGTATTTCGGAAGATGATGATATGATCTAGAGACAATAATTATTTCGGGGAAGAAACAAAACAAACAAAGCATTTTCAACACTTGGATTCATTGTTCTTAAGATACTCCTTGAGAACATCCATGACCGAACCAAACTCTGCCTTAACCTTCACTGGTGGGTTAGCCAATCTACAAGCCATCTCCTTTATGTTCTTGGAATGATAATCGATCTTACTCTGCGTAAACTTCAATCCATGAGCTGTGCTCACAACCACCGTTCGATCATTAGCTTCGATGACTCCAGATTCCCTCAGCTTCATCAGAGCCGTCAATGCCACACCCGTGTGTGGGCATATAAACATACCAGTCGAATCCGCAAGAGCCGTTGCATCCATCAGCTCTTCCTCCGTAGCTTCCTCAACAATTCCATTAGATTTCTTCAAAGCATACACAGCTCTATCGATGGACACAGGATCACCGATCTGAATCGCAGAAGCAAACGTCGTGTTTGCTTTCAATGCATTAAAGTCTTTATACCCAGATTTATAGTGCAGGTAAAGCGGATTTGCGTTAGCAGCTTGAGCACAAACAAGCCTAGGGATTCTATCAACAAGCCCTAACTCTTTACACATGTGAAACCCTTTGTAAAACGCATAGATGTTACCGAGGTTTCCTCCGGGAATGATGACCCAATCAGGAACTTCCCAATTAAACTGCTGAAGAATCTCGATCGCCGCCGTCTTTTGACCTTCGAGACGGAGGCTGTTGAGAGAGTTGGCTAAGTAGATCGGAAGCTCCGCCGTGATTTCTCGGATCAGATGCATACATCCGTCGAAATCGGTGTCGATGCTGAGCACAAACGCTCCGTTCGCGATTGGCTGAACGAGCTGAGCCATCGAGATTTTGTCCGCCGGGAGGAAGACGATGGAAGGGATTCCGGCGGCAGCGCAGTAAGCGGAGAGCGCGGCGGATGTATCACCGGTGGAGGCGCATCCGACTCCGATAACCGGTTTGTTCATTTTCCGGAGACGATTCACCTGAGAAACGAGAACCGTCATGCCTAGATCTTTGAAAGATCCCGTGTGGCTGTTCCCACAGTGTTTGACCCAGAGATCGTTCATCTGAAGGTGATGTTTCCCGAATCTCTCGGCCCAGAAGAGATTAGAGTTTCCTTCGAAAGCCGAGACGATGTCGTCGTCGTCGATCTCGGGAAGAACCCACTCCTTTTTCGACCAGACGCCAGATCCATACGGCCAAGTGGTTTTACCGACGCGTGAATCGAAGAGGTTGCGCCAGAATTCGCCGTCGTAGCGTTTCAGGGCGGAGAAATCGTGGTGGACGTCGAGGAGACCGCCGGATTGGGAACGGTAGACGATCTCGTCGAGGGAGTAGGATTCGGTGGAAGACGGTGGAGCGTCGAAGGGGACGTAGCGAGCGGAGAGGTTTTGGAGTTGAGGACGGCGACGAGCCTCGTCGCGGATGTTCTCATCGGCGGAACGGCGGTGTTTCTGCGGATCGTCGAGAGAAGAAGTGGCTGGGGAGGCGCATCGTACGGTGAATGTGGCGGCGGAGTGAGGTTTAAGGGAGGTTTCAGAGTGGGAAGGAAAGTAGGTGGCGGAGTGGAGGAGAGAGAAAGAGGCCATTGATAGTGAGAGAGAGAGTAAAGGAAACTGATTGGAGAGAAGAATGTTGACACCTTTTGTCACAACAAAATTTATTATTTATATCCTAAAATGTTGGTACAAAATCGAAAATACTAGTCCTACTAATATTCAACTACTCCCAAGTCCCAAGAAATAACTAATTAATGTTTTATGTACATTAATATTGATTTTTTTTTCCAGTAGAGTAGATAAGAGCATATGTATTGGTAAACCCCATAAGAGATTCCAATTGTATTTAATAATATTAAAATTTTGTTTCCTACAAAAATTAAAACCTCTCACAATATTATACTTACAATGGTAAACCTTTTATGGGGTCTTAATAATAAAATATTATTATTATTTTTTAATTCAAATTTTTCTTATTAATTCGATTTTGGCATATTAATTATTTATATATATAATAATGAACATATAACTTTGTTAAAAATAATTTTATTGAGACATTAGATGAAAAAAAAAACAGAATATTGAAATTGAAATTACATAAAATGCTTAGTCTTCATCTTGAGAATCGCCAAATTGTTGCCAGATATGTTCGACTAAATCTTGTTTTAGTCGTTCATGTATTATTTTATTGCGAACTTCATTTCTTTTCTCGAGCAAATTGTTGAGATTTGTAGGCATGTTTGTAGAATATGTCCCATCAAATTCATCTGTCACACATAAATAAAAGACCAAAACACAATGCATTAACACAAGAAAGCTTAAATTTAAACCATTGTCATACAGAACCGAGTTCTTAAACACACCAACTTAAACTTAAACACATAAAGAAAAACCTAAACAGAAAGTACTTGTTACATAAAGTAACTATTACAACAGATCATTGATTAGCTTGTCCTTAAGTTTCATTTCGGTTTCAGTCAATGGCTCGGGTTTAGTAAGTAGCTTTTCAAGCAGCTTCTTGCTTGACAGCTTGTCTTGCAATTCCAAATCACGTTGCTTCATTTCCATATCACTTTGCTTGATTTCCCACACAATCTGTAGATGCTTAAGAGTTTTATCAGCTTGAACCTCAGCTTTGAGCTTTGATCCACTCTTCTTAGATTTTGCAGCCTTAACTCCAATCGGACGTGGCTCTGAATCATCCTCAAGCACGACTTCCTCTTGGCTGCTTGCTGACTCATCCGTCTTTCTTCGTTTCCTTGATCCCTTTGAGCACCATTTTTGGTCAAAACGCAACTCTCTCCATGCGTGCTCTAGAGTGAACTTTGCTTGGTAGTCGTTAAAGAAAATCTCGTGTGCTGCCTTCAGCACATCATTATCATTTTGCCCACTTCTCTTATCCTTCACGGCGGCTTCAAAACAACCGACAAACTTGCACACCTGATCGTTCAGCCTCCCCCACCTTTGTTTGCACTGACTAGCCGTTCTTGCTTCTGGACCACTGAGTTCAAGGGTAGAGTTGAAGTATTTTTGGATCCTCTTCCAAAAAGCCTCCAACTTCTGCTCATTTCCGACCACAGGGTCTTTGCTAGTGTTCAACCAGGCTGAAATGAGCACAACATCCTCCTTCGCCGTCCATGGCCTTCTTTGCCTTCGGTCTTCAACAGGTACACTTGGATCATCTGAGCTTTGGCTACTAAACTGAGGTAGTTCAGATGATCCAAGGTCGATAGTTTGGGGAAAGCTATATGTGATTTCTTGTTGGCTAGTTAGTAAATTTACAAACCCCTGAGAGGTCGTAAATAGATTAGGAGAATCCATTTTGAGGGTATAGAAAGAAGGTGTTTGAAAAGGTTAAGAATGGCGGAAGTTTTTAGTAAGTTTAAGTTTTGAGAAAAGAAGATGTGTGAAAGTTTTAAGTTGATGTGAGACCATTATTTAAGTGTTGGTTAAAGGGTTTTTTAACAATCAATGAAGAGCATTTATCACATTAGCTTTAACTACAAAACCTACCAAGCATTGATAACAAAGCCCATTCTGATTTTAAACCCTAAACCTACCAAATCTTTCCAGCTAACAAACATTAAACCCTAAACCCAACCTAACACGCAAAGAGTTAAGAAGTTGACTAACCTTGATGCATTGATGAATGGTTGTGGTATTCTTTGATGAAAGGAATCGGCATTGAAGTACATTCTTTCTGCAAATAACATTTAAACCATGTAAAGCAAACGGTATAACATACTAAAGTAAATGCAAACTAAACTAAATGCAAACTAGGTTCTAGTTAGAATTCAAACCAAACTAACCTGCTTCAAAGCCTCTCAACGCCAACTCCATTCCCATTAAATGCAGACTATCGATCTCTCACCATATCACCTCGCAAAAGAAATCCAAAGGGTTACCAAAACAATAAAGCAAGCATGTAATATTATGATCCACAACATAATAAGCTTAGAAAACAATCTTAAACAATCTTATGATCTCACTATATAATCTTAAACAATCTTATTATCTCAGTCCTATGATCCGCAACCATGTAAACAAATGATCATTCAAGAAAACCAAACAATCTTAAATAAAATTCCCAACGTAAATAACATAACATAATCGAATAACATAAGCTTAATCGAACCAGATTTGCGAAGCTTAAACAAGGTAATCAAGCTTAAATACGCTAAACATCTCAATCAATTGATTATCGCAACACAAATCCTAATATTTCCCCAAATTTCGAAAACCCTAAATTTCCCCCAATTTTGAAAACGCTAATTTCAATCATATTCCCCACAATCAACGATCTATAGAAACGAAGAGTTGCCGATTACATACCTTTTGAAAGCAAAATCGTCGATTCCGAGTCAAACTCCTGATCATTCACTGAAGTGATGAAGACAGAGGAGATACCCAGACAAAAACCGAAGAGATAGAGAGGTGAAACAGGGTTCATTCGAACCGAGAACCGAAGAGAAAGAGAGTTGAAGACAGAAAAGAGAACCGATGACAAAATCGGCTCCGATTAACGGTGAACGATTTCCGTCGGAGGAGATGCGAAGAGATGGTGAGAGTTTGTCGAAGAAAATTGAGAGAAGTTGAGAAATTTCTCTAAGTGTGAGAATGACGCGACAAAAAACATTTCCAAAAGTTCAACCAATGAGATTGCGCCACCTCACCCGTGAACCTCTCCCAAAACCGAGTCCACAAGCTGCAATTTAAGACCCGACTTTAAGAAAAATGGGCTTTCCTGATTTATTTTAATTCCCAAAAACCTATGAACCTCAATTATAAACCTCCTTAAAACCACCATTACAGATGGTCTAAGATTATCTTCTGGTAGTAGTAGTTGTAAGGACAAATGAATGCCTAACATTCATGAATTATGTATGAGTGATTCATGAATTTTAGTCGTTTAGGAATTTCTAAGAGGATGTATATACAGTTACATACTGATCAGAGATACATTAGTGTGAAACTATGGTGCGGATGATTCATCCATTTTAATTCTTTATTGAATACTATGAGTAAATTAAATAGTGTTTTTATGAGATGAATAAAAAAAATTGAAATGAATAATTAGTTGGCGTAAATTCGTTTTTCCCCGTCTAAAAATTCTCACATTCCTAAGTAAAAATGTTGATAATATAATGAATAGCGGATTTTTGTGGTTTTTTCTTAATAAATAAACGAGTGATCGGAGCTTATAGCTAAGAGCTAAGTGTGTCTACTAATGCTGCGGCCTATTATGACATGAGTCCAAATTTAAGACTGCACATTGTGAGTTGTGTATAACTGTATATGCAAAAAATAAAAATAAATTTGAGAAATCAAAATAATATTTGTACTCCGTATTTGATAATTATAAATAGTGAGGACCGCTTTTCCGACTTTATGGATTCATCTTCCCTTTCTCTCTCCACAAAATCTTTGATACGGAAAGATACAGTAAATGAATGAGCAATGACAAAGTACCAACCTAAAAATTTTAGTACTTAGAGCATATCCATTGGGGTTGGAGAAAGAGTTCGGCTCGAGTTCATAGGCAGTTTTGATTAAAAAAAAGAAATAATGCTTTTATGGGAAGGATCGGCTCATCAGGACAACCCTGATGAACTCAAGTTCATCTAGGTGGCAAGATGTCATTGGGCGAAGGTTTTTTTTTAATTTTCAAACTAAAAAAAAAGACAAAAAAAATTAAGAGGGGTTCACCAATGGACATGCTCTTAGATGAGACTAAAGGATTTTAGATAAATGAACACAAGAAACCAAAGAAAAGAAGAAAAAGAAGAAAGAGAAGAGTAGAAGTTAAGGTACTCAATCATCCATAGCTCAAATTTTTTCAGACCATGTTCTTGTGTCCCTGGTCAGATTCAAGGAGCAGGAATACAATGTCATGTTTTTCCCTTCCGTCCATGGTTTGATCTTCGGTTGTGTTGGATTTCGAATCTCTTAACAACTCAAACAATACATGTGTAAAATAAGATTTTATCCGCTTTAGCCAGAGGCGACTCTGCATGTGGGAATTATATGTAATGAGCAAGATTGGCATCAAACCCTAGCCAAATTCGAACTCGAGCTTGCTTCATATATAGAGGCTCTTTCGCTAGTACCTTTTGGGTTTAGGGTTGGATTTCGAATCTTTTAACAACATCAAATTCGAATCTTTACACTACACATGGAAAGCGTTTTGAACCAACAAAAGTGGACCGGAAGTGGTGGGCTAAAATGTCCATATAGAACCAACATTGTTAGGACGGACCATGGTTGGTCAAGCCCATCACAATTTGGAAATTTGGAATTAATCACATGCTGGATTAGTCAAAAAGATTTGTGTAAACATAATGTGAGGAAAAATTCCTTAGCTCCGGATCAGTGTGTCCACTAACTTTTAACATCTAATCTGTTGAAGAGAATGATTAACGATGCATAAATGTTGTTGATGCAGGTTTGCTTGGGTAATGGCCCATGGATATTTCTAAATACAGTAGTACTAAATTTCCTTTGAAACTCATACAATAAATATTACTCAAGTAATGTCACTGAATGATACAAACGATAGAAAATTGATTTATGTTGGTGTTTGGTGGTTTCTTCTTGTACAAGGACCACTCACTGTTCATGAAATTTAGCATCTCAATGAAATGATAAAATCTATAAATTCTCATTTTTTTTATCAAAAATATAGAAAAGGCTCGATCGAGTGAGTGATGGTGGAACTGTAGAAAGTATCGTGCACAAGAGGTCACGTGATTTTGTCTGAGACATCACGTGCCTCTTACACACTGACTTCTGCTCTTTCCTTTCTTTCCAAACGTCCCAAGGATATGGACACCACGTCATCTTATCCATATCACAAAAAACGGATCCATTTTCTCTCTCCAAGATCTTAGCCGTTCCTTGTGATGACTAATCTTTGGCTTGTTTCTGTCTTTGCCGTCGATCTTGTCCAGCTCCATCTTGCAGCAGTAGAACCAATTTCTCAATTTTAATTTTTCTTTATCCTTTGTCGCGATTGACACGTGTCACCTGCCAGCTTCTGATTTTCTGCAGGATCTTTCTTATTTCCTTAAACAATTAATACTCGATCAAAATCTAAGATTTAGTAAAAGAAAGAAATTGAACATCGTGATCATTTTATGTGTCCCAAGTTGCATAAGGAAACATTATATAATAGTATAATAAAAAGTCTGATATACTATTATTGAATCAAAAACCTAATGGTTTTCCGAGGATTTGTGAAAACTATACTACTGTACATGGCGTTTTGTTAAAAAGAGAAATTGGTTAGTCGAACCCGAAAGTACAATCCGGTTATATAAGACGAACCGGAATCTCAATTTCGTTTATTTAGGGAAAAAAAAACCGGAACCCTAGTCTTGCTCGATAACAGTATAACTGTTATAAAGGTCTCATTTTCGTGCTCTATTGCGATTACTCTATTTTCTCTTCCTTCTTTTCTCTCTGAGTTTTTATTTTTGACATCAGTCTCGTATTGGAGCTTATTGGAAATCATCTCCGGCCAAGGAAACGGGTTTCGCGGTGAGATTTTTCTAGGATGATCGTTTCTTCGGGAAGCTCGATTCATCGGTTCTGTTTTGGAATCGTCGTTGAGAGATGTTGTTAGATCCGCATGGTTTTGGTGATCGTTCTGGATCCAAGACGTGGTTCCACAGGCGTAAAAAATGCCGTCGTCTCTTGGTTTGATATCTTTCTTCTGAATCTTCTTTCCGTTTCCGTTCTCCGGCGAATCTGATTTTTTTTTTCTTTCCTTTTTTAGAAATTTTGAGTCTTTCTAATCCTGGGGGTGAGTTACAGTCTCAGGTTGTAAATAGAAATTTGCTACGTTTGTTTAGGAAAGAGTTTGTACAGATAGAGAGATTGTGACTCGAGCACTGAAACACACAAGTTTTCTCAGGGAACCTTTTTTGTTCCTTGGTTTTTTCTCTTGTTCTTCGTCGTTTTTTTTCTGGGTTTAGGATTAAAAAAAAAGTGGCGAAGATGAATCTGAGTGCGGCCGAGGAAGAATCGGCACAAGAGATTCATATTCCGGCTGATATCAATTGGGAGATGCTTGATAAATCAAAGTTTTTCGTTTTAGGCGCCGCTTTGTTTTCAGGGGTATCTGGAGCTCTTTATCCAGCGGTGTTGATGAAAACTCGGCAACAAGTGTGCCATTCTCAAGGCTCATGTATCAGAGGTGCTTTCACTCTTGTGAGACACGAAGGTCTAAGGGGATTATACAGAGGATTTGGAACCTCTTTGATGGGAACAATCCCTGCTCGTGCCTTGTACATGACGGCTTTGGAAGTTACCAAGAGTAACGTAGGCTCTGCTGCTGTTAGCTTAGGTTTCACTGATGCTAAAGCATCTGCCTTTGCTAATGCTGTTGGGGGATTGAGTGCTGCCATGGCTGCTCAGCTTGTTTGGACACCTGTTGATGTTGTGAGCCAAAGGCTTATGGTTCAAGGAAGCAGCGGTCTTGTTAATGCGTCGAGGTGTAATTATGTTAACGGGTTCGATGCGTTTAGGAAGATCGTTCTTGCTGATGGGCCAAAGGGTTTATACAGAGGGTTTGGTATATCGATTCTGACTTATGCACCGTCTAACGCGGTTTGGTGGGCGTCTTACTCTGTTGCACAGCGTATGGTTTGGGGTGGAATTGGGTGTTATGTTTGTAAGAAAGATGAAGAGAGTGGGAACAATAGTTTTAAACCAGACTCCAAAACGATAATGGCTGTTCAAGGAGTTAGTGCAGCGATTGCTGGGAGTGTTTCTGCTTTGATTACAATGCCACTCGACACAATCAAGACGAGATTGCAGGTTCTTGATGGGGAAGATAGTAGCAACAACGGGAAGCGTGGACCGAGTATTGGACAGACCGTGAGGAACTTGGTTAGGGAAGGTGGATGGACGGCTTGTTACAGAGGATTGGGACCAAGATGTGCTTCAATGTCCATGTCTGCAACGACTATGATCACTACCTACGAGTTCTTGAAACGGCTCTCAGCTAAGAACCATGACGGGTTTTGCTCTAAATCATAGTGTGATAACAACTGAAAAAAAAAAAAACCACAGAAATATCTTTGATGGGGAATGTTTTCATTTTCTTACTTCTTGTTCTTTGTCTAGCTGGTCTGTTTTTTCTTTAGTTTCCAGTAATATGTAAGGAATGTGTTAAATTCAGCTGTTTCTAAATAAAGAAATGTTATTTCCTCATTTGCTTAATCGGTTCGGTTCGCCACAACCGTGCTAGTCAACCGGTATGATAGATTCAATGTCTATTGTAAAAGGATGGCTTGTAAGACTTCCAGTTGCAATTATCATACTCTTACATCAATAAAGACACACGACAGGTTTCGATTTGGCAACATGTTATAATTAGTAATTCATGAATCACTTCACAGAGATTGATTGTGACTTTTATATATTTCAAAATGCTGGCATTTTTTAATTATAAGTAAATTATGATCGATGTTAGTATTTCAGGAACACAAGTGTGTATCTGTTACATAAGTCAACGTATTTTGGAGCAAAATCTTACGTTTCTTCTTACCTTATCAAAATAATTTATTCTTTCTTAACTAGGAAATAATTTAGAGACGGCTTTGATATTTTGAAAAAATGTTCATGAACGTGTCGAAGAAATGGTAATATTTTTCAGTATCTTTAAGTGTATAAAAATATCTTCTGAGACAGATAAATGATACTCAAAGTAGAATCTTTCAACCTCTTTTCTTAATTCTAGGAAGTGTATCCAGAATAAGAAATAATCTTATATATATGTACCGGATTCTTCATTAAATATTTCTAAAACATTGTCAACTAAATTGTAAAATATTTTACAGAATCCAAATGTGTCTCTTCACACAAATCAACGGAGTGGGAGAAGAATCTGTGTTTTTCTTCAACATATTCAAACAGAATCCGAAGACTTTATTCATTACTAGCTCAAATGAAGAAAAAAAAAACAAAAAAAAAACAGAAATTGGAAATAAAAGCTTATTAGAAGTTTAGAACGATCAAATCATTCGTTTACACAAACGATTCATGGTGACAGAAGATAACAGACAAGCAGAAGTGTTTCAAATTGATGTCTAACACAAGCATAACGTTAAATTACAACACTAACAACAAGCAAAAGAACTAGTAGCCAAGGATGACTTCCCCTTTTTTGGTGGGAACATACAACAGCACCAAGATCCCTATGTCTCAGATATGGACAGAGAAATGGTGCATGTCTCCACCTCCATGCATGTCATTAGATTGACCATGAACAAGCATGGCTCGGTTCGTCTGAGTTGGAAAACCTGAAAACTGGAAATCTGCATGCCCGAAGATATCAGCACCATCTGAAACAGATGTTATGTCTGAGCCAGAAGTGGTTGAACCACGGTCTTTGTTGTTCTGCAGCATATGAGCTTCAAATCTAGACATGTTTGCCTTTTTGTTTTCCCGTTGGACCGACTTGCCATGTTCTTGTTCTCTAGCAGCAGCCTGTTCGGATTCTTGAAGAAGCTTTTTGGTGTTTAGGAATCTTCCACCAGATCCTCTTGGCCTTTTGAGAGCATGAACATGTCGAGATTCATGAAGATACGGCTGTTGTAATAAGAAAAGACAGATATGAGTAAAACAAGTCTAAGTAGATATTTTTGTTTAAGATGGAACATAAGGTGAAGAAATATATATACTTTACGGGATTTGATTAGTTTGTTTTGAGCCTCGAGCTTGGCACGTTGCTGCCTCCTCCTCATAATTGCGTGGTATTGCTTCGCATTGACAAAGACTGGTTCAGCTTCCGTGAGCTCCACTGGTAGAGGAACCCGACCAGGAATCATACCCACCATTTGGGGATGGCATGTCTGCGAGAGATATTAAGAAATTTGAGGATCTCATGGAGGAATAAAACTGAAAAGATAATTCTTTGCAAGGCATAATGGAGCTGCTTCATAGCATTAACAAAACAAATGCAAGAATACTTACCGGTGCCTGTGGTAGATACGTTGCAGCTAATAAACCACCAAAATGTGGATCAGCATAGTGAAAGGAAAAATTAGCCTGCACCATGTATGTTACAAGATATCACTGCACCATCAGAAGTTTGCTTTTCATCTTACACTGAAAAGAGTTACAAATACCTGCGTAGGAGCAAAGTGAATATTCGAAACTCCTGTCATCGAGCCTGATTTAGGAATAGTTGCAAATCCCTTCCGCTGAGTGTCTTCAGATCCTAGACAAACATCTAAAGAAATAAGAGAAAGGATAACCACTTTTATGGCAAAAGGATGGCTTCTCTTCTAAATTAGTAACATGAGAATTGAACATATCAATCAAAAAGTCTTTTAACATAGAGCCATAGGAAGACATCCAATAAGAGTTGAGTAGAACTCAGTAGTCTTTGAAACTGACCTGGTTTTGCTGAAAACGAGATTTGTCTAGAAGGGTTATCATCTTCACTACTTGCAACTTCGGTATAGGATTGACCAGTGGACTGAGTTGAAGATGAATCCTGGTCCTGAAAACTGATTTGCTTCGTGGTTTGTATATGTTCAGGCCTAGCATCCACCTTCAAGCTCAGGGTTTCAGTTGGAACTACTCCCCATGAGATGCTAGTATTAAGGTATGGCAAAGTGGAATCTTTCTTATTTATCTGATGCATAGCGTTCTAACAACCTATATCATTCAACAGGGTTGATTCAAAGATTCAGATTTTGGACAAGATGATAACTGATACAAAAGAAGATCCAAAAAAGGGATAACACAAATACAAGAAAGGGTGAAAAAACTTATAGATATAGAAATAAAGAGGTTGAAAGTTTCTAAATTTGTGTGATTTTATAATATTACATACAAAATTCATATCTAAACGCACCCTGATTCGATACAAGGATCAGTACTAACTTGGGTAAACCAAACGATGCAGAGATCGTGACGATTGGCCGAAATTAGAAATCTTCCGACCAAGATTAAAAACAAAAAAATTGTGCCCGTCATCACTTTTGGCAAAAAGTCGTTGACTTGAGAGGAAAATTTTGCAGATTTTTCAAATCAGTAAAACATTTAATCGCACGCCACAAGACAGATACACCAAAAAAAGGAACAAAGAAAAGAGCGAAATTTTGACACAGAGATTTAGAATCAGATCTTTCGGACACAGACTACAGATGCAGAAGGAGAGAGATAGAAAAGAAGAACCTTTGGAGTATTCGATGAAATGACGATGAACAAGGACACAGATTAGTCTTGCATGTCTCCTTGTATTTAGAAAACAAAGTGAACTGTCTCTCTCAGTGAATCAGAGTGTGTAATCGTATTGGACTGGTATGATGTTTTCTTCTGCTTCTTCGTCTTTCTCTCACCTTTGCTGGGAAACCACCATCGCCATGAGCACCACTACCACCTGGACCTTCTGGTTAATTATTGTCTTAAGTGCTTTAATTATTCATTTATTAGCTTAATTTATTTATTCACTTTACCCAAAACACAGAATAAGACTCTCTCTGGCTCTCTGCCTTTCCCACTTTTTTATAATTTTTTTTCTTTTCATTTTATAATTTCAGATTCCTAAATTCTTTAAATAAGCCAAAGTGATAATTTAATGAAATTTAATTCTAGGGGTATTTGTCTAAACTCTTTTGATAATGTCATTCTGGAAATATAAACGTACAATTAAAGATTTATTTTTGCATCTTCTAAATTAACGATTGTTACCTCAGCAAATTCGTTTTAGCAGTATCCCTTTATTATTTTATCACTTTTGGAAATAATGTATTGTTATGTAAGGCCCTCCCCTGTATTAACTTTTCCCCCATCTTATATTTCGAATATAACTAAGTTTTTTGGCTGTATGATGTCTTCCTAATCAATCTAATCTAATCTACTAATAATGAGGCCAAAAAAGTATTAGCTATCTTGGCCACGTTAGCTTTGTTCATATCTTTAGTTTTTGTGAAGCTTTTAAAATGCTAATTTGTTATTTTAGCTTTTTGTCCAAAGTGTGTTGTCGTTTCTAGATAATGAAAACTTTTAAATTTATGAACCGTCCTTAAATGCTCTTAAGTCTTTTACTCGTTAGTTTTTAGCCGCCCCTCTAGATTTTCATCTCTCACGCGCCCCCTAAAGCTCGTGGTTCACATGCTCTTTGAAGTAAATATACAACAAATTTTTACCAGGGGCATAAAACTTCATTTTCTATCTACAAGTTATATAATAGACTTATTACAACCATTTTTGGTTTAAGGAAAATGTAAGCATGTAAAATGAGTTAAGAATAAGGATTGTATTATACTAAAATCTTAGGTTAGGTTCTGGATCAAGTACCTAACCTTTTTGCAATGAAAGAAAGCTTTAGTGCAAGTCAAGCATAGTAGTCATTCTCATCTATCTTTGGAACAACCAAAACATAATAATTGCTAGCGAACCTTTTTTTTGTTTTTTTTTTTCAAATGTTTTTGGGCTTTGAGGCCTTTATTGATCTATGAGAATTTGGACACGTGGGTAATGGGTGTACTCATCTCCTAGGGACCAAAATCAAAAGCTAATCACCTTTCTTTGGACCAAAGAGAAAAAACAATAATAGTAGAACCACAGAAGTGATGAATAGTAAATGACTCAAGAAGATTACTAGTAGTATTTTTTCTTTTCTTTGGTTTCAGAATATACTCCGCTTTAATGTTAAGTTGGTTTTACTTTAGATTATTACTTACTTGAAGATGTATAATTCAGTGTTTGTATTCGAAAATGTAAATAATGAGTCCAATAAAAGGAATGTTAGTTATGTTGTCATGATGTATGATTTTTAAACATTTCAAGTGTGAACATAACTCTTTTAGGTCTGTCTCACCAATAATTGGTGTCTTCTTCATCGATAGCCTAAACTAATGAAGCACACGTTTCATGGAAACGCAAACACACGGACAGGGGCACAACCTGGTGAAGGTTGTTGAGTAAAAGCAGAGCAATGTCTAGTTATTTGAGCAGAGTATTTTCTAGTATTAGTAATATGAAAAAAAAAACAAGAAATTGATGCTCCATGTTGATTTTTGTTTGTTGGTCACGTGAGCTCCATACTGTAGTATCTTGTCTGAGTTACTAGTATCTATTTAAAATCTATACGACTCTAGCGAGATACACGTGCATACGAAGAAATGTCTGTCAATTTCCGTGTTTAAATATGCTTGTAAATTGTAGACAACTCCGAAAAGAAGTTTCACCATTCACCAACACCGCCTCTGAAACATTCACATCAAGAGAGAGATTCAAGAACCTTGTTCTGTTTTTTCTTTTTCTTTTTGTTACTATGAACTGATCTCTTTTGAGTTTGTCTGAATTTTTCTGTTCAATTTTTGTAGCATAGCTAATGAATGGATCGTAGAAGCAGATAACTGTTTATCTTAACTTGGTAAAAAAAAGTTATATTTATGTAACTTTATTATGTTGCTGCGCTCTCAACTCTTCCCGGCAAAAATTAAGCGTCCGTCGCTCTGTTTTCATCTTCCCGGCAAAGCTAATTTTATTGGCTAAGCGAAAGTCGAGTAATGATTTGGAGACCAATCGATTCCAAAGAAACATAAGGAGATCACAAGTGTTTTAATTTTTTCGTGATGCTATCATTGATTAACCAGAGCAGCAGCATCTAAGGTGGTGAAGAAATCTTACATTACAGGAAAATATTTTACTGGTAATAAAAACTTATAAACTTTTAAGTTAAAAACACCAGAAAAGCTTCATCGTCTATACTATCAGTCGTCGGCAGAAAATATTTTCTTCTCTCCGCACCAAAGAGGTTTTTCACTGAGTTTCTTCGGTTCCGGTTTGGTCTCCAAATCAAGGCTAAATCGTCGAAGGTTGTCTTCGTACCTGGAATATATATTAAAAAAAAAAACACTTTGTCATGTAATCTCTCCATGTATTACCAAAAACTTACACCCAATGTGCTCTTCTTGATAACAAAACTCAACAGTTAAATAGTTAAACCCCTTACCAAAGCTTCTCTGCAAGGTTGTACCTAAATTTAACAAAAATAATCTTCTGTTATGACATCCAAAAAAACTATAGCAATAAATTAAAGAAACAAATCTCCATAATGGAAAATCAATTTACTTGGGTCGGAAAGGATATGGAGCTATCTCAGCCTTGTCAAGAATCAACGTACGACTATTTTTCTCCTTCAGCACCTACAGGATAAAATATTTACTCAGCAATCCTACTTTTATATATGTAACTACTTGTATGTTTTTCATTATAAGTATACACCACTTTTCATATGACTACTTCAATACTCTCTCTCACCTTCAATGCTTCGTTAGCAGAAGCAAACTCAACAAAGCAACAGCCCACATGCTCACCCATGTGGTCTACAATAAGTCGAATACGAACAACTTCTCCAACATCTTTGAAGTAACTGATGCTGTTAGGATGGAGGATAAAATATATTAGTCATGAAAAACTTGCTCCAAGAACGAAAGAGGATATTAAAAGGTGCTACTTACATCTGTGATATTCTAATGTTGTAAGCGAGATTGTCTACAAAGAGCGTCTTTTTTCTTACGGCAACTTCCTGAATTTAACAGCCAAGTGTGTTAGCACTACTCTAAGGAGAAAGCGACTCAAAACTGCACAACAACAAAAGGTAGACTCATCCTCCGAATAATTCATCTTTCGACTTTTGTGGCAACAGTTGTGTTAGTAAACGCCAAACGCTTCTTCTGAGCCTGACATATTTTGAAGATAACATTACCTCAACAAAATCTGGAGTTTCATCAAGTCCTTCCACTGCTGCATCTTCTTTTATCAGAAGCCTTTCTCGTTGAAGGTAGTCTTCGTACCTGGAATATATCAACAAAAAACCTTGTAATCTCTCAATGTATACCAAAAACTTCACCCAATGTACTCTTGATAACAAACTCAAGGAAGCAAATAGTTAAATCCCTTACCAAACCTTGTGATCGATGCAATACCTAATGAACAGAAAACAATAGCGTTAATCTTCAGTACTGGCATCAAAACTCTAGCAATAAGTTACAAACAGTGTTACAGAAACAAAAATCAATTTACTTGGGTTGTCGAGGGTATGGAGCTGTCTCAACAACACGAAGAATAATCTTGCGATCGTCCAAACATTCACCGTTCTTCTTTTCCAGCGCCTACATTATGAAATACAACTTGTATAATTTTCATCATAAGTATACTAAAATACTTTTTTCATCATTACTATAAACAACTCTCACCTCCTTTGCTTCGTCAGCAGAAGCAAACTCAACAAAGCCATAGCCCACTTGCTTGCCCTTGCTGTCTACAATAAGTCGAACATGAACAACTTCTCCAACATCTTTGAAGAAATCGATGCTGTAAAAACGGAGGATTAAAGATTTAGTCATGAAAAACTTGATCCAAGAAAGAGAGGAAATTAAAGGTGCTACTTACATATCTGATATTACAGTTTGGTGAGAGCGATCAACAACAAAGAGCGTCTTATTTCTTACGGAAGCTGCCTGAATTTAACAACCAAGTGTGTTAGCACGATTCTCAGGATAAAAGGACTTAATTTTCATAACAACAAAAGCAGCCTCATCTATTAGATTCATCCGCAGAATAAGTCATCTTTCGACGTTGTGGAGCCAGTTCTGTTATTAAAGGCTAAGCGTTTCTTCTAAGTCTAACATGTTTTCAAGATAATAATAAGAACATGCACCTCAAGAGAATCGGGAGTTTCGTCAAGTCCTTTCATCAACAAGATCCTGTGATCGTGCAAATATTCACCATTCTTCTCTTCCAGTGCCTACAGTATAAAAGATTTGATCTGCTATCTACTTGTATAGTTTTCATCATAGGTATACACTACAATTCAAATTACTTTAGTACTTTTTTCATCATTACTACAAAACTACTCTCACCCTCTTTGCTTCGTAAGCAGAAGCAAACTCAACAAAGCCATAGCCCACATGCTTGCCTTTGCCGTCTACAACAAGTCGAACACCAACAACTCTTCCAACATCTTTGAAGAAATCGATGCTGTAAAAGAGGATGATAGAATATCAGTCATGAAAAACTTGCTCCGAGAACGAAAGTGGAAATTTAAGATGCTACTTACATATGTATTATTCTATTTGTTTGGGGAGAAAGATTGGCAACAAAGAGTACATCCTGAATTTAATAGCCAAGTGTATTAGCACAACTATAAGGAGAAAAAGACTTAAATTTGCATAACAACAAAATGTAGTCTCATCTCATGAAGATTCATCCCTAAAAAAATAAGTCATTTTGAAGATAATAAGCAGAGGTACCTCAACAAAATCAGGAGGTGTCTCATCTTCTTTAGTAGGAAGGATCGGAAGGCTTTCTCGTTGAAGGTAGTCTTCGTTCCTGAAATATATCGAAAAAACCCTTGTGATCTCTCCATGTATACCAAAAACTTCACCACGTCATAATCTTAATAACAAACTCTAGAGGCAAATAGTGAAATCCCTTACCAAACCTTGTGATCTATGATAAACCTAAATAATAACAAAAAAAAAATAATAATAATAGCGTTAATCTTCTGTATATGGCATCAAAACTCTTGCAATAAGTTACAACCAAGTGTTACAATAACAAATATCCATAAAAGAAATCAATTTACTTGGGTGGAGTGTTTGCAGCCCTATTAGACACACCCTTAAGAAGAATCTTATGATCGTGCAAGTATTCACCATTCTTCTCTTGCAGAGCCTACAGTATAAAAGAGTTAAATCAGCAATCCTACTTTCATTAACTAGTTGTATATTTTTCATCATAAGTATACAACACTTTTCAAATGATTTCTTAAAAATACTTATTTCATCATCATTATTATAAACTATCACTCACCTTCTTTGCTTCGTTAGCAGAAGCAAACTCAACAAAGCCACAGCATTTATGAATCCACTCGCGGCTTACAGTAAGTCGAACACGAACAACTTCTCCAACATCTTTGAAGAAATCGATGCTGTAAAAATGGAAGGACAAAACATCAGCCTTTTGCTCCGAGAACCAAAGTGGAAATTTAAGGTGCTATAGCTACTTACAGATCTGATATTTCAGTTTGGGGAGAGAGATTGGCAACAGAGAGTGTCTTTTTTATCACGGAAACTTCCTGAATTCAACAGCCAAGTGTGTTAGCACGACTCTTAAGGAGAAAAAGGACTTCAATTGCAAAACAACAGAAAGTAGATTCATCCCCAGAATAAGACATCTTTCGAATTTGTGGCAAAAGTTGTGTTATTAAATGCTAAGCGTTTCTTAAGAGCCAGAAGATGATAAAAAAAAAAAAAGAGGTACCTTTAAAAAAATCGGCAAGTCATTCAACTGTTTCATAAACTTGTACAATATATGCAAAATATCTAACAGTAGAATATTTAAATTTTCAAAATTTCTACCTTCACTGAGCTTAAATTAGCCTGATCAGACTTTGTCTGCAACAACTCGACCTTTCCTTTGTTCTGCTCAGCAAATCCTTTCGTTGTCTCCTTCTCCTCGGATATTTCCTTGTGTCTCCTCAACTGTTTCATAAACTTGTACAATATATGCAAAATATCTCTAAAAGTAGAATATTTAAATTTTCAAAATTTCTACCTTCACCGAGCTTAAATTAGCGTGATCAGACTTTGTCTCCAACAACTCAACCCTTCCTTTGTTCTGCTCAGCAAATCCTTTCGTTGTCTCCTTCTCCTCGGATATTTCCTTGTGTTTCCTCAGAATCGGTTCGTTCACCAAATCATCTTCCGGCTTTCTCTTACCCAATAAACTAGCTTTGTCGGGCATGGAGAAGACGAAAACAGCTAGCGACGGTTTATTTTGCCGGGAAGAGTTGAGAGCAGCAAACAAACTTGTATAAATAACCTTTCGAGATCCACCTTATGTAAAAAAAAAAAAAAATTTATCTGGACCTTTTTGGGCTGGGCTTTTCTTGGTTGGGTACACAAGATAACAGAATCTAGCTACATTGGAGCTTGTAATTAATAAAAATAAATTAATAAAAACCGAAAATAGCGGATTCCACACAAAAAAAAAAAAAAAGAAGTATTTTCGTATGCTAAACATATTTAGATCAAGTCGGTTGTTTCTATTTCCTTTATTTTAGACTCGCTATTTTTTTTTTCTTCTTTTCAACACATATATATATATATATTAGTTTTTGCTTTTATTTCGACATACTGTATTTCCTTTTTAAGTAAAGAAACCTTTATCTATTCGAAGAAGGACAAAACACCCTATAAGTAAACTTGTCTTGTTGTCTCTCATAAACTTGGAGGCTATAAGAGATTTGTCTTGGTGTCTCTCAGAAACGGGTTTGGAGGAAGGACCGGAAGAGAAAAAGACAACCTTTGAGTTTTTTTTTTTGTTGCCAACCTTTGAGTTCGAAGATGAATTCAGCCGTCGAAGAGTCACCGCGTAAAAAGAGGAGCAGTTGTCCACCTCCGTCTCCGATATCATTGCTGCCAGATGAGATGGTTCTAAGCTGAATATCTCGAGTGTCGAGATCGGACCATGCGGCCTTATCTCTGGTCTCGAAGAGCTATCGCTCTCTAGTAGCTTCACCAGAGCTCTACAAGATGCGATCGCTATTTGGTTTCGCTGAGAATTGTCTCTATGTATGCTAAACTCAGCCCATGTGACCCAACTCCATGCTGGTACATCCTCCACCGTGAGAATCGGCTTCTGAGACCGATCCCGTCATTCTCCTCTCAGGCTCCGGAAGGATCCTCCGTGGTGGCGCTGGACTGGGGGATCTATGTGATTGGTGGATTGATAAAGGTGAAGAAGCCCACTTCGGATGCTGTCAGTTAATCCACGCCAGTGTGGTCGTGAAGGAGGAAAAGCTTTATGCAGTGGATCTTCTGGAAAGAACCTTGTATTTGTCGCCGAGTACTGAAAGTAAATGGGGAAGAGGGAATCATAGTGAATTGCGAGGAAACAAATGGGATTGGTGTGTGATTGATAACATTATCTACTCTTGTGATCTGTATATGGGGAGTTGTGTTGGTGTGAGCAAGTTCAGTTGGAGTGCTCTGAACCAGAGGGGATGTATTGGAAGAAGGTACAAGGTTTAGGATCTCTCAAGGAGAGTCTCTCTAGAAGGCTTTAGGGTCTGTGGAAGTCCCGTGGGTTTGGTATCGACCACAAGATGATAGATTTACTTCCCGGAGCCAGACTCAGCAAATCTGTTCCTAACCTTGTGCTCTTTTGGGATGTCATCGAAGGGGATCATCTTGAGATTTGGTGTGCAGAGATTTCCTTGGAGAGACGCCAAGGAGCCGAGATTTGGGGCAACATTCAGTGGTCTCATCCTGTCAAGACCGTTGTACCTTTCTTACATCACTACAAGGTTTTTGCATTCAGTTTCTGTCACTCTCTCAACTCGTCCTTGTTTTTAATTGTTACTTATGCGTCTTTATCTTATATTTGCTTCAGTGAATCCAATTAGTTACTCTTCTGCTGTTCGGTCTTCTCCATGCCTGAATATTTACTCAATGTGGAGTGAAACACATATACAATTGCTTGAGTTTCCTAAATATGAGGAAGCTCTTGCTTTCTTCTCTGTGTTTGCTTTCAAGCGAATAAACCCTCTTCCTGGTTAAGAGGAGCTTTCGTTTCTTGCTGTCCAAGTTTCAAATCGTCGATCCTCTTACCCTCAAAATGTTGGGAACTTTTTTATGCAATAAGGAGAAAGACGAATGGGTAAGTACATTGCGTAGACTCCAAGCTTCACATAATAACTACGCTACAGAGATTTGCAGGTATATCGGAGCAGATGACTATATGCACCGAGACGTCCGATGAAAGTGGACCAACACATTGGAGTCGATGAAGTAAACCGTTTCCCATTTTAACGCTTTGCTTTTAAGTGATCATTTCATTTGATCTCTCCTTTTCAGAATCACGTACGTTTGTACGTAATCTTGTAAAAATGGTTCAAAATAAGACGAACAGGTAAATGAGTCTCTGTTTCGATACTAAACTCATCTGTATTTTATATGATTGATTGTGTGTTTTGTATTTCCTGTATTCTATGGTTGGACTTAAGCTAATTCTCGGCATTTAAAACCTTCTAGCTCAACGAGATTTGTTCGTGGTATTACAGACAAGTCAACAACACATGCAGCGGAAGTGAAAATGGGTCCACCAGAGATGGGCCCAATTATAAAAATATGCAGATTATGAAAATTTCCCATCTACTTTCAATGTGACAACAAGTTGATTTTCTTTTTGTTAGGTGATATTCTTATCTTGGTTGATTTTCTTTGAAAATTGATTTTCTTTTTTTAACAAAAAGAAAACAAGGTGATTTTCTTATCTTGGTGTGTAGAGTTAGTAAGGTGTGCGTATTAGTTTGCCAAAAAATCAGACTCGATGGATTATCATCTTTACTACATGCATGATTGCATGCAACTTCTTATCTTGGTTAGTACAATTTTATTTTCACGTAACTAAAACGATTACAACGGGATAAAAGACTCGGACAATGCGGTTGGCTTACATAGGATTGATCCGGTGGAAAGAAACTGAACATCTAAGGGTGGTGGTCGCTGTTTTTTTTGTTTTTGGTAAAATGTTAAAATGGTGGTCGCTGTTGGAAGCGAACCATCCCCGAAGAAATCTTACATTACAGAAAAAAAAAATATTTTACTGGTAATAAAAAAGTTATAAACTTAAGTTTGCATTGTATCACACAAGTTAAATAACACCAAAAAAACTTCATTTTCTCATATCAGTCGTTGGCAGAGAAGATAGTCTTCTTTCCGCGCCAAAGAGGTTTATGTTTCTTCACATCCGGTTTGGTCTCCAAATCGAGGCTAAATCTTCGAAAGCAATCTTCGTACCTGGAATATATCAAAAGCCCTTGTTATCTCTCCATGTATATTACCAAAAACTTCACCCAAATGTGCTCTTGATAACAAAACTAAAAAAAAAAATGTATAATTAAATTCCTTACCAAAGCTTTTCTGCAATGTTATACCTGATTAACAAAAAATAATAGCGTTAATCGTCTGTTATGACATCAAAACCATATCAATAAGTTAAAAAACAAATATCCATAATGGAAAATCAATTACTTGAGTTGGAAAGGGTATGGAGCTATCTCAGCCTTGTCAAGAATCAACGTATGATTATTCTTCTCTTTCAGCGCCTACATGATAAAAGATTTACTCAGCAATCTTGCTTTCAGATAACTACTTGTACATTTTTCATCATAAGTATACACTTTTTTTTCAAATGATTTCTTAAAAAAATACTTATTTCATCATTACTGTAAACTACTCTCACCTTCATTGCTTCGTTAGCAGAAGCAAACTCAACATACCCACAGCCCACATGCTCACCCCTGTGGTCTACAATAAGTCGAATACGAACAACTTTTCCAACATCTTTGAAGTAATAGTTCCTGTAAGGATGGAGGATAAAATATTAGTCATGAAAAACTTGCTCCAAGAACGAAAGAGGATATTAAAAGGTGCTTGCTACTTACATATATGATTTACTAATGTTCTTAGAGAGATTGTCAACAAAGAGCGTCTTTTTTCTTACGGCAACTTCCTGAATTTAACAGCCAAGTGTGTTAGCACGACTCTACAAAGAAAAGGATTTTAAATTGCACAACAACAAGAAATAGATTCATATTTTGAAGATAACGAGGAAAAGTACCTCAACAAAATCTGGAGTTTTATCTTCAAGTCCTTTCCCTGCCGTATCTTCTTCTATCAGAAGCCTTTCTCGTTGAAGGTAGTCTTCGTACCTGGATTATAAAAAAAAACCCTTGTGACCTCTCCATGTATACCAAAAACATCACCCAATGTGCTCTTGATAACAAACTCAAGATGCAAATAGTTTAAGTCCCTTACCAAACCTTGTGATCTATGCAATACCTAAATTAACAAAAATAATAGCGTTAGTCTTCTGTAATGGCATCAAAACTCTTGTAACAAGTTACAACCAGTGGTACATAAACAAAAATCAATTTACTTGGGTCGTAAAGGGTATGGAGCTGTCTCAACAACACGAAGAAAAATCTTGCGATCGTCCAAACATTCACCGTTCTTCTTTTCCAGCGCCTACATTATGAAATATTTAGTCAGCAATCGTACGTTCAAATAACTACTTGTTTAATTTTCATTATAAGTATACTAAACAATATTTTTCATCATTTACTATTAACTAGTCTCACCATCTTTGCTTCGTTAGCAGAAGCAAACTCAACAAAGCCATAGCCCAATTGCTTGCCCTTGCAGTTTACAATAAGTCGAACATGAACAACTTCTCCAATATCTTTGAAGAAATTGATGCTGTAAAAATGGAGGATAAAATTATTAGTCATGGCAACACTTGCCAACAACGAAAGAGGAAATTTACTTACATATCTGATATTAATATTTGGCGAGAGCGATGGACAACAAAGAGCGTCTTATTTCTTACGGCAGCTGCCTGAATTTAACAGCCAAGTGTGTTAGCACGATCCTCAGCAGAAAAGGACTTAAATTGCATAACACTCATCTAAAGATTCATCCAAAAGAATAAGTCATCTTTCGACTTTGTGGCAATAGTTCTGTTTCTGTTATTAAAGGCTAAGTGTTTCTTCTGATTGTCTGACATGTTTTGAAGATAATAATAAGAACAGGCACCTCAAGAGAATCGGGAGTTTCGTCAAGTCCTTTCATCAACAAGATCTTGTGATCGTGCAAATATGCACCATTCTTCTCTTCCAGCGCCTACATTATAAAAGATTTAATCAGCTATCCTACTTTCAAAAATATCTGCTTGTATAGTTTTCATCATAAGTATACACTACAATTCAAATTACTTTATTACTTTTTTCATCATTACTAGAAATCTACTCTCACCCTCTTTGCTTGGTAAGCAGAAGCAAACTCAACAAAGCCATAGCCCAAATGATTTCCCTTGCCGTCTACAACAAGTCGAACACTAACAACTTCTCCAACATCTTTGAAGAAATCGATGCTGTAAAATAGGATGATAGAATATCAGTAATGAAAAACTTGCTCCGAGAACGAAAGTGGAAATATAAGGTGCTACTTACATATGTGACATTCTTTTTGTTTGCGGAGAGAGATTGGCAACAAAGAGTACATCCTGAATTTTACAGTCAAGTGTGTTAGCACGACTCTTAGGAGAAAAAGACTTAAATTTGCATAACAACAAAATGTAGTCTCATCTCATGAAGATTCATCCCAAAATTAAGTCATTTTGAAGATAATAAGCAGAGGTACCTCAACAAAATCAGGAGGTGTCTCATCTTCTTTAATAGGAAGGATCGGAAGGCTTTCTCGTTGAAGGTAGTCTTCGTACCTGGAATATATCAAAAACCCTTGTGATCTCTCCATGTATTACCAAAAACTTCACCCAAGTGTGCTCTTGATAACAAACTCTAGAGGCAAATAGTTAAATCCCTTACCAAACCTTGTGATCTTTGTAAAACCTAATCAACAAAAAATAATAGCGTTAATATATCTTCTGTATATGGCATCAAAAACTCTTGCAATAATTAGTTATAACAACCAGTGTTACAGTAACAAATCTCCATAACATAAATCAATTTACTTGGGTAGAGGGTATGTAGCTTCTCTATTAGCATCAACAAGAAGAATCTTACGATCGTGCAAGTATTTACCCTTCTTCTCTTCCAGCGCCTACAGTATAAAAAATTTAATCAGCAATCCTACTTTCAGATAACTACTTGTATATATATTTTTCATCATAAGTATACACACACCACTTTTTCAAATGATTTCTTAAAAATACTTATTTCATCATCATTACTATAAAACTATCACTCACCTTCTTTGCTTGGCTAGCAGAAGCAAACTCAACAAAGCCAGAGCAATTCTGAATCCGCTCGCGGTTTACAGGAAGTCGAACACGAACAACTTCTCCAACATCTTTGAAGAAATCGATGCTGTAAAAAATGGAAGGATATAAAACATCAGCCATGAAAAGCTTTTGCTCCGAGAACCAAAGTGGAAATTTAAGGTGCCTTTTGCTACTTACAGATCTGATACTTTAGTTTGGGGAGAGAGATGGCGAACAAAGAGCGTCTTTTTTCTTACGGCAGCTACCTGAATTTAGCAGTAAAGTGTGTTAGCACGACTCTTAAAATTTCAAAAAAAAAAAAACAGAGTGGATTCATTCCCCAATTATAAGTCATCTTTCGATTTTTGTGGCAACAGTTGTGATACTAAACCCTATCAGAGCCTAACATAATTTGAAGATAATAAAAAGAGGTACCTAAACAAAATCGGCAAGTCCTCATCTGTTTCATAAACTTGTACAATATATGCAAAATATCTCTAAGTATCTAACAAAAAAGTAGAACATGTAAGTTTCCAAAAAATCATACCTTCAGTGAGCTTATTGAATTAGCCTGATCAGACTTTGTCACCAAAAATCATACCTCGGATTTTTTCCTCAGAATCGGTTCGGTCACCAAATCATCTTCCGGCTTTCGCTTACCCAATAAACTAGCTTTGTCGGACATGGAGAAGACGAAAACAGCTAGCGACGGTTTATTTTGCCGGGAAGAGTTGAGAGCAGCAAACAAACTTGTATAAATAACCCTTAGAGATCCACCTTGTGAAAAAAGAAAAAGTATCTGGACCTTTTTGGGCTGGGCTTTTATTAGTTGGGTACACAAAATAATAGTATCTAGCTACATTGGAGCTTGTGATTACGTACCTTCCAAGGCATCAAAGAGAATTGATCCGGGGAGACAGATCGGACAAGTCGCGAAACAGCACGAGATGAGACAAAAAGGTCAAATCGTGGAGGATTGCTACGAAGTTCATCAGCTTTTTTAGGTCATTAGCATTCAAACAGAGAGACGATCATGCTGGTTTCTGCATATCGAGCTATTAATGTTTTTTTCGACCCTGAAATATTTAGTGGCTTTGTTGTGTGGTAGAGGTCAGCTTAGGGAAAGACTAAGCGTAGTCTTTAGATTCGTTTGGTTAAATGTACAAAGTGTAGATTTTCGATACTATGAAAGTGATTTTATTTCTGTTATCTATACATATACCTGTATTTCGCTACATTGATGTTGTTCAGCAGTCGATAAGGCTAACAGGAAAGTGTTTGGCTGTCATTGGAGGATTGAGATCGATCGAGAAGATAAAATCTGTGACAGTATGCTTGCCGGAGATATTATGTAAACAAAAAATCTGTGCAATGACATGATTCAATATTACACCTTTCTTCATCTTTGAGAGAGAGCAACGTTATAATTGAAATCTCAGTACCTCCCTCCAAGAGACAATCTGACGAGACCCTTTATAACGATGAAACAGGCAAAACTTCAAAGGTGGTCCATATGGACTATGTATTGGCTGAAGCAATCGTACCAGGCAGGACAATCGGGCAAAAAAAATATAATTCTTCTAAATCAAGAGGTATGCAAAACAAAATAATATAATTACCAAGGTAAGCGTTCCCAAATAGCTACTGACAAACAAACAAATGAAACAATCCAACAAAAACAACCCACGAGACTTGTTAGGGGATCGAATAAATAAATTTAAAAAAAAAAAAGGGGTTAAAGGACAACAAGACCACAAGAACAAACAAATGCAGACCAGAATTGTTGGAGAGTTTTTGCCAAATCATGTAACATAATTTACAGTGAAAGACCTTTTTCATTGATCAGCGTTAAGGGCTTTGGAGATCCATTCTGATGCTGCGGCTTGAATTTCCGAATCCTTTTTTGGACATAGAGGCAGCGGAGTCACAGAAACCTGTCATATATAGAAATGGTAGTTTAGAATCCAGATACACTTTCCTTACGAAACATCTGCAAAATTCAAAAATTTAACCAGACAAGCTCTGTATTTATACGGCTGAAGGGTTGATTATTTGATAATGAAAAGAAAAAATAATACTGGACAAAATGATACAGAAAAGAGCATGATCTTGCCGACTTACAAAACCATCTTCTAGAGCCTTGACATCCAAATCTTCATCCGTAAGTTCTTGTTCTTTAGTCACAAACTGCACATAAACATAGTCAGAATCTCAAACAAATGTTACATACTAAATATCCAAAGGGTTTAAGGGCTAAAATTCTTATCTACCTCTAGACGGAAGTATTTCTTAACACGGCTATCAGTTTTACCAGCAACACCAACCGATTCAATCTCAACAATACTCTTCTTCTGTGTGGTAAATCGGCGAGCCGCCCCCTGAGATTGCCAGATATCTTAAGTCTCAGTATCTAATTAACTAAGCTTTGACCTTCTCAACCAACAACTAATATGGAAATAACAAAGTTAAGGGTATAAAACTTTTGAATAGGAGGAGTTCACTCACAGCAGCTGAAGCATCTCTGCCAAGCTGGGCAAGCTGAGCTCCTAGACTTTGTTGGTTGGACATGAAATTCCCAGCACCAGGGTGACGGTTAGCTGAAACAGCTTGCCAACAAGGACTCTGCCTCCACACACTTTGTTTTGTTACCTTGAAACCCTATTCATATGTACACAAAACGTCAACTCCCGTAAATCATTGACCAGGGAGGCTCTGATTTCACAACATTAAAGAATACCATTGCAAAGCATAAATCATGTTCTTACTTCTTAGCATAAAAAATTTGAAACAAAAATTAGCTTCTGAGACGAGTGTTAGAAATATAAACCTTGTTTGATGAGGGTGATGTGGGAATTTCTATGTTGAGAGAGCAGTCTTTAGGGAAAACTCCTTTCTCAATGTCTCTGATTGTTGCGTTTATCAAAGGTAAACAGACACCAACAGCATCCTTGAAGTCACTTTCTTGGCTTTCATCTTTCTTCCTATAATTGATACGAAGTTTTTTATGGCCAACACGACCACATATGAAGCAGCACGCATTCGCATTCTCATGATATACTCACCAGTTCAATGATATTGACAAAGAGGGTACTCCAGAAATCAAGGCTTCCCTGGCTCCAGCAACTGCACCTGAATAGAACCTGGAGGATTCTCACATCAGGAAACACAGAGCAGACGGGAAGACAAGGAATAGCTAGTTTTATACAAGACAAAAGCACTTACATTTGATGCCCACAGCTTGATCCCTGATTGATTCCACTAATTACCTGAAGAACATAAGCAAGGACAGAGATGCATACATTATAACTTGCCAAAATCTCCTACTGTCAAATGATGAGATCACCAAAATTAGGTGCTAACCAATATTGGTTTGGACCAAGCAAAGAGCGCCCCTGATAATCCTAACGAGATGCAGTCCACAGGAGTCCCTGAGACAAAAGTATAATCTCAAAGCCTTTGACCAGAAACGGCACTCATACGATATACATTAAGACACGAAACTGGCGAAAAAGGTCTACACTTTTCAAACAACTTAAAAATCAATGGATCTTGTTTTAACAAAGACTCCAACTTTCACTGTATTAATAATCATTCAATCAAATCCGCGTACCTGAAACTTCAAAGGCTGTGGCACCGTTGATATTAGTGGAACTTGCAGCAATGGTTTCTCCTGGAGTCGTAGAATGAGCAGCCGCTGATTTATCCCTGCACATTCCAAATCACAGGCCTTGTGGGTCACCATAAGTTGGGAAATTTAACAAATCTTTCAAAACATCGCAAGTAGTAGGATTCGTAATCTAAAGGGGGAAAACCACACGTTTGAGGAGCACAGACATAGACATTGTAGAGCCCTTCGCGAACCAAAGCCTCGACGAGAGAGACGAGCCCAGGCGAATCAATCCCATCGCCATTCGTGACTAAAACGATGGGTTTTGAGTCATCGATCTCCTTCTCTGCGGCCGAAACATCGACGGAATCAGAAGTAGACGGAGCCTCCTCCGCCGATCCATCGCTCACAGTTCCTTCCTCGCTCCCTCCTCTTCTTTTCGAAAGCACATCCTGGAGATTCGAGACAAGCGCGGCTGATAAGCCGTTGTTCTTCGCGGAAGTCGAGGTCATATTAGACAAAGAGAGAAGAAGAAGAAGAAACGCAGATGATGTGGGTCTGTGTTGAAGGAATCAAAACCCTAGCGAGAAGGGGAAGACGAAGAAGAAAATTGGACACAGAGAGCGGGTCTTACGGAGTTGTCGTGGAGAGAGAGAGAGGAAAGAGAGATGCTTTAATTGGTAGAGAGAGAAAGCTTGAGAAAGAGATTACTTGTGAACTGTAACAATTGGTTTTCCGCTTAGATAGAGAAGAAGAAGAACAGTGACGCGCAATTTTTCCAACCAAAAATATTTTAATTTAATATTTATTACCATACAGTTGAAATAGTTTTTCTTCTTTTAAAAAAAAAAATTCTTCAAATATTGAGGATATGAAGTATGAACGATACAATTTGGGATAGTTTTTTTCTCTTTGTTTTTTTTTTTTGGATGAAATGGGATTTTTTTCTGAGTAAAGGTATTCCAAAACTTTAATCATGCATAAAGACACTTAAACCTTGAAATTTTAAACATATTATTACATTGTTTTCTTCTTACTAGGGTCAAAAGGATGAAACATGTTAGAAATGGTCCACATCTAATAATTATTCAGTTATCAGATGTCATAAGATGAATTATTACATACATTTAAAGTTACAGGAAACAAGTAATTTGAACCGACAGCATTATAGTACCTTGTTGGATGACTATTAAAACTGTTAATTGTTGCTAGATCATATGCTAGTGAAATATTATTTTTATTTTTGTATAGTTTAGGCTACACTATGTCTTTAATGCTTTGGTGCTGAAGTGGGTACAGACTACAAAAAAATAAAATTTTATAGCTGAAGAAAAACAAATTAGTATTTCTAAATTTGTCTATATGGTAGCTTATTCCTATTCGTTAGTTAGGGTTACAATACATACTACTAATGATTAACGAAAACTGATTATGAATGCCAATGGCAAAATATTGTAGGGTCTCAAAGTCAACAAGCGATTGGAAAATATCAATACGAGGGTGTTGACGTATTTGTTATAATTGTCTTCTTACTAATCATAAAATGTCAAAGGTTAGCTAGCCCCTTAATCTTGATAATTGAAATGGTGTGATCGTCACGTCGTGATGATTATTCGAATTACTATATCAATTTTACATTCATAAATTCAGAGGAAAACATGAATTGTTGTAAAGTATAACGAATTGATACTTTTTTTTTCTTATCCATTGTCCGCTAGCTAATTCAAAAACTTTATACTTTCTCCAAGTTTTGGGCTCTCTTTTTGCCTTTAATCTTTAGATCTTTTAAGTTTTAACAGTTGGCTACGAACATTTAGACAACTTTACAGATATAGAATAATAGAATGAAAATCTGTAATTGCTAAATAATCAGAATTCAAATTAAAGAGTTGAGAATGGGCCGTTTGTTATCATTCATTTGTGGATGAACTCTTGATTCGTTTTCTAATTTATGCATTGCTAAGATTAGTGTTGGGCCTAATTAACTAGTTGACCGAACACATCATCTGATATTACTAAACTTAAGAAGGCCTATACGGACTGCAAAGATTATAGTTTGAACCAATTCTTTTTTTTTTTTTTTGTTAAATAACTTTGAACAAATCTTTTTACAAAATTAAATAAGAAAAATCACATGGACAGTTTAGATTTTTACCGAATTTTCAAACTGAAAAATTCAGATTAATGTTGTTTAGCCTTTGACTCTTTCGTCTCAAATATTGTCAGAGCTCTGACTTTATTTCTTAGTTAGGAAAACAAAATACCACGACGTACAAGAACAAACAAACTTAATTTGAAAAAAAAAAACTTTATTTGACTTTATTGAGTAAAAAACAAAATACCGTAGCAGTACTGCCGACGAATCTATGACTCGGCAAAGTATGGTAGCATACGTTACTTACGAACTCAATGACTGCACAATATCGTATAGAATATGTTAGAAATTTTCAACAAAGATTATATTCGTTCAAAAAGAGCTTATAGATTAATCCCAAGGTAAGATATATATATATATATATCATATATGTATCCAGATCTTCAGTATCTGTGACGTTGCATGTGTTACACAGAAATAAATTATTATTTGGAATATATGATTGAGACATCCTATGGACAACAAACAAAACAATTCCAAGATTTCTGTAAAAAAATAAACTATGTTTCAACTTTAGGATGGCTATTATATTGCTGTTTACACGTAAACATGTCTCTAAAGGTAGAACAATTCTCTGGCGATTAAGTATAACTTGGTTTTAACTTTTTAAGCGTCAATTTCACGGTGTCTAGTAGGACGTACGGTATCGCAAAAACCATGGAACTATAATGGACACTTATTTTATTTTATTTTTGGTTGATTTATGTCTTATTGTAATAGCCCAAATCATATACAATAGTATCTATTGTTTTTAAGTTTCCATGAAATGTTTAAGCATGCATACACCACGGAAATCTAAGCTCATCTTCTTGTTACCTAATTAAAGTAGCTAAAACTCAGAGTGGGCGGCTGGACTAAGTTTATGATAAACATTAAATCTAGATAGGAGATCATAGTTTCAGTATGAAATTTATTAATTTATTAGAAGTTGAATTATTTGAACAAATTAATTCACTTATAACAATATATAAACGATCACCAGATCTCAAATTTCCTCAAACATAAAAATATTTTACCCCATTATTTGGTCATCTATAAACGCCTTAAATTATAAAAAAACTCGAAGTTTTATAAATATCGAGGTGTAACTTTAGTTTCAGATTAGGATGTCTCTATTTAATGAAAAAAACTGTCACTAGATCTTTACATTTGTCAGCAAAATAATAATATAGAAAAATAAATTCAAACAAAATAATATCAAAGATATATCTAACACATTAGTTAATTTAATCATTTTGTCTAAACATAAATTACAATCCGCGCAAAGCACGGTTTCAATCCTAGTTAATTAAACTATTCACATCAAATGTGAACTTAACGAATAAAATGAAAATATTATTTTTAAGTTTATCCCATTTGGATTTTTAATGATAATTTCATTACCGTTATAGTATTTTTCCTTCTTCCTATAAATCAAATTTGTTACTCTTTTTTTTGGTACACTTGCCAAATGCTCTTTAACTGAAAGGTGAAATGTCCCAATAGAGAGAAAAGGAAAAAAATAATCATGAACACGAGTTAGTCGATATTAGTTACCAATATATATATATATATAGATATATATCCAATGATAATGTTATTAAGTTTCCAAGAAAAGTTGTGAAGCAGTATACACCACAGAAAGAAAACTAAACTCAACTCACAGGGCGGCTGCACCAAAATTATGATGAAATTTATTTAAAAGATTGAAACTGACAAGCCGTACGTATTTTTATAATTAAATATATTGATTTCTTACAATTCGAATTATTTAACCCCAAAAAATGATCATACTGAAGAAAATGGAGGTTTTCATAATAAATTCTACACTAGTAAAAAAAAGGAGCATCCGTCTAATGGCTTATAGAATGTTTCTTCGAAATTTAATGGTAATTTCCGTTACCGTTAGCTAACTGTGTCTCCTCCTCCATAAATAACTCCTTTCGGGTACACTACAAATGCTCCCAAACTCAGAAGTCCCATTAAAAAAAAAAAAATGAACACGATCTTAAAAAAATTATCGTGCTTTAAGAGTAAAGTTAAATCGTTGCGACTATTCGAATCCAGGTCATCACTATCTTCTTCGTCTTCTTCCTCTTTCACCCCCAAGAGATTCGACGTCTTTCTAAGCTTCAGAGGCGCAGATACTCGCAAGAACTTCGTCAGTTTCCTCTACAAGGAGTTAGAGGCGAAAGGGATTCGAACTTTCAAAGACGACAAGGAACTTGTGAGAGGCCGTCTGATCTCGCCGGAGCTCCTTCAAGCCATCAAAGAGTCGAGAATCGCCGTCGTGGTGGTCTCTGCGAACTACCCAGGTTCCAACTGGTGTCTCGAGGAGCTCAGGGCGATTCTGAAGCTCGAGGCAAAGGGTTTGCTCACCGTGATGCCGATTTTCTACGAGGTGGAGCCTTCTCACGTGGGGAAACAGATCGGAGAAGTCGCGAAGCAGTTCAAGAAGCACGAGAAGAGACAAAGCAGAGAGAAGGTCAAATCTTGGAGGGCTGCGTTGGCCAGATTGGCTAATCTCTCCGGCGAGTGCTCAAAGAATTGGTAAAAATTCTCCATAACTTTTTGTTTCTATGATTGATAGACTCAGTCGTCTTGTTGATCAAACTGGGTTCGAGAATCTGATGTCGAATCTGTCGAATCGTTTATCAAGTTTCGATCTTTGTCTCTGTTTTCCTCTGTAGCAAAGATGACTCGAAGCTAGCAAAATCTCCATAGCTGTTTGTTTCTATGATTTATATATGAGTCGATCTTGTTGTTCATTCAATTGGGTTTGAGAATTTCATGTGGAATCTGTTGAATCGTTTATCAAGTTTCGATCTTTGTCTCTGTTTTTTTTTCCTCTGTAGCGAAGATGACTCGAAGCTAGTAAAATCTCTATAAGTGTTTGCTTCTATGATTTATGAATCAATCTTCTTGTTCATTCAATTGGGTTTGAGAATTTCATGTGGAATCTGTTGAATCGTTTATCAAGTTTCGATCTTTGTCTCTGTTTTTTTTTTTCCTCTGTAGCGAAGATGACTCGAAGCTAGTAAAATCTCTATAACTGTTTGCTTCTATGATTTATGAGTCAATCTTGTTGTTCATTCAATTGGGTTTGAGAATTTCATGTGGAATCTGTTGAATCGTTTCTCAAGTTTCGATCTTTGTCTCTGTATTTTGGTTATTTTTCCTCTGTAGCGAAGATGACGCGAAGCTGGTCGACGACTTTACAGAGAAAATATCAAACATGTTGTTCTCAGCAACACCAGTCAATGGTAAGAACCTAATTGGTATCGAAGGGCACATGAAGGAACTGTATCCAAGACTGGATCTAACTTCAAACGAACATGTTCGAGTAATCGGGATCTGGGGAAGAGGAAGCGGAGGCAGATCAGCACTCGCTCGACACGTTTACGAAAACATCTCGCATCACTTCGAAGCCCATTGCTTTCTCGAAGACGTGAGAAGGGTTTCACTACATTGCCGCAAATCTCATCTGCAAGAAGAGCTTATTTCCAAGATGAAAGGAGAAGGCTTGAACACAAAGAGCTCTCACAGGTGTCTTAACGCGATCAAAGCAAGGCTCAGGAACAAGAAGATTCTGCTTGTGGCCAACGATGTGGACAAGATCGAACAGTTAGACGCACTTGCAGAGGAGTTTAGCTGGTTTGGTCCAGGGAGCAGAATCATCATAACCACACAAGACAGGCAATTGCTTATTTCCTCGGTAGTGAAGGATGTCTACGAAGTCGAGCTCTTGAGATGCTACGAAGTTCGTCAGCTCTGTAGGTCAGAAGCATTCAAACAGAAAGACGATCCTGTTGGTTTCGAGCAGCCTACATATCGAGCCATGAATCTTCCTGGTATTAATGTTTTCGTGACCCTCAAATATTTGGTGGCTTTGTTGTGTGGTAGAGGTCAGCTCAGGGAAAGGCTAAGTGAAGTCTTTCGATTCGTTTGATTACAAAGCAAAGCCTTAATAGATACAAAGTGCAGTAGATTTAAGTCAAATAACTTGATTTTTTTATTTTTTTGAATAAATTGTTTAGATTTCATTCAGGAAGATTAACTTGATGTGTTTGTTTGTTCCTTTTAGTCTTAATAATGTTAGGCCCTTTTTTGGATCTGGATTCACCAGTTGTATACTTGTATGTAACTTTGATCTTCCTGATAAGCAATAAAGAATACACCATTTTTTTAAAAAATTGCCTGTTTTGGTTTGTTGATGTTTCGACATATATATGTCCAGCAAATTAATACAGGTGACATTATAGTTCCTAACATTTCAAAGTTCGATCTTTTTTTTGTCAACTTCAAAGTTCGAATCTAAAGGTCTAAAACAGAGAAGAAAAGCATTTTTGCTTTGACACGATGATCCACTGCGACTAAAACTGGTCAACCATTTAAAAGCTGATCTGAGATATATAGTGACAAATTTCTCGGTTTCTCCCAGAAGTCATAATGGAGAATTCTCTTCTCACTCTCTCATCCGCTTGTCTGGTTTGTGCTCTTTGTGTGTGTGTGTGTCGTTATCAACTTGAGAAGATATTAATCTCAGAGTATATGTAAAATTACTTGGTGGAAATTTTGGAAAAAAGCTGAATAAACCCGATACAAACCGAATCGAAAAAAATAAACTGAACAACCTAATGGGCAGATAAATTGTAACTTCAGTCCAAATTCGATAATATTTCTTCGAAACGAATTTCCAAACCAAAACCGATAGAATATCTAGTCCCATTTGCTACATCTACTCGTAATATAAACCGTTTATCTCAACCCGAATTGAAGAGGTGTGGTATTAGTTATACTTATCCGTCACAGTACCATCAACATGCTCATTTTCAATCATTTGATTATTTATCTCATGGATCTTCTTGGAAAAGAAAAGGAATTAGACATCATTACAAAATAAATATCTGCATGTAATCTATTTGTCTATCACGTCAAATCTCTTATGCATTATCTCTCTTTTTTGGAAAAAATATTATTAAATAATTTATTTTGTTACTTCTCTACACCTTCGTTTCTCTACACTACTTTCTTCATTTTATTCAAAACTGTTAATTTATTATTTGGAAAAACTATTATCTCAACAAGCTAATTCCTGTTGCTTTTGTCTTATTTGCGCACAAAATGAATGTAAAGTCGTACCACGCGCTGCTGCGGAAAAAAAAAAGGAAAAAACTATATGCATGTGACATGCAGCATGCCAACATGTCTTGTAATTATGAATATAACTATTTCAGGGTAGATGAAGAAAACAATGTAAAATAATACCCAAACTCAGGGTTGGAGATGCTAAGTCCTAACTAAAAGATAACAATGTTTCATAGGAATACACTACATAACCCTAATTTTTTCATAAATTAGTAAATGACACTGGACTTCTTTTCAAATGAATAAGTTTTTGGGTGGCTACCAACTAACCATCAAATCAGTAAATCATATATCTACTAGACTACTACAACAACTACCCTCCCGAAGTTAAATGTCTTTCTACAAAAATTTGGTTCGAAGGAACATATATTATATAAAGACTCAGTTGAGTCTCACAAACTTGACACATCAGCACTCCTTTGAATGACACATCAATTTATTTATTTATTATTTAAAAACTTTAGTGAAACTCTAATTAATTTAAGCTAATCACTTTTACGTTCATTTTTCTGTGCACTGATTTATTTACCATCATGGACCTCATGGCTTTTTGACTCCTATTTTTGATGCTTCCTATTCTTAATGATGCTTCAAACGTTGTCTTAAATATTGGTCACTCATGTTTCAACGCATAAAAAATATTCAGCAATATAGAGGAGAAGACATGGAAAGAAGTAAATATTACCTAAGATTTTCTAATAAATTTCTAATCTACAGCTTTCACGTTGTAACTTATGCAAATTTCTATATAAAAGCTTACTAAAGTGAATGTTGTTCACAAATCCACGGTCTAAGATTTATTTCTTGGTCATGGGCATAGACATCTACATTAATACCATCGTTTGTGTTCATTTAAAGGAAAAGAAGAATTTTGCTTTTAAAAAGAAGATTTTGTATGATGGTTTCGAGAATTCTGTGAAGAGTAAATAGCAAGACAAAGCTATAATAATAATTTCTAAAGTAATAATAATTCGGCGACAAAGCTATAATAATAATTTATAAAAACCTTGTTTTAAGTTAAGCTGGTGTAAGTTATCTATTCTATTTATTTTTGTTTTAGAAAAAAATTTAAGGGAGAAAAATAATACTCTGAAAGACCTATTACATCCATTAGTAAATTTTTTAATATCTATGTTTTTACAAAAAATGATAAAAATCTCGTCTCAATGAATTATAATTAAAAAAATCTTTGTGGAGAAAAGATAAATATAATTTATATCATTTTATGTGCATGAAATGTAGCTTGTTTTATCTCCATCAGATCTTGGAGTTGGAGTATTGGTTCTCCCAAGTACTGCAGTAAAAAGCCACTGGAGCGGCAAAAGCCAAATCCGATGGTGAAAATGGAGTAAGATGTATTTGGTTAGCTTTTACGATAGCTGGTCATGCTTATCTAAAGTTCCAAACTCTACCTGTAATGCAAAAGATAATATATAGTATAAAAAATCACAGATTTTCATGCTATATTCATTTCCTAACTTTTCTAATTTTAGTGGAGATTGTGACGGTTTTGCCAATGAGAATATGAAAATTTTATGGAATAAAGTTATCCATTTATTTTGAGAATATACCTCTTAGGTTCCTAATCATAATATTTAGTATTTGCTGGATTCTCATATCTTTGTTTATGATATTCAAGATAATTTTTCACGTTTAATTGAAGACAACGTTTCTTAGTAGAGAAAATTTCTGATAAGATTTCATAAAACCAAAGAAAAAGTCGAGAAAAAAACTAATTAAAACAAAATCACTTTAACAAAACAAGTTAACAACTAATCTCTCTAAACATATATATGGCCAGTCCAAAAAAACCAAAAATCTAAATTTTTTTTCTAGGTCCAGCTTGATCGTCTTATGACTTTCAGTTAAAGTTTACTTTGAGTTTCTGTTTGCTTGTCCAATTTTACTGCTCTCAACTATTTGAGAGTTTTTAACTTAGTCTGAACAATAAATTTTACAATCCAAATTTTTACAGCTACAATTATAATTAAATGCTAATCACCATACAATAGTGAGTAACACAAAATTGTAGCAGCAAGAGATTGTTTCAAATGTCGTTAGTAATGGTATCCAATTTGAATTTTTGCACTCTCAAATCAAAGAAATAACGATGGCTTTAACTTCCCATAATTATTGTTGTACAGTTTAGATAGGGTTTTTAATGAAATCGTTAGCCGACAAAAAAAAAAAAATTTCCCATAATAAAAACATGAGGCTATAGAGACTAACTTGGGGGTGTTGTCCTGCAAATACTAGTCTTATATATAAAAAAAACCAACTTTCTCCAATTAAGTGACACATCAATGGGGATGACATGTGTCGCTTTTTATAATTTAAAGTTACAATTTTTCAGAAAAAATAATAAATTACTAATTTTTAATATCAAGTTTTAAAACACTCAAAGAAAATGAACAGTTTTTTCATTAATTGATTGATATTGATTGATATTTATTTTATTTTTATATAATTATCATTTATTTAATGATATTGTATTTTAAATTGATTTCTAAAATTATTTTTTTGAAAATTTTTAAAATTATTCATAATAACATACTAACACACATAACAAATAATAATTTTATATATATTTTTATTATATTGCATTTTAAATTGATTTCTAAAATTATTTTCTTTTTTGAATAAATTTTCTAAAATTATTTATAATAACATATTAACACACATAACAAATAATAATTATATTTGTTTTTATATTTATGATATTGTATTTTAAATTAATTTCTAAAATTATTTTTTATATAAAATTTCTAAGATTGTTTATAATAACATACCAATACATAACAACAAATAATGATTATATTTGATTTTATATCAAATTTGATTAGTTAAAAAGAAAAACCTGCACGTTATGTGCGGGTAGTCACCTAGTTTGTATCTAAAAGACGACAAAGAGTTGGAGAGGACTTGCCGGAGCTCGTACATGCCATTGAGGACTCAGAATTTGTTGTCGTTATGATATCTGTGAATTACTCAGAGTCGACTTGCTGCTAAACAAACTTAAACTAAAAACTCTCTTCATATAAAAATGCAGATTTAAAACATTCTCACACGATATTTAGTAAAAAGAATTGTGCAAATAAATATGGAATAGAACTTAGGTCTAAAATTAACATAAAGTTAATTATTTATACAATGTTAGAAATGTCCCGAATCAACCATCGAGTTAAAAAGTCGATTATTTATTTGTCTTCCAACTCCATTGATACTTCTAATAAGCTTACATGTCTACGCCATACCGTCTTGTTCCTTTTTTTTTTTTGGCTCTATGGCTCTTTTTTGGCTGCTCTTCACATCTTGATTGGTTTTTATCACCGGGTTCTACTAGGATCTCCTCCAAACTCACTTTTTTACCCTTATTTTTTCGGATTGGTTTTAAATTACCTAAAAAGTAAAAATGTGAAAAACTATTCTAAATGATTTTTAAGGAGCGTGAAATCATATGAAAATGAGCCATAAATGATGCAAATCCCATGAATCACATAACACTAATTAAATAACATATTGCAAAAAAAAGGTAGTTCAATGTGCATACAACGTAATTTAAAAAATGGAAAATATATACACAGCAGTACACTTCACTTAATTTGTTAAACATAAAGTCCTGCCGTTTCGCAAACTTACAATTTTTACAATTAAATAAGTAATTAATCCATGGATTATCAACTAAATCACATGATGAATAGAGAAAATGCAAGGAAATCAACATTTGTCAAGTAAGAGCGAGTCTCTGTTAAATTCCTCCCGCGGCCGGCGGTGGCCGGCTACACGAACATGGCCTGTTCGCTTATCCATAAATCCCCCCCCCTGAGCCCTGAGCTATATTCTCTTACTCGTAGAGTATCAATCAGATGTCTACTTTTGCAACTACCCTCCACAAGTTCCATGTCTTTCTCAGTTTCAGGGGACTCGACACTCGCCGCAACTTCATCAGTTTTCTCTACAGAGAACTGATTCGAAGGCACATTCGAACCTTCAAAGACGACAAGGAGTTGGAGACTGGCCGGAGGATTTCGTCTGAGCTCATACGCGCCATCGAGGAGTCGAAATTCGCCGTCGTTGTGATCTCTGCGAATTACGCAGCGTCGACTTGGTGCCTCGAAGAACTCGTCAAGATTATGGATTTCGCAAACAAGGGCTCGCTCACCGTGATGCCAATCTTCTACGGCGTGGATCCGTGTCATGTGAGGTGGCAGATCGGAGAAGTCGCCGAACAGTTTAAGAAGCACGAAGCGAGGCAAGATCACGAGAAATTGCTTTCATGGAGGCAAGCTTTGACCAATTTGGCCAGTATCTCCGGCCTTTGTTCGTTGAAATGGTAAAAGTCCGTAACTTGGTGATGGGATGTCTTTGTTTTACTTCAAAGGTCGCATTTTTATTAGTGTAGATTCGATTTCAATCGTTTTTTCTGTGATGGGATGTCTTTGTTTTACTTCAAAGGTCGAATTTTTATTAATGTAGATTCGATTTCAATCGTTTTTTTCTGTGTCTCTAGGGAAGATGACTCGAAGCTGGTCGACAAAATTACTGAGAGAATATCAATGTCGATTGATACAACAACAACTACAAGCAATGGAAGTAACATAGAGGGGATTGATGCACACATGAAAGCCCTTTCACGGTTACTGGATTTGAATTCGAAGAAAAGTGTGAGAGTGATTGGGATATGGACAAGAGGAGGCCAAAGGCAGATCGGCTCTCGCTAAATTCGTTTATCAGAAAATTTGTCAACACTTCGAAAGCCATTGTTTCCTGGAGAACGTGAAAAGGATTAGTCACATGTCGTATCTACAAGAAGAGCTTCGGGTAAAGGTTCAAGGAAAATGCTTGAGTAAATCAAGGCTCAAGAACCAAAAGGTTCTGCTTGTGGCAGACGACGTCAGTGAAATTGAACAGTTGGATGCTCTTGCAGAGGATTTCAACTGTTTTGGTCCGGGAAGTATAGTTATCATCACTACACGAGACAAGCAGCTGCTTAGTTCCTACGGCATAGAGCTTTTGTACGAAGTAGGGTCTCTGAGATTCCAGGAAGTTCGCCAGGAAGTTCGCGAAGCAGGGTCTCTGAGATTCCAGGAAGTTCGCCAGGAAGTTCGCGAAGTAGGGTCTCTGAGATTCCAGGAAGTTCGCCAGGAAGTTCGCGAGAGATTCCAGGAAGTTCGCCAGGAAGTTCGCGAAGTAGGGTCTCTGAGATTCCAGGAAGTTCGCCAGGAAGTTCGCAAAGAAGTTCGTACTATCTTAAGACAATATGCCTTCAAGGATAAAGACATTTCTGCTGCGTGCGAGTCGGTTATGTGTAGGGAAACGAATTTTGCCATGGAATGGTTAGGTTGTCTACGTGTTAGATCTGGTTGAATCAAATGCTGCAATGCCATAAAACGCTAAAGAATGTGCCCATTTGTCATCGCCACATTATTTAATTTCTTTTTGATTTTGTTTTAATACAGAAAATCATAGAAATTCCTTCATTCTCCTTATAAATCTCTAAAATTACAACTTAACCACAATTCTACCCACCCAAACCCAATAACCTATGAATATCCACCCATCCAACTCACTTAAATATTTTTATTTATCCCAAATAATTAAATATTACACCATAATTTCTTAATCTTCATCAACTAAATCGTGTTCTTATTCTCTTTCGTTCGTTGCAGTCTGATAGCTCTCTCCAAAATCTGGTTGAATCTTCTCTCTTCATATTAGGGAGATCAGTCACTCCATATCAACTTCCGTAAACTTTCTTCCTCTCTCAAAACTTTCGTTATCATCACGGTGAGCTTTTTCATGTCCTGAATCCTCTTTTTTTTTCTTTCTTGGAAATATTTAAGTTTGTATAGCTTCGGTTGATGAATCATCTACCTGTTATGAGCTCTTCAGTTTTTTTTTGTTGGTGTTGGGTTTTCATTAAAGTCGAATTCCGACGGAATCATCGACACAACTCTGTTTTTTTTTCAACATTAAAAATCACATTTCGTGGTTTGTGGCGGCTCTTAGAAATTATACGACCCATGATTATGTGCTTTATGACTGCTCTTACTTCAATTCAGCAATTGTGAAATTGGTTTTGTTTGCTTCACTCAATTTGCTTTGATTTTGTGTCGCATGACAACGATAATGGCAAATGATTCGTTTACTTTGTTGGATCATTTGGGATGCGAGAGAGCTCAGTAATTGGACTCTATGGTTAACTTTGTTTGGCCAAATTGTTCTAGCGCAATGGTTTTGTTATAAAGATACTTTATTTCTTCCAACCGTCGGCAATGGAGGGAGCAGTCGCAGGAACGAAGATGGCTCTTGCAGCTTTCGAGTACCTAAACTTTGAGGAACCTCCTCCGGTCTGGGGATCTCGCAGCGTTGATTCTTCGAGAAGCTCAACCAAATCGGCGAGAAACTAACGGGACTACTTCTCACATTCTTCCTTTTTTACTTGAATCCAATTTAGTTTTATTGGATGGTACTCGGGATACTTGCGTTTCACGGGGTTTCATAAATTGGAATCATAAGCGATTTTTGAATGTAGGATTCAGCTTTTACAATGTATAGTTGTGCTTTAGGATGTTTATTGTTGTCGTTTTGCTCTTGCAGTCAAGTTTACATGGCTAAAAGATCAAAACTGGTGAAAATGGTGGCTCTGAAGAAGATCCGCATGGACAATAAAAGAGAAGTGGTATTTGTTTCTTTATCGTTATACCCACCGTGAGTTTTGTCATGCTTATTATGTTACAGCAAGCTTAGAACAGATGAGAGTTTTTGTTTCCAATAGGAATTGACAAATTGTAAGTTCTGTCTCTTAAAAGGTTGGGATATGGATGACTGAGGAAAGCCATGTTGGTGAAGAAGAAAATCTTTTATATTCTGTATCTTATCATTGCTGGTTCAGAAGAAGAAGATTTGGGAATCAGCATTTCGATTCTTAAAGAGCATTTGATGTGGATAACTTATGGTCTTAGTCACTTTGTAAAGTTTAGGAAATGCTAACATTTCTTGATTTATTTGTTTTGACATTGTAATGAAACAAAAGTTTTTTTTTGAAGATTAATAAGGTTTTTACGAAATTTATCTTTATTCATCAATTTTGTTCATATCTTATTTATTCAAATACAAGATTACTAAAACGAAAGAAAAAACTATAATGATATGGTGTAATTATCTCGTTTAGTTTAATGTACAACTAAGCAGTTAATTATAAATAATACTTTAAGTACAATTGACAAAATGGAACATGTACTTTAAGTACAACTGAGTACAACTGACAAAATGGAAGATGTGCGTCATCCATTTTGTACATAGTTGTACTCTAAGAGTCGGGTTGTACAAAATTCTTAATAGTTGTACTTTTGTGAATTTATTATTTTTGCAGTTGTCCCTTGATATAGATTATTACTTTGTAGTTGTCCATATAATTTTTGAATATTAAGTAGCATTTATGATGTTTTCATATTACAAATTGTGCAAAATCATATATTTCGCCTCTTTTGCATCATAAAATGGTTAATATTAACAAAGTCTTCCTTATACTATAAGATATGTTTGATGGAAAAACAAGAATATGTATTAAAAAAATTATAAATATCTGATTTTTCATAACTTGTAATATGAGAACCTCGTAAATGCTATTTAATGCTCAAAAATTATGTGGACAATTACGATATAATAATCTATATCAAGGTACTATTGCAAAAACGTTAAAAATCGCTAGAGTACAACTATTAAGAATTTAGTACAATTGGACTATTAGGGTACAAATATATATAAAACGGCGCACATGTTCCATTTTGTCGGCGCATATTTTGACATTTGCGTCATCCATTTTGTACATAGTTGTACTCTAAGAGTCGGGTTGTACAAAATTCTTAATAGTTGTACTTTTGCAATTTTAGCATTTTTGCAGTTATCCCTTGATATAGATTATTATTTTGTAGTTGTCCATATGATTTTTGAATATTAAGTAGCATTTACAATGTTTTCATATTACAAATTGTGCAAAATCATATATTTTGCCTCTTTTGCATCATAAAGTGGTTAATATTAACAAAGTCTTCCTTATAGTATAAGGTATGTTTGATGGGAAAACAAGAATATGTATTAAGAAAATTATAAATATCTGATTTTTCATAACTTGTAATATGAGAACTTCGTAAATGCTATTTAATGGTCAAAAATTATGTGGACAATTACGATATAATAATCTATATCAAAGTACAACTGCAAAAACGTTAAAAATCGCTAAAGTACAACTATTAAGAATTTAGTACAACTGGAGTCTTAGGGTACAACTATATACAAAATTGACAGCGCATATGTTCCATTTTGTCGGCGCACATGTCAAAATGTGCATAGTTGTACCTTACGAGTCCAGTTGTACAAAATTTTTAATAATTGTACTTTTGCGATTTTAGCATTTTTGCAGTTATCTTTTAGTATAGATTATTATTTTGTAGTAGTCCATATGATTTTTGAATATTAAGTAGCATCTACGATGTTTTGATATTACAAGTTGTGCAAAATCATAAATTTTGCCTCTTTTGCATCATAAAATGATTAACATTAAAAAAATCTTTCTTGCACTATCACGTATGTTTGATAAGAAAACTAGAATATGTATTAAGAAAATTATAAATATCTGATTTATCATAATTTTGTAATATGAGAACCTCCTAAATGCTATTTAATGGTCGAAAATTATGTGGACAATTACAACATAATAATTTAAATTAAAGTACAACTGCAAAAATGCCATTTGTATTAATTGTACTATATCACTTAGTTGTACCATTTGTATCAGTTGTCCTATATCATTTAATTGTACCATTTATACCAATTGTCTTATCATTTCAGATTTGATGGATTCGAGTTCTAATTCTAATTTACCTAAGATTCACTACGATTCAAGAACTACACCGACAAATTAACAATACAACAACCTAATTGTCCCATTAAACTTGGTTATCAATCCAATTTGCATATCAAAATAAGCAATTTTTGCAAATTAAATTTCTAAATTGTGAAAACCCTAAATCTTCAAAAATAATTTACTCAGTTTTGAAGCTTCAATAAAGGCAGATGATAGAGGAGTTAAGAATTAAAAATCGATTGTAGAAGAGGTGGAAGAGACAGAGGTGCAGGTCCACCATATTGAATTTCGTTTTCAAGATGACCAAACCAAATGATAGGGAAGAGAAGAAGATGAGACGGGAACATTTAATAAAATAAATAGAAATTAGAAAATCAGAAAATAATAAATAATTCAGTTCAATTTCATTAAGGTTAAAATCGACATTACACAATTATTTATGGCACTAGATTTATTTATGGCAGGGTAGATTATTTTTTTTAGTTTATGGCATTTTAGCCTTGCGCTCGATCTGGTTAGGTGGAGTGTTAGTATCAATTCATAAAGCTAAATACCTTTTCATGTATGACTAAACTTAGTAAGATGTGGCTTAGAAATAGGAATGTTTTGTCTATTTTTGGAGTGTGTTGGTGGTGTATAGAAGAATTATTATTCTTTATTGGATTAAGTGATATACAAATTCCTTTTCAAGATTGGCTTTTGATGTTTTTCCATGTGCCCAACAGATTTGTAGTGGGGATCTAAAGTTCCAAACTTTCATTCCTTGATTTCACTGTTTTCAAGGAAAAAGAATAAAGAAAAAATAGCTCCAAGTTCGAACCTGAAATGACTTACATGAAAAAATAGAGAAAGGGAAGCTTTTGAAGAGGAAAATCCTCAAGGCGTGAAAGCTCTGATCTTTTGTGTCTGACTGACACTTTCTGTCTGAGAAAGACCAACAATGGGTACTATTTCTATCTCTGAAATTGTCAGATTTATGATTTATTCAATGATTACTTATTCTTGGTTGGTTTTTAGCCTTTTTCGTGTCTAGCAAATGGAAATTTCTTCGTTGTTTTATCAACAAATCATCTTGTAGATCCATGTTCTCTTAAGAGAGAATGTCTTCGCTATCGGTTTCAGAAAGGGCTCTGCATGTGTAGATAATGTTTAAGATCGAGTTGTTGCTCTCGTTCCATCAGAAAGTTGTTTGATTCGACTGTCAAATTGAGGATCCATTGATTTTGACGAGCTACATATTTCATATTGGATGCAGATAAGAGCGAGGGATGTTGTTCTGTACAGCTTATTGACGGAGATGGTATATTCAATGTCTCTGGCATCGATCATTTCATTAAAGAGGTGAAACTTGGAGAGTGTGGCCTCTCTTATGCTGTTGTTTCCATTATGGGTCCTCAAAGCAGCGGTACACATTCTTCTAGCAAGGAGAGAGTTTTGTAGTTTTCAGAATTTTATGGAATAACGTTTAATAGTGATCTGATTGAGAGTTGCTAGTTAATTTAGAGAACATTTGTGGTTTGACAGGGAAGAGCACACTATTGAATCATTTGTTTGGAACAAACTTCATGGAGATGGATGCATTTAAGGGAAGGTTTGATATCATTTGATAGTATTTTGCTTTTGACTTCCGTGTAAAAAAGCTTGTTGCCTGATTAGGAACTTTTCTATAGGTCTCAGACCACGAAAGGTATCTGGCTTGCAAGATGCGCCGGTATAGAGCCTTGCACCCTTGTAATGGACTTGGAAGGCACCGATGGAAGGGAGCGAGGAGAGGTTACTTTTTGTCTCCTTACCATTTTGGTTTACTGTGTGACATTGATTGAATTGCTTTTACATAAGGTTTCATTAAATTGTGTTCTTTTTTTTTTCCACCAGGATGATACTGCATTCGAGAAACAGAGTGCTCTTTTCGCTCTTGCTATCTCAGATATCGTCTTGATCAACATGTAAGATTGTAGTAGAAACTTTCTAGTATATCAACTTGCACAGAGCTTTCAGTTTTGTTGAAAAGAAGTGTTTCATTACCTATGCTCAATGGTTGTGTTTTTTAGGTGGTGTCACGATATCGGCCGTGAACAAGCTGCTAATAAACCTCTCTTGAAAACTGTCTTCCAGGTATTAGTCTGTGATGCTCAGAAAGTTAAAACTATTTATGTATATATATAATTTGTAGTCTTGGTTTAAATTTTCGGAGTTGTCTTTGACAGGTTATGATGCGACTGTTTAGTCCACGTAAAACAACAATGCTGTTTGTAATACGAGACAAAACCCGGGTACACTCTCTTCTTCGTTTTCTTTGTCACTTCTGCAGATTGGTATATACAATGTTTTAATTTTGATATGGTTTTGGTTTGTAGACACCCTTGGAAAATTTAGAGCCTGTCTTAAGAGAAGATATTCAGAAGGTGAAGAGAAGTAACTTTTAGCTAACTCTAAATTGATATTCAAAGAAAGGTAACTTCTCACCAGTTTTTTCTGTGTCGTGGCAGATATGGGATTCTGTTCCAAAACCTGAAGCACACAAGGAAACTCCTCTAAGTGACTTCTTCAATGTATGTAGTGCTATAGCTAGAACTATTAGCAAAAATGGTTGCCACGTTTCAGAAATGTCATGCTGCTTCTCACCTTGATGGTTAGGTTGAAGTTGTCGCTCTTTCCAGTTACGAGGAGAAGGAAGAACAGTTTAAAGAGCAGGTGTGTAAGTGTGAGGCCAAGCTTTTTAGAGATGAGTATTCCAAAAATGGCATGTTTTTTATACACATATTCATTTTTGGTTTGCAACTTAGGTTGCTAGTTTGCGACAACGGTTCATGCATTCTATTGCACCGGGTGGTCTTGCTGGAGACAGAAGAGGAGTGATTCCAGCCTCAGGTTTTGCATTTAGTGCAGATCAAATTTGGAGAGTCATCAAAGAGAACAAGGATCTTGACCTTCCTGCCCACAAGGTAGCTTATAGTGATAGCTTTAGAATTTGTTTATACTCCCTCTGAGCTCATTCGTCTTGAAGGTCATGGTAGCCACAGTGCGATGCGAAGAAATTGCAAATGAGAAGTTTTCGCATTTCATTACAAATGAGGTAATGTTTCTGCAAATCTTTACTTTCAGTCTTGTTCATTGTTTGAAGCGTCTTTGTGAGTCCCATTGTCACTAACTAACCTTTTTGTTTTCTTTTGCAGGACTGGCGCCAACTGGATGAGGAGGTGCAGGCTGGTCCAGTTTCTGGTTTTGGAAAGAGGCTTACTTCCATTATTAAATCTTGCTTATCAGAGTAAGCACATCAATTTTTTAATCAAGCTTCTCACACAGTATAGTTAATGGATTCTATTGTTTCTTAAATCTTCCTTGCGGTTCTGTTTATATTTGATCTTGATGGTTCTTATTTTATTAGATATGATGGGGAAGCTACATTTTTCGATGAAGGTGTCAGATCTTCGAAGAGGCATCAGCTTGAAGAAAAGCTTCTCCAAGTAATAAATATGACAATCTTAGATCTCTTGAGCATGTTGTTAAAGCCATATGCAGATGTGTTAGTTAAGACAAAATGATTTTCTAGAGAATCTTACTTGTCTCTGTCACGCTCGAAGATCGATACTATATGCTTTCCTCACATTTGTTTTACCTTACAGCTTGTGAATCCAGCGTTTCAAGATGTACTGGGACATATAAGATGGGGAATGCTTGAAAAGTTTAAGGCTTCTTTTGATAAAGCTTTAGAGATTGGTGAAGGGTTTTCTTCAGCTTCCAGTGCTTGGTTCAAGTCTTGCATGACCCAGTTCGATGAAGAGTGTGCAGGTGCCATCATTGAACAAGCCAATTGGGACACAACTAAAGTAAGGGACAAGCTAGTCCGTGACATCGAGGCTCACATTTCCTCTGTTCGGACTTCCAAGTTATCTGAGCTTACGAGTCAATACGAGGTAACAGAATAAATACAGAAATCTTGGGAAAATCAAGTGTTTTTTTTTTTTTTTTTTACTGATTTAGCCTCTAATTTGCAGTCAAAGCTTCATGAAGCATTGTCAGAACCGGTGGAAGCTCTGCTGGAAGGAGCGAGTGATGAAACATGGACAACAGTAAAAAAGCTTCATCGGCGTGAAACTGAATCTGCTGTTTCTGGACTCAGTAGTGCATTAGCTGGTTTTGACATGGAAGAAGAAATAAGAGACAAAATGGTGAAGAGCCTACAGGATTATTCAAGAGGTGTCATAGAATCTAAGGCCAAGGAAGAAGCTGGAAGGGTTTTGATGCGTATGAAGGAAAGGTACATAGCCAACCTTCTTTCTGTGCTCAGTGATCTTTCAAAACCAGTTTTAAACAACAACAACAACAACAACAAACTTTAATTCTGATTTTTCCTTTCAGGTTTGCTACAATCTTCAGCCATGATTCTGATTCAATGCCACGTGTTTGGACCGGAAAGGAAGATCTTCGAGCAATTACCAAATCAGCTCGATCTGCTGTACGATACGTTATTCCTCTTTACGTTTTGTTTATAAGACTTGAGAAAGTCTTTAACATCTTTGTATGGTTTCTTGTTTCAGTCCTTGAAGTTGCTCTCAGTAATGGCTGTAATCCGATTGGGCGATGAACCTGATAACATCGAGAAGACACTAACTGTTGCTTTGTTGGATTCAACAAAGAATGAAACTTCTAAAAAGAGCATTACAACGTCTGATCCACTGGCTTCAAGCACTTGGGATGAGGTGTGTATGACTCTGCTTCACTGTGCTTTAATTTCAATTGATTCTTGATCTAACAGCTATGGATGGTCTTGTTACTTTCTTAGGTTCCATCATCAAGAACGCTTATCACACCAGTCCAGTGTAAATCTATATGGAGACAGTTCAAGACAGAAACAGAGTATACAGTTACTCAAGCCATATCTGCACAGGCATGATTACTTGACTCATAATTAAACTCTTTATTTTGCTTATGAATGTTGATCATTTTCAAGTGTTTATACTAATACAGGAGGCGAATAGGCGTGGTGGTAACTGGTTACCTCCTCCATGGGCAATTCTTGCATTGATCGTGCTAGGATTTAACGAGTTCATGGCTCTTCTAAGGTCCATTAAACCTATTATTGCTTGCTTCGTAAGGAATGTTGATATGTAAATTCTGAAAGTCTCTTTCCTTTTCAACGTAACAGAAACCCTCTCTATCTCGGTGTCATATTTGTCGGTTTCCTTCTCGTGAAAGCACTATGGACGCAATTGGATATCCCTGGTGAATTCCGCAATGGTGCAGTAAGTGTTTTTACCAATCTTCTCAAACTCCAATGAAGTAGTAGTAGCTTCTTTTTTATGAATCATGGACTTGATCAAGATTCAAGATTCGAGAATTTCTTGATAAATGATACTTATGATATTACACTACCTATGGATGGTTTCTTCAGCTTCCGGGACTCATATCGATATCCGCAAAGTTTGTTCCCACGGTCATGAACCTTCTCAAGAAACTTGCCGCGGAAGGCCAAGCTCCTCCCGCAGCTAATCCAGAGAACCGTCGTTCGAGCACCAACAACACTTCTTCAAATGCTTCCTCGTCAGAGAATCTACCAGAGCACAAAAGTGCCTCAAAGACGGATTAAGAGGAGCGTAGACAAAGAATCTTCTTTACTCTTAAAAGGTTTGATCTCCAATACTTAGTGTTTTTACTTGTTCACTTTGCGCAAAACGCTGCGTTTTTAGGACCTTTTTGCTTTTGGTTTAGAACTTTTCTTTATACAACACAAGTGAGTGACTTTAAAAGCGTGGTGGCATTATTTGAATCGGTTGATTATTTTTCTCTGATGTCAAAAAACAAATCAATAAATTGCAAGACTATAAATATACATGTACGATTCTCAATAACTAGTTTCGTGAAAGTTCAAAAGCATGGGATAAGATAACAACCCCATGAAAAGAGAGCAGAAATTAATCGTTACATTAACTGCTGAGTAGTAAAGTTTTGTAACCATTTTTAAAAATATTGAATTTATACTCAGAATCCAACTCATGGATTGGTGTGTGTATTTATTATCATCATTTCTTTGCATATCCACCGCCAATAACTCTCTGAAATATACACCTCAAATCACCAGAAGATTAAAAGATGAATATATCTTATCAGAAATGTCCAAAAAAACATTGTGGGCTACTGGGTTATTATGTGTTGTATATTATATGAGATTAACTTTCTCTCCCAAGAAACATTCGTTAGTAAATTCGACAGCAAATTATAAATGTGGTGGGTACATCAAATTACAGTGTATGTAGTAATAGTTGTGACTGGTTTAAAGTCAGAGAGAAAATCTCATGAGATCTATATGACCACCGTCCGTGATGCGAGAGACATTTATAATCAAGAGTCGTACTCTTAATTTGAGATTAAAATCAGGTCTTGATTCTTTTAAATAAATTGGCAACTAATTAATCCAAGGTGATAATTTGTAAGTAACACATGATCACATTCTCAACCAAATAATACGGAAGGTACTGTTTTGGTTAGGTGAAGATAATCAATAAACTCAGTTGCCGAAAACATGACATTTGTTAGTAACTCACAGTTATGATCATATTTACGGTAATAGATCTACTACTTAATAAAACTACTTGCCAAAAACATGGCTCTGTATATTGTTGTTTTTGCTTTTGGTTAGGTGGAGATGATTAATTGATACACTTTGAATCTGTGAAGTCTTGATCCAACGGCTATCAGACCTTCTACTTCAACCGTTTCACATCGCCATTAATGACATAGACAAGCTGTACAACTCTCCTTTTATCTTTAAATTGTCTTCTCTTATGGTATACACTGATACTACACAATTACACATTATACTATTACTAATAAATTATTTCTTACAACTGGTCCCAGAAGTCAAAACAGAATCGTGGGACAAGAAAGAGAGTTATTAAATATTAATCACCACGGTAAAAAGGAGAAAGCAACCCTGTTAAGCCTAATTAGTTGATAAGAACGAAAATGTATTTTGATAATAATGACTATTTTAATAAGCAGTGATGTACAGTACTTATCATAAATCTCAGTTGTACGAAACAATTCTGTAACAATAAGTCAATAAGTCTAATTTGATTTTGTACCAATAAGTCTATTATGAGAAACAAAAGCAAGAAAACAATAAGTTACTGGCTAGTAAATTTTGTATTAGGTGACTATTTACAATTAAATGGGGAAAGTTAAATCAGTAAGATTATGCAATTGTCCTTTTCATTTGCTATTTTCGACAAAAATGGGACACACCCAAGATCATATCATCATTTCATTGTAGACCACCAACATCTATTTATTAACTTGTTTTTTTTTACTATATAATTTTTTTACTGAATGTTGTCTAACTAAAAATTCGATGTATATCTGCACAAGTAATTCGTATAAATAGTTACATATTGTGTAACAATATATAGAGACACATGTAGGTGTAATTAATATAGTGGCTATGTTGGATCCTAAGTGTTATTTATAGGAGAAGAAACACACAAAACAAGACCATTCATGAAAAGCCACATAAGAAGTTGAAGCAGAAGCAAAAGAAAAAATAAACATAAAAAAAGGCTGTATGTTTTGGTTTCTGCAGTCTCCAATGGCTCTCAAGCTCTTTCTCTTTGCTCTTCTTCTCTGTCTCCCATCTTCTCTCTCCTCCACTGCTTCTAAAGGTTACCTCTCTATCTCTCTCATTACAAAGTTTAACGTCTGTTTATCCTCTTAGTGTTGTGTTTGAAGTAAACTGTTTTCTCTCTCTCTGTTAGCTAAATTGTTGATGAATCTATGTAGTTGTGGAGCTCTGTTTTTCAAAATCAGTTTATTCCCGAACTTGTTCACAGACTTAGACCTACATTATACATACCTATATGTACGTATATATATATATAATCACTTTATCATAACTCTGTTTCTTGATTCATCATGACCGAATCTGGAATGATCAGGACACTAACAGTACAGTATTTTTTTTACGCTTCACTGTTCCGTTTGTTGTTAGTTATGTTCTGCTAACGACATAAATGGTGCAATTACTTCTACCAACTATCCATAAATTGTTTTTGTTTATTTTAATAACTAACCGGATTAGAGAATAAAAAAAATTATTTTTTTATAGGTAAAGAGCAGAAGTTTAATCCTTACAGATACACATTTATCGATAAAGCCAGCTCATTCGCATCATCTTCCTCGTCTTCTTTTTCATCCAACGGTCGAGACTCTTCCTACGACTACATAGTCATCGGAGGTGGAACCGCAGGCTGTCCTCTCGCCGCAACGCTATCGCGGAATTTCAGCGTTCTTGTTCTAGAGAGAGGTGGCGTTCCGTTTACAAACGCAAACGTCTCTTTCCTCAGGAATTTCCACATCGGACTTGCTGACACCTCAGCTTCCTCCGCGTCGCAGGCGTTTGTTTCCACTGACGGCGTTTATAACGCTCGTGCTCGTGTTCTCGGCGGCGGTTCCTGTATTAACGCCGGTTTCTACTCCAGAGCCGATGCTGCGTAAGTAATTAATTACAGTACAATTTTTTTTATAAAACAGAAGAAATTAAGATTGTGAAAATTGAAATAGATCTTGTTGTTTATAAAGAAATCATAATTGGTACACCCTCGTGTCGTAATTGGTAAGTGTTACATTTATGAAAACGCACCGATCGAGAATGTTGTGTAATAATGGGCCATGGCCCATGGGGATTACGACCACGTCTTTTATTTAATTATTTTCTAATTAATTTACTAGTACTACTACATTTGTTCTTCAATTAAATCTGCAACATGACGACAAAAAAAAAAAAAAAAAATCTGCAACATAAGTGTTGTAAATTGATGATGATTACGATTGGTTCAGGTTCGTGAAGCGAGCAGGATGGGATCCGAAGCTGGTGAAGGAGTCGTATCCATGGGTGGAGCGAGAAATCGTTCATCAGCCGAAGCTGACGCTATGGCAAAAAGCTCTGAGAGACAGTCTTCTCGAGGTTGGAGTCAGACCTTTCAATGGCTTCACTTACGATCACGTCTCCGGCACCAAAATCGGCGGCACAATCTTCGATAGATTCGGCCGTCGTCACACGGCGGCGGAACTTCTCGCTTACGCTAACCCTCAAAAGCTCAGAGTCTTGATCTACGCCACCGTGCAAAAGATCGTCTTTGACACATCTGGTACTGATAATTTGATTTATGGATTGTGTGCCTTCCATGTGTTCGACGAAATTCCTGTTTGAGGTTTATAGATAATCGAGAAGCTGACTTGTTAGTGTTTTTTGTTGGATGCAGGAGCAAGGCCTAAAGTAACAGGAGTGATATTCAAAGACGAGAAAGGTAATCAACACCAAGCTCTACTCTCGAATCGTAAGGGAAGTGAAGTGATCTTGTCTAGTGGAGCTATTGGGTCACCGCAAATGCTAATGTTAAGTGGAATTGGACCTAAGAGAGAGCTTCAGAGACTCAAGATTCCTTTGGTTCTAGAGAACGAGCATGTTGGCAAAGGAATGGCTGATAATCCGATGAACACGATCTTGGTGCCTTCTAAGCAGCCTATAGAGCAGTCACTTATCCAGACTGTTGGAATCACAAAGATGGGCGTGTATGTTGAAGCCAGCACTGGCTTTGGCCAATCCCCTGAGAGCATTCATACTCGCTATGGGATTATGTCGGACAAGGTAACATAAACTACATGACTTTGATCTTGTTAGTGTCTTTGTATGAGAATGTGGGTTTGACTGGTCTTTGATTATTTCTGCAGAATGAATTGTTTTCCACCATTCCTGCAAAGCAGAGAAGACCAGAAGCAACCCGAGGTCACATCTCAAGAAACAAATACCAACTTCACGAAGCATTCAATGGAAGTTTCATCTTGGAGAAACTAGCTTACCCGATCTCTAGAGGGCATTTGAGCTTGGTCAACACAAATGTAGATGACAACCCTTCAGTCACCTTCAACTACTTCAGCCACCCGGTGGATCTTCAACGCTGTGTTGAAGCCATTCGCTTGGTTTCAAAAGTGGTGACGTCTAAGCGCTTCCTAAACTACACGCAGTGCGATAAGCAAAACGTCCACAAGATGCTTAGCTTAAGCGTCAAGGCAAATATCAATCTAAGACCAAAGCAAGTGAATGATACCAGATCAATGGCTCAGTTCTGCAAAGACACTGTTGTCACAATCTGGCACTATCATGGTGGTTGTCTTGTGGGTAAAGTTGTGAGCCCTGACCGCAAAGTTCTCGGTGTCAACAGGCTCAGAGTTATTGATGGCTCAACATTTGACGAGTCTCCAGGAACCAACCCCCAAGCTACGGTCATGATGATGGGAAGGTAAAATCAAAATAAATACCAACATAATGAATCAGAGTCGCTTTTTGATTTCAGTGTATATAAACAAAAGAATTGTCAATCTTTGCAGATACATGGGAGTCAAGATTCTTCGGGAGAGACTTGGAAACAAGGCAGGTGTTTAGTTTACAGATTCGTAGATTGCAGCATAACTCGTACTAGGTATAAGGTAAACAAATCCATAGCAGAAAAATTCTGTTGTGGAATTGCGATGGATAATATCTCTCTCCATGTTTCTGTGTCTGGTTATTTTGATATTCGATTCATTGAAATATAGGATTGTCTAATGAACTGTGTAATCCTATTTTGGGCAATCGGCAATGTTTGGTTGTGTGAAAAGTTAATTATGATTTCTGTTTAAATAATATCTTGCATTTCTTGCGTGAGACACACAATGGTGACAAATTCTCAAACTAAAGTTAAATTATAATTTACAAACGATCCTTTCGTTAATCTATCCTAATAAACGAAAAAAAACAAACGTGTGAACACAAACAAGTATTGCTTGTACAGTGTAGATATTACGAGGACGATGTATTAATGCTTTGTTACCTTTGAACATTCTGAGAAACTATAGCAAAGTTAGCAAGTAATCATGAAAACCTAAACCTGAGCCTGAACTAAAAAAACACATCAGAAACACCTAAAAGGGACTTAAATGACCTGAGACGGCATGAGTATCTGGCTCAAGAATTGATCCGGATTAGAGATTACTTCCTTCTCAAGCTTTACCTTGCTGGTTTCATAACCATCTGCATTAACGTATTCTTCTCCTTGTTCCAATAGATCTCCATAAGAATAGCAGCCAAAGGAAAGCTCTTGACTTTGACTTTGCATTGGCATTTGCTGTGGGTGAGCTAGAGAACGATACAAAGCGACTTCCTGACGAATTGAGTTAAGCTCAGTCTCATAATACGAGATCCTGCGCCTAAGATCAGACATGATCTTGTAAACCCCACCAACTGGATCTAGGGCACGAGCATTAGCGTGGAGAATAAGGTTTTGCATAGCGATGTCGCGTTCAGATTCTTGGATTCCTTTGAGCATCTTTGTGATGTTGCTTATTCCAAACAGTCTATGAGCGTTTAGAAACTGCTTATAGCGATCTTGTGGGAAATAAGGAGCAAGGAGACAGTTTTTCGTGCATTTTTTTCTTTGGAATTTGCAGGCAGCGCAAGCAGTGGCGGAAGAGGATGAGCCACCGTGGAGTTTGCTTAAGGACATTAGAGTTTTGTGTCTGGCGAGATATGATGGGTAGGGTTTCGAAGGGGCTTCCTTGATTTTCTCCCGAAGAGAAGGATAGAAAGAGATGATCGAGGAGAGAGTTATTCGGGAGAGATGAGTTGTGGATAGAGAAGTTTTCGGAGACAGTTTATGATGAAAGAGAGAATAAATTTTGTTGTTTTTGTTTGTTAAATAGAGTACTAACAATAGCTATTTTCTGATACTTCTGATTTAAAAAAAACGTTTACGTATATTCAGTAATTATCTGTTAGGAGTTTTAATTTGATCATATTTTAGTTTTAGCCTTTTACTGTAGTTGCTTTTATAATTCTTTTTGTGTTTTACTTTTTGGTTGGATTTTTCTGTTTGGTCTAAATAAATAAAAGTGACGTATGTATTACCAAATCTTTGATTAAATATTTATTGATAACATCTAATATTATTATTACAATTTATCTAATTAATTATTTATGCATAAATTAGTTTATTTATACATCGGTTGCATTGTTAGCGATTTGTCTTTGTTCTTCAAGATTGTTAGCGATTTTACAATCTTTATTACAACCAATATTTAACCAATCAAACTTTTGTGATTTTATTAATTTTCAAGTTTTACAGCTCTATTGTTTATTTATTTTGGTCACCTTACATGATTAACTTTAGAATCATTTGAACGGCATGTGAAGTCTTCCCGATCCACTGCTTCCAGCAAAAGGTCGAGATATGGCGACTCCAGCTCGAAAATCACCTGCAATGAGGAATATTTAGAGTCCTTTGATTTCCAAATAAGAAAATGGTTTTATTCAACTTGTAGACATACCACAGAATTTTGGCCAGGCTTAAGGAGAGGCGCAGGGACGTAGAGGTTGCATTGTGGTCCAACAGACTGCAACAAAAATAAGAAACATACGTGTAAGAGAAACTCTAAGATACACTGTACATCGGTTAAGCATTAGGACAGAGCTTTACCGGCCAATATCTTCCGATGTTGAATTTATTGACAAAAGCAACTCCTTTACCCCAACCATTGAATGATAGATATGTATCTTTGATTTCTTCTACACTGTTAATAGAGAACTCGCCAGCAAACAGAGCTGGTTCCTTTTGACTAACATCTACAGGTATCGGTGAAAGAAGCAATTAGTTTCATTCATGTCCTTACTTTCACAAAGAAGAAAAAGCAGTCTTTGGAGATTGTTGTAGAAGACCGGAAATTCCATCACCAACATTCCAAACTTAACCAAGGATATGCTAATAAAAACATAGAGCACTGACCATTAAACTTCTGACTTCTCTTTTTGGTATTTTGTATCTCGAAACTGAGATTTGGCATTTGATTCAAGTTGTGAAAAGGAATTGGTATCATCTTCCATCCATGGAGGATTTGACCATCTAGATAAACGGAAGACAGAATACCCTGAACAGTGTTACAAAATAAACCTTTTAGACGAGCTACCTCGATAATGAATGCATAAGGCTCCCATGAATTCCAATATTTTTAGACATTAAATATCACATTCACTTTGGTATAGATAGTACCTTTGAAGAACTAAAGAGAAAAAAATGTATTAGGTAAAATGATCTTGAAAAGTTTATGAGATACGTGGGAATTACTTTCTGTTAAATGAGACTTACCTTCTCATCAAAGATATATGGCCCGTAATTTACACGACCCATGTTTTCAACCTATAAGAAACAAGAGCAAAGTAATGGCCCAAATAAGAATGTGCATAACAAAATTTATGAATCTACACCACCAACTAGAGGTAAAAAAACAGCTGAGAAATATAAAATCTTATCAGAGGATTCAAGAATTCTCTTACCAGAATAGATAAGCTAGTGTTAGAGGTACATCCAATAGTTGGAATAGTGACAGGGTGGTTGTTCCATCTCTCAGTTGTGCCAATGTATCTCAGTACTCCCACATCAACATCTTGGGAAAGGCATGAAACAAACACTTGAGCTCTGTCATGTACCTGCAACTCATCATATGTTAGAAAATGACCCTTCTGTTGTCTCCCGGATTCTATCTCTACCGTGAATAGAAAAAAGAAATATACATTTACATATTGCCGTTGGATTTCAGATGGAAAAGAAACAAGGGTTTATACCTTGGGTATTCTTAGTATATTCCCACTCTTTTTTGCGACGTATGAAGATTCATATAAAAGAAATCCGAACATCTGGGAGCAAGACAATAAAAAAATCAGTTGATACAAAGTACAATAATATTAAAACCATTTCATGGTGAGTTGAGAAATGCTTACAAACCTGTCCAGAAGATTCCATTGAAATTGGGTTGGCAGAGGTGATCACATCTGCAACATCTGTCATACTAACTAAATCAAACAGAGATGCTGTCATCTGCATCTTGATCGAGCCATATGCTTTCCGTTTTTTATTGGAGGGGATAATGGAGTGTGGTTCAGGATTGTACTTCATAATCACTCTCTGGAGAGCTGCAAGAAATAGCACAAAGTCTAACAAAGAAACTAAGGCAAGACTGCAAAATTGATACAAGCAATCATATAAGATCAAACCTTGGAATTTTGGATTATCTATGTCACCAGACTCTTTAATGGGAGCATCCTGAAATAAGAAAAAGAAACAAAAGCTACTTTGGAATCTAGTAAGGATCTACAATAGCAGGTAATGACCTGACATTGCCGTACATAATCGTAGGATGTCAGATCTGGTTTGTAGTCAGATTCTTCAGAGCCAGTATTTGCTCCACTGTAGAAACCAAAATTTGTTCCTCCGTGCACCATCTAAACATCACATACACAAGCCTCACTATTATCCATTAATCCCTATCTGGTAAACCTTGATAAATGAAGAGTTTTATACACATACATAAAGCACAGCAGAACCATTTCGAGACAGTATTTTTTCAAGAGAAGCTGCCGTAAATTCGGCATCTGTCTTTGCAATCTTCTCACCCCAATGCGTGAGCCAACCAGTATAGAACTCCCTATTAAAAAAACAGCTCAATAGATTTATATGACAAAACTGTACATAGCCGGGAGCACAAGAGACTTACGAGGAAAGTGGAGCTGATCTTCCTGGAGCATTAAACTTCTTTTGCAATTCGAATATTGGCCAAGGGTCATCACCGGTAGTGAAATCAACAGCTATCAGAGAGAAGAACTTGCTTGTCATTGTTATATATCAAAGTAAGAACAAAGACTCAGTTTACTATGAATCGTGGATGCAGAGGAAGCATATACTTCACCTGAGTAAACATCATCTAAGGGCACAGTTCCTTTCTCAAGAGTTTCTCTTGTACCTCCATCTGTTGTGTACCTGAAGATCATTATGGGCAACATGAATTATTGATAATTAAGCAAAGAAACGGCTAGTTCGGTGACTCAGTTTGGAAACTAAATACAATATATTTTCACAGGACAACAGTTTTAAGGTACAGGACAAAACACTAGTAAATAACACCGTCGACAAATGAAAGTAAAAAAATAGAGATACAACTCTTAAGAGATAGTTAAGGAGTTGGGCACATAAAAAAATTCAAAATAGAAAGTAACAGATAACATAGTTCACTGGATTATTATAGATACTGAAGAAATTCTAAGAGAGAAACCAAGTCGTACACAATAATGTCATCCCCCAGGTATCCCCTTGCCATACTAACTAGATTACGAAGATAAGCTTTGTCATTTCCGTATGAGCCATATTCATTTTCAATCTGCAAAAAAAAATAACCTACGTTTAGTACATAAGCATGCAGGGATTCAGACTCGAGCTTCACACGGGTAAGTGTATTAGGACTAAGGAAATTATACACAAAAGAAATCTTTTTAAAAAGATCTTAAAAAAAAAAAAAAAAAACTTGGTCAGACTCTTCATTATTGAAGCCGACAGGTTTAATATTTTGCAATTATCCAGTGATCACTAGAATACCAAATCAAATAAGTGATATAGTGGAACATCTATTTCGATCATGTACCTGAACCATTATAACAGGACCCCCGTTGCTGTAAAGCAGGGGTAATACCTTTGGAAACAAAACATCCCACCATCTTTCAACCTGTAATATGTTTTGCCAGGAATAACTCTAGTTTTAATTATAACGCATAATCAGAAGAAAAAAAAACACTACATCAATTATTGTCCATTTCCGCAAATATAATTGAGAATTCAGCCTAAAGCATCACAGATAATTTGCAAACGAAAACTTACAGAAGCAAATACAAAACTACCAGCGGATGCATGTATCTTTGTTTATTATTGCACACTGCAGGCTGATTAGCAGCAACTGCAATTTCTAATCTACTACTTGCTTCATTTAACTGGTAACTTACCAACTTAAGATATGCAGGATCTGATGTCCTTAATTTGAGAGGTGGTTGCACAGCGAGTAACCATGCAGGAAAACCCCCAAAATCCCATTCTGTGACGGAGACCGGAACATATATCAGAATTTGTTTCACATGATGTGGTAAGAACATTAGAATCAACTCATAAGAATCACAACAGAAAATTCAACACGGACCTCCACAGATATAAGGTCCAGCACGCAGCATAACCAGGAAATCTAGTTTCTGACACAGCTTGATAAAGGACACAACGTCAGAAATACCCTCAAAGACCATCTCCCCAGGCTTTGGTTCGTGCAGATTCCAAGGAACATACATTTGTATAGTATTCAGACCTAAAGCCTTGGCTCTCAGGAGCCTATCTTCCCAGTACTGCATCCATAATCTGGCATTAATCCATCAATCTAGTACATTATAAACATCACAATCACCTACATAAGAGACTGTGTAAGATGCAACATAACGAGATTACTTTCCAAAAATAAACCAGTTATTCGGAGAGAGGACAATACCTCAGGAAGAACCCGGAAGTAGTGCAAATCACCACCAATGATTTGAAAAGGATTCTCATCTTTCCAGAACATGTCATCTCTTATATAAAAAATCCGAGATATCATCTGCAACTTTTAAAAACGAAAGTTGACAACTTGTACATGAAACGAGAACCATATAACATAATTGCTTCGTAATTTTTAGGAATGCATCCACTCCAGCAGTGGGAAGCAACCAAAATTCGATTTTTTGTCTCATTGCTATAAGATCGGATACGAAGCACACAAGAGTTACACAAACTCCTGAAAGTAACCATCCCCACTTCCACATTGATTTCGGTTCCGAATTAAACCAAGCAGAATAGCAAAGCTAAAGAGAAAACATCAAGAAGCAATAAGTGGAAAGAGTCATGCTTACCTTATCGTCCCGAGGAAAGGCAGTAGGAAGAAACTGAGGAGATGACAGTGAAGGAAGAAAACCGAAGACAGGAACAGAGATTCCGACAGCTACAAGAACCAGGAACAACACGCGAGCAAGATGATGTCTTCCCGTTGATGGCCTTCTTCTGCAAACGTAGACTTGGTCTAACATTTTTCCCAAAATGCACTTTCTGCTTCGTTCTCTCGAATTCGTGCCGGATTAAGGCCGGTTTTGACAACTCTTAATCCGGAGAGACGGCCAGACAGATCAAAATTAATTTAAAAGTACCTCTGCTACACAGCAAGGATCCTCACAACAGTTGAAGTATGCCCATCGGTTTCCTAACTTGATGTTCCTAAAAGAGCCAGATTTGAAAAGGACAATCTATCTGGAATTGTAACAGAAGATCGCTGTTTGGTCTTGTCGGTGTAGGGATAAGCATGATCGGAGTATAAACAAAGCCCTAATTTCTCTCATTCGACTATAAGTTTTTCAAATTGGTTTAAGAAGCTATCGTGCCGACCATTCAATTTGCCGGTACACTGAGCCGCGACGGCCGGAAGAGTAAACGGCAATATAAATCAAAATCAAGATGACATGTCAGATACTTTACTCTCACGTGCACATCACGTGCCGATGACAGGATAGATTATAAAAAAGTCAAATAAAAATTTGGAAACAACATGCTAAAAGCGTCTCAAAGTGTGTGGATTTTTATAGATTGGACATGGGCTCAACTCAAGTTACTCGATCAACTCCAATTTTCATTTTTCTTTTTACACTTAGAAAATGAAAGAAGAAACAAAAATTATAAAGTTGTAAATTTTTTCTTTTCAAAAATAGAATTTGAGAAAACGTAGGTTTCCACCGATCGGTCAAATTTTATTTTATGAAAGGGATTAGAGATTAATTTACTCCATAAGATAAACTAATTAATATATACACGCAATTTATTTGTGGCATAAACTTTTTTTTGTGGCATAAACTGATGTTTCATTATCACAATCTATGCAATCAAGCTAGTAGTTTATATTCATATATTGTCGTTGTTTCATCACCATGATTTAAATATGGTAATATGCTTGTTTGAGTCGCTACAAGTATATGCTAGCTAGTGGTTACATTTTTAACAAAATATGTATTCAATAATACAAAATCATTCAACAATACAAAACTTGATTATTAAAGTTGTCAATATCAGGAGAATTTTAGTCTGTTAAATATAATGAGAAACTTGCACAACCCATTAATGGCCATATTAATTTAGGGCAAACACATATTACACAGTAATTTATGCTATTTTTGGAACTTTATACTTATTGTGTTAGGTTTGGAAGATAAACTACTTTTATGCTATTATAGATGTTTCTTTTAGAGAATTATTCCAATTTGCATCGTTGTTTACACATCAACTAGCAATTTAAAAAAAAAAAAAACTAAAGATAATCTCCTGATTCATATTCATAACATTGGGATATAGCCGACTACACATTAGATTTTTGTAAAATAGAAAAGTAGAAATCAGAAACAACACTATATCTACATTGAACCTAATCGGGGCATCCATCTTTCTTCTACGTCTTATCATATTAAATCTAATTAACAAAATTAGAATCCATTAAATGGATCATTTTGTTCTCACCCCAAAAACCTGATGATATGCAGCTCCTGAAGGATCCAGTGAGTCATATAATAATGAGATTTGATGTCACGTTCACACTTCATACACCGATTTTATACAAAGCCAATGCCAAAAGCAATTTAGTGCAACCCAACTCCATTAGTCAAAACACATATATCAACCTCTCACTTTTCCATTATAATATACAGTTATATAATAAAATAACATATTATATATCTATATATATACGTATGTCAAGAGAATCAGTCCTACCTTCATAAATAATTTTCTTCACAAAGCACTCACAAAAACAATGAACCCTAATCTTGCTCCAATCCACGCTTCATCAATACAATCATCATCATCATCAATATCATCAACACCATACGGACTAACAAAGGAAGAATTCTCAACACTAGATCCCATCATCCGTACACACCACACGTTCCCAAGATCGCCAAACACGTGCGCGTCCCTCATAGTACACCGCGTAGACGCACCAGCACGTGCCATATGGAGATTCGTCCGCGACTTCGCAAATCCAAACAAATACAAACACTTCATCAAAAGCTGCACCATCAGAGGTAACGGTAAAGAGATTAGCGTCGGGACGATAAGGGAAGTTAGCGTGGTGTCTGGTCTTCCAGCGTCAACAAGCGTTGAGATACTCGAAGCCCTAGACGAAGAGAAACGAATCTTGAGTTTTCGTGTTCTTGGAGGAGAACACCGGTTAAGAAATTACCGGTCGGTTACATCGGTTAACGAGTTCGTCGTCTTGGACAAGGATAAGGTCAAGAGAGTGTACAGTGTGGTGTTGGAGTCGTACATTGTTGATATACCAAAAGGTAACACGGAGGAAGATACGAGGATGTTTGTGGATACTGTCGTTAAATCAAATCTACAAAATCTCGCCGCCGTTTCCACGGCTTCTCCGACCTGAATGTTTTTTTTTTTTGTGTTGAAAATGTCTTGTGTGTATATGCTTGATAGTGGGCCATAAATGGACTGGTCAATTGTTCAGTTGTGTGTATTGTGAGGTGTGTATATATAAAAACATGGGCCGAAGTGGGCTGAGTAATCCACTTAACGAAAGCCCCAAAAAGTTCCGACCCAACAGCTATTTTACTATTTTGTTTTCGGTGGATGTCCTCCAACTATATATTATGGCAATGAAGTGATTACTAATTTTTTTTCAAAATTTTCCTTTTTCATTTAAGTCTCACTAACCGAAAATACTTTGTTAAATGGAAAATTTCGTGCTTGGGTTTCTCTTAATCGTGAAATTTGGAAGTCAGTTAAGTTAGACGGATGTTTTGTTGATATTTTTTTTTACAATATAAGTTCAGATTTGATACAAAGTACTTCTGATGAATATTAAAAGAATATAATAAACTCACTTCGGCTATGGGAAATATAAAAGAATCGATGTAAAAATTATGTAAAAAGTAGAAAAAGTTTGATAGGGCCCAGAAATTTGGTAGCATCTGCTTTGGCATTTGTCAGAAAATGTTTTGAACCAAGAGAAGGAATATACACTTATCGTAATGGCAACAGCATGACGAATATTCGTGTCAAATGATTCTAAATTTCGAAGTACGATTCTCTATTTAGAAATTTGGGACCGCATGGCTCACGTAGAATCTATTAAAATATTTAAATTTTGGAATATAGGGGAAAATTAATTGTTATGATAAATTTATCCCGACTAGTGTGTAACTTTATTTTCAAAGGTAAGACGACAAAAGTGAACACGTGATGAATGACAGATTTCCGTATAATCAAATCGTAGTTTTGCGTTACCAATGAAAATCATCTCGAGACAGTAACTTATGTTATTCATTATAACATTAATTAATATGCGGTAATAAAAATCGAAAATTATATATCAACCAACTAGTCAAGAGAGTACTATTGTTAAAACAAAAATCACACACACACGCACACACAATCTTACTGCAATTCCATCGTCACATCATAATTAGGATAAATTCCAGTCTTTCTGGAATACGACGAATTAATTAAGCAGAAGAAGAAGAGGAAGAAGAAGAAGAGACCAACGGTTTATCTTCTCCTTCCTGTCCACTACTGCATATTAAAACATCTAGCTAGACTGAGAAACTTGAAGAGCACGAGGCAATATTGGATCATGATGAACATTAATCCCAACAGAGATCGTCTGCATCTTGCAATTACTCTCCGCACTAGTACTCAACATGTTCTTCTCCTTCTCTTCCTCCAATCTAATCTCCTCGATGATTCCCATTAATACCTTCTCCAAGGATTCACCATCGGTCCATTCTCTAATCGCTCCTTTAATCAGCATAGGATTCTGACTAATCAGATCCCAAACCGGGAAATTCTTACGTGGCATCACGTAATCTCCAGCTTTTAGTTTTAAACTCGGACAGTAATCACCAGCTCCATCTCCTAAATAGATCATCTTCTTCTTCCCTTCTTTAGCTAGAGATTCTTGAATTCTCTCAATGATTAAACCCTAAAGATAATCATTAAAATATGGTTTAATATTTAGACATGACCAAAATGGGACCCATAGAGATGACATGTTTTGACTGATTTGGTCAAATACATGACCAAAACACTGTTTTTTTTATGATTTTATGTCACAGTATTCTTTTTTGGATTAATCATAACCAATTAGGAGAAAGAATATACTAAAAATAGATTTACCTTGCACATGTTAGGAGGGCAAGTGGAATGAGAGCAACCATGAGAGGATTTAGTGAAATCGTGGTAAGGAGAAATTCTCAATGTGTCTTCATGTTCATCGACAAATCCAGGGTTCGAGTTGATCTCAGAGAAGAATTCAGTAATCCCGAGATGCTCAACGATGGTCTCGATGAAGAACATGTTCGCGTCGCTCACTATCCTAAGCTCACACCTGTCAAACCGAAACCGTACATGTCGGATCAGAAACGGTGGGTTTTTGTCTAACATTAGACATAATTTTAATAATATTATTAGTAGCTGACAAAATTGATTGTTAAAAATGAAAGAAAATTACCCTAAATCATGTGCAGCTTTGATGGCAGGGACGACACGTGGATGGATTGGGATTGTTCTTAGAACTTGTTTGATCTCCTCAATGGTTTTGCCTTGATCATGAAGCTCCTTCATCATACGATCCTGTTATGTAAGAAAACAAATATTCGAATTAATTCAAGATGATATATGAACAAAGTTGCAAGATAATCTCGTAATTTCAGGGTAACAAGTTTTCTTGGTTTTGTTATTAAAATATCGAAATAAAAAAAAAAGGAAAATGAGAAACAGAGGAGAGAGAATGTAAGAACAAACCATGAGTGTGTTCCAAGGCATCGTGGGGAGAAGTTGATTGAACAAATCAGTGAAGCCAAGTTCATCGATTACCCAATTGTCGCTATCAACGTCGACGATGGTCTTGTCGAAGTCGAAGACAACGACAATGTTGTTGTTGTTGTTACTATTGGTATTGTTGTTACTATTGGTATTGTTGTAAGCCATGACTCAGAATTTTTTTTCAGAGAAAATCTGAAGAAATTAGTGTTTTAGATTGATGGGTTTCTTGAGTTCGTTGGTTTGTGGATGGTGGAGAAGAGAAATGCGGTTTGGTATTTATACAAAAAAAGAAATGGGGATGAGAGGATTTTATCTGAGATGCCAATGGAATATTACCTCAAGGTGAAAAAAAATAAGAAGAAGAAGAATGAAAAAATTGAATTAGAATCTCTTTTGATTGCGTTTTGAACCGTTGGATTTGATTGTATGGTGATCCAACGGTGATGAGAGCAATGGCTTGATTTTATTGGGGTTTTGATTTGCCTTTTTAGAAGTTTCCTGGTGGAATTTCATAAAGATGAGGGAGAGGTAACGCGGGAATCAGAGAAGAATATTCGGAAACCTAAATATATCCTTCAAATGAACTTTAAGGAAACAAATCAAGAAGATGATGTTACAAAAAATTAAATAAATAAAGAGAAATAAATAATTTAAAAAGATAAATTTTCTTAACAGGGATTTTAGAAGGTAAAATTTTGTAACGCATAGAGTCGTGTTAAAAGCCACAATTAAGTTTAATTCTATTATTTACCTTAATGATTTTGAGATTGATTTTTAATGTAGAGTGTTTTTTGAGATTCTTTTAGATTATAACAGTAAACATAGTTTATCGAGTTTATATACATTAACCCAAGTTAAAAAAAAAAATACACCCTGAAATTGTGGTATTTTATCATTTTTTCCTTATTTTTAATTAAAGAATACATAGGAAGTGGATAGGAAGGCACTTGCAAAGGATTAAGAACCAGAGAGGGAATCGTGAGGGACAAAGATTAACCAGAAAAAAGGATATCCTAATTAGAAAGCAGCCTCCCTCGGTGGCTACAGCTTTCATGGTATTCATATTTTGATTTCTTCGTTATCAACAATCATTTTTCTATTTAATTATACTTTACGAAAAACCGACGAGCAAATTTTACCAAAAAGAGTCAGACGGGACACCTCCTAAGACTTGAATATTAGTTATATAGTTTTAGGAGCAAATTTTTTGACTCATCTCCAATACACACACATTGATTATGAATAAAAAGGATCTGAAATGTATTTGAATACTTATTAAGCATCTGCATTTCGGAAATACTCATACATTTTTTCTTTCTTTTTATGCGTTTTCGGAAGTAAAGAAAAAATAACTGCAAAGGTTTGATAAAAGCCCGTTGGAAATCTAATCGTACATCATTAAAAAAAGGTTGTATATAAAACAAAAGTAGTGCATGTCAATTATCAACAAATGTTGTAGAATAAAATAATAATAAAAAAAATAAATACCTAAAGTTGGATCCGTGACACTACAGCAATGGCAAACGCAGAAGCTGCCACCAAATAAGATCTCCTAGAAACACGTTGCCTTGTGCTTTGTGATTTACAAGACGCGTCGGCGTTTCCAACTTAATTCAAACACAACAACATTCGCATCTACTATGAGTATACAAAGTAAACCAACACAAATAACCATACTTTATTTTATTTATTTAGGTAAATAATTTAGTGCAGTGGTAAAAGTTCCCTAAATGAAGAGTCCAGATAGTTGACGTTGTGACCAAACAATCCTTTGTATTTTGGTCATAGTAGTTTTATTTTTGTTAACCTCATAGGCTCATACTTCCTTGAACAATATGTTACTACTTTTTTTCTCCCAAATCTATTATCACATGAATAAAATCGTATCACCTTTGATGGTATTTTTTTTTTTCAAAATCTACATGTGTCACAGTGTCAGTGTCACCCATCCCAATTATTTACAAGACGTATTTTCGAAAGGAAAAAAACATGGTTATTTACCTAATTTGTTAAAACTTAAAAGTAATAACCTAATGGTGTCTTAGCATAAAAAATACAAAGAATAAGTATATTTTACCCTGTCTGCCTTTGATATTCGGGAAGTAGTGCCTTGCGATTTCAAGGTTCCTTTTACATGAGATCAGTATGTCCACATGCATACACACTTATTCCATAACCTAACAAGTAACGACACTAGCGTTATAAACCCTTGTTACAAAAAAACAACACTAACGTTATTCGAGAATCAGCATCACCATATAAACTTGTGAAATTCCTTGTGTCCTTTGACTAATAACTAATAAGAACTATAGAAAAAGATGAAGATATAAAGTTTGATAGATATTCTCATTTTAGTGCGATTTTTTTTTTGGTTAAAGTAAGTGCGATTCTCATGTGCGATCCGTATGAATAAGCGTTACTGGCTGATTTGTGAATTTTAATCTTCAACGAAATTTTACTTAAAAGAACGAGAAAATGATTGTCTTGATTAATTAAATAATGGTGATCCAAATAATTGAAAAGTTGATTTGATTATTATTTTTAAACAAGTTTTATGAGTTTTCTCAAAACGCTTGCAATCATTTTCGATCATTTGTAGATGCTTTCAATAGAAAATAACTCAGTTTTTTATAGACCTTAAAAAATTAGTCTCGGTTTTAATCTGGTATTCTCCAATTATATATATAAAAAAAAACGTGTCTTCAATCGTCTTGTCCAAACATTTTAAAAAGTGTTCATAAGATTCGTCATTTTTCTGTTTGTGACATGTCATGCGTGTCCCATGAAAACCGGAATCCCACTTTAAATTCCCAAGAATTGTACAGTCCAATAATCTAGGTCTGTAATAATAATTAATATAATATAGTAATATACTCCTAGTTACATTTACGTACACGACATTTGAGGTGTGTGCTGTGGTGAGCTTAGATTAACTTCTTTTGTTTGAGAAAGAACTTAAAGAGTAGTAATTTAGTGGATACGAGCTCCTTCACAATTTTTTGAAATCCTTTATAAAGATAAAATTTGCGGTATTTAGTATTTCGATGGTAATGTCTAAAAAGAAAGCGTACAATGTACATATATAAATATTTTTTTTATTACATATCATACATTTTAATATAAAACATAGATACATGTCTAATTTATAGCGTCATAAATAGAACCGAGTTGGAACTACAATAAAACATCATTAGAAATAAAAGTACAAAAAAACATCTGATCATTTGGTCATCTGATTAGGTGAAAAAATATCTGTAACCTTACCATTTTTAAAAAGAAATTTCCACTAATTCAAAAGGGGAAGCTGACAACAGCAAAAACATCTTTAAATGAAAAGAAAATATCATATCTTTGACTCAAAAAGAGAAAATTATTGCTCTAATAATTTCATCTTTATGAGACTTCATCATAAATGAGAAAATTTCCTAATTACTCATGCAACTAATGGCATTCATGGAGTACAAATAATGTTAGTACATAAAAGACATGGTTCCTAAAAGAGATGTTCAAAGTTATAGAAACTACAGGAAGAACATTTGAAACATCTCTTCTTTTTTTCTCTATAACATATATTAAAAATGGTTTCTTCATAGTTCAACATGTTACAGGCAAAATAGGAGATAGACATGTCTATGCAAGTCTTCAAGATATCACACATTATGTATAAAAATGACGCAACAAAAGATCAAACAGTCACACGCACACACAAGAAAACCTTTGGCGTTCTTCATTCTTGGATTCTGTTTTTCTGGTCAAAATTGCTTCGACTCTTGTTGTTGTTCTCGTTCAGGTTTTGTCATGGAGGCAAATTCACCAGAAATGCTTCTCAAGAGCTGTTTACAGTACATGTCTTGTGCTTGGGTCACATTCTTCACACGATTAGCTCTAACCCAAGCAGGCTCTTCAGGGACTAGACGAGAGAGTCCAAATTTCAGAAGCAAGAGTATATGTTCCATGATGAGAATCGCAGCGAGTCCCGGTTCAATCTTCCATTTGCCTTCTTGATCGTATAAGCATACCAAGAGCACCGAGTTTGTACATATGGACGTTACTACTAGAAACTGAAACACACAAGAAAGAAATCATTCAGTGCAGCGAGATTAAAACCGCAGTATACGATCAAAATATGTAAATATTGTATTTCATGCTATCCAAGTCACCTGCCATATGTTTAACCACGCCCCAATTGTTGCTGCAGCACGAGGAAGAGGTCTTCGCAGCGTGACCAGTAGCTTTAAAGCATTTGTTCTTATTTCCATTATATTGCTCTGTATACGACAAATATTCATAAAACAAAGTTCCAAAAAGCTAAAGATGAAACTGACAAAATGTTAACTGTTACCACTGCGGCAAGGGCAAATGCAAGGGGGAAGGCACACGCAAACATCATGATCATTCCAAACTGCAAGGCCAGCTCGAGGGAATCTGAAAAAGCAAACATAAATTAGCTGAGACATATGCAAGCTACTTTCAAACATAAATTAACCAAGATCATTGACTTCATAAATTAAGTACCATCAAAAAGTCCATCTTCAAGTTCTACACCAATGCTTGCTGAATATGCAGGCTTGAAATATTCCTTCTCAACTCTTGAGGCGATTTGTATCTTCCCTGTAGATGGTCCACCTTCATTTTTCTTCTTCTTCCTGGAAAAAGAAAAGCAATTTTGATATTGCTCAGTTCTGGCACGGCTTGCATGAAATAAAGGGCGTACCTAGCTCTAAATTTTCTGTAGCTGTACTTAAGGTAAGGCAAAGAACCATCCATCAAGGTCCAGAAAACCTGCAGAAAGTCGAGTTTCAAACATATGTTGGTATCAACATATTCGAAGTATATAACCAAAAAAGGAAAAAAGAATACATTCTCAAAGTAGAGTATCCAATGAAGCGGCATCTTGTTTTTACCTGTGATATTATTAACCGTTGGAGCAATACTTGACGAAGTGTCATGAAGTTGCGGTGTAACAGAACGTGGTAGAAGATCCCAATGTATGTCTGCATAAAATAGAGCCCAAAAACCTGCAATGTCGAAGTTTTCCATAACAATGTTTAGAAACGAGGAACAATGAGTACTCGAAAAGGACTCTGTAAAAAATGTTGTCCTGACTTTGTAAATTAAGCTGTTAGCTCGATATTCCACACTCTCGTTGATTTCTCGGTTTATCAGCTTGACAGATACTTTGCCTCCCAACCTCGTGAGGTACTGAATGATTAGAAGGTAGATAGCTGTCAATATAAACCTGTAACCATCATAGAGAAATTATCATGGTTCTAACAAAATTGCTAACACATGGGACTGGAAAAGGTTGTAAAGGAAAATAATGAGTAAGCTCTCACTTGATTATATCGGATGAGATCATCTCGTAGATATGAGCATACGCCAGCTCAAATGGAAGTTGGAGGCAGATAATGCTAAGGATAATGAAAACATCATTCCTAAACCTCTTGCGATAAGCAAACCATTCATATCTTTGATATGCTTCCTTCTCTGTGGAAATCTTATTTCCGAGATTCTTTATAAGTTCCTTTGGAAACGGAAGGGAACTCCATTCCATTCCAAGAAATCTATATCCTTGACTGGGGCCAACTAAATAATTTATCTGCCATCTAAGAAAACAAAATCAGTTGGTAAAGAATCAACGCAAATGAGTAAACACAAAATAAATCTGAATTGTTGCATAACTGAGCATCAGTGTTTGGGGAAGCCTACCTAGCTAACAAGGCTGCATTTTTACGTTTCCAGAACTGAAGAAACAAGGTAGCCCAGAGTATTGTGCTGATAAAGAAACTTGGGAGAACAAGAAACTGCAAGGCTCTGACCAAAAAAAATTGCAAAAACTGAATGATGGATGCACCGGGATATCTATTAATGTTTACTTTAAGAGCTTGTATATTATTAAATACTTACCCGAAATCAACCATCTGCACCATAAACCCAAGAAAGGCTGGAAATATTAACCATTGCGTATACATTCCCAAGAACGAAAAGTAGACTCCAATCTGTGATTTTTCTGAGGTATTGAGTTCCATACCAAAAGATTTTTGCTACAGCATGTATATCAAGTTTAGATTTATCTATGTGTCTACCTTTGCGCCAAAGTAAGAGTAGATCTGATCAATTGGTTGGTTTGTGAAGTTCCACCAATTTAATGCCCAAGTTTGGAGAAGTTCCTTCCTCTTTAATTCATCTACAAACACATGTTTTGTGTGAGAATTATAAACCACTGTAGAGTCTAGACTGCCTGTAACACAAAAGATATACTAATAAAAATAGCTTACCATGAAGAGGAAACATTTGTTTAATGATGCCCTCTGATTCTAATGTACGAACTAATGATTCTCCTGCCGCCCAACAAAGCTCTCTGCCGTCAAATTTCAGTGTAACGTCGCATCCATCACAGTTTACCTGTATTTCAAGAGTTCATATGATGAGTCATGAAACAAGAACACTATAAAATGACACATTCAAGTAATAGAAAACATGTAATCAGGGGAGAATTATAACAATAAAGACGAGTTGGAGAGACGGTACTTACGATTCCATAAAGAAGATGTTGATAGCACCGAAACCGTTCAAACCAGCTGAATAGCGTTCCATCAGGTTGCCGGATGAAAGCCTCAGATCCTTGCATCTCAAAGGGCAGATCAATTCCTGAAATGAGAGAGATAACCATCAAAACATTCAAACCTGTGAAGATCTGCAATGCTGCTACCTAAGCTAAAAATACAATGAAACAATATCTACCAAGACGAGTAGGCTTTCGTATATGAAGTTCTGCTGCTGCATTCCCCAAGGTCTCCAAAGGAGCTGCTACCTGAAGAAATACTTGAATTGTAGTTATCTCAAACGTTACTCTCCTGGTAGCAAAACAGCCTACAAAGTATTCTACTGAATTACAGCAAAATAGGTCACTAATCTGGTGAATCCTAGATACCATTAGACATAATTAGCAAGTTTATAAAAAAAAAATTGTTTTTCTCTTCGAAATTCGCTCTTCAGGGTACACTCACTAACTTCCAGACCAACACTATTGAATGAAAAAGGAAGAATTGAGGAACTACCCAGGGAAAAAAATCAATCTAGAGACTTCACAGTTGAGAAAACCCTATGTGAGTGATCTGATTTTACTGGTAAATTTGAAAAATGGCAAAAAAAAAAGACCGACCTTGAGAAACTCATCTGCGAGACCAACGACTCTATCAACAACCATCCCTCTCTTCTTTAGTTCAGTCACCAAAACCTCAACACAGTTTCCTTCTTCTTCTTCTTCCCGAACCCTCTTAGGAACCACCATTGCAACTTCGTGAACGATTCGCTCCTCCCCATTGCTCCCATTCATTGCCAAAACCGAATCACACAATAAAGATAACTCCTTTTTTAGGATCTGACTCCAACGCCCAAATGGGTATTCGCCAAAGTTACACCTTTTTTTGCACTTTTTTTCTTTTCTTTTCCTCTGGAACTACTTTTTCCCTGTAAATTTAATTTTCCGGTTTCTGGGCCATAAAAGGGGATCAGGGTTTAAGTCGGAAACACAGCAAAATCAAGGATACGAAATTTTTATGAAAGTATCGAATGTTTTACACATCTCTCGTTTTTCCTCGCGATTTCCTTGGGGTTTGGCTCGGCTACTTGAATCTTGCGTCAATTCAAAAAACGTTTCTGGAAAAAGGAAGAGAAAAAGTTGGGTTTGAAATTAGATTGAATTTTGAAAAGACATGCAAAATTTCCTAAAGAAGCTCGTTATGAGTTGGCACGCAGACGATGAGTGATCCATCGTGGCAAGAGTGACACATCGGACGGTGCTGAGTCATTATTGACACGTGTGCCTCTTTTTCTTTTTTTTTTGCTCGTGTGACTGCCGTTTATCATGTAGATAATGGATACAATATTAACCGGGAACGACCGACAGTTATAAACAGCGGTTCAGATTGAACCGGTCAAGTCCGATTTGAATTAGGAAATACCGAAGTTGACTTCAACTTTATCTTTACTTAATTAGCTTCCGTCCTTCTTTCTCCTCCTTCTGTCTCTCTTCTTCTCTACCAAAGAAAAAGTAAAATTAACGCGTCGAGAATTTTTCCCAAATTTGTAAAAACCCTAATTCTCTGATTCGGGGATCTTCTACCGATAGATCGTTAATTGAATACCAGAGGATCTGTAGAGGAATCGATCAACATGGGTAACACAGATAAGCTGATGAATCAGATATTTGACCTGAAATTTACGTCCAAGTCTCTGCAAAGGCAGTCAAGGAAGTGCGAGAAGGAGGAGAAGGCAGAGAAACTCAAGGTTAAGAAGGCGATCGAGAAGGGGAACATGGATGGTGCTCGGATCTACGCCGAGAACGCCATTCGTAAGCGTAGCGAGCAGATGAACTACCTCCGTCTCGCTTCTCGTCTCGATGCTGTTGTTGCTCGCCTCGACACGCAGGCCAAGATGACCACCATCACCAAATCAATGACCAACATCGTCAAATCCCTTGAATCTTCACTTGCCACAGGTATTTCATCAACATTCACTGCCGCTGAATTATCCAAAGTTTTTGTCTTCCATCAGTTTATGCTGTTCATAGGTTTAGTATATTGCATAGACGATACGTTTTTCTCATGATGGTTGTAGTAATACTGTTCTACCGATGATTAATATGGGTTTGGTTTTATGAAATTGACGCTGAATTAGACATCACCACCATGGTTAGTGGCGTATTAGTTCACAGAAGGCAATTTAAACTTGAAGGATGCTTCTGAATAGATACGAAGATTTTGTTCTTATGGAAACTCATAAAGGGTTCATCTTTTTGTCCCGTCTGTGATAAATCGTTGTGCTTCTTCTTATATGCAACTCTGTGATATAGAACGCCAGTATAATTTGATTCATTACGTTTTATACAAGTTGAGGTTCGTATCTGTTTTCTGTTTCTCTTAACAGGCAATCTACAGAAGATGTCAGAGACAATGGACTCATTCGAGAAGCAGTTTGTGAACATGGAGGTCCAAGCTGAGTTCATGGAGAACGCTATGGCGGGTTCAACTTCATTGTCCACTCCAGAAGGCGAAGTCAACAGCCTGATGCAGCAGGTAGCAGATGACTATGGTCTTGAAGTCTCTGTGGGACTACCTCAGCCTGCTGGTCATGCCATCCCAACTAAGACAGAGGAGAAAGTCGATGAGGACGATTTGTCCAGGAGGCTTGCAGAGCTCAAGGCCAGAGGATAAATGAGCTAACCAACGACCGTGCTTGGACTATCGACCACTTTGCACAAGATCGTTATCGAAATATTGCTGCTATTATCCGTAAACACGGTCCTATTTGTGTATATTGCTCACTTTGGAACATGCTTTGTTTATAACATCATATAAAAACCTTCGTGTGTTTAGCTTTCTACCATTTAAATGATATGCTTTCCCTTTGAGCTTGTGTGCATTAACAAGTTTCTTTTTGAGTCTAAAACCAAAAAAAAGGTTCTTTTTGAGTCACTTTTGGTTTCATTGACTAAGTATCATACATCTAACAAGGAACATCCTTATTAGTAGAGTCTAACATTACAGTTTAATGCAGAAATGTTATATTCTATGCAAAAGACTTTCTCATGCTACAATTCTTGTGAGCCACTGAATCTTCTTTCGAAGCTTGTGAATCATCTTTGTTGATTTAGGGCGTGATAGATGGAAGCCGATGGAGTCAAGGTACCAGCCGCTCCTACCGTTGATGCCAACAATGCGCCCTCCATTGACTGAGAAAGTGAAGGGTGTTCCTTGTTCAACTCCATAAGGTCCATACACTTGTTTATTGCTCTTGAAGGTAATTGATCTGATCACAGGAGAGCCACTGTGAACCACTGGCCAGTAGTAACCACTCACACCAATTAGATACTCATCTGGGTATTGCAGCTTTATCTGCAGAAATTTGGTTCATGTAAGAGAACCCAAACTCTAAGAGATGAAGGTAGAGAAACATAATCCAAAATGAGAAAGGAACATACCTCTGATGTTTTGTTGCCTCCCTGACCTCCATGCTTTTCTGATCTTACAGGTTTCCCATTCTTATCGTAGACCACAGAGATGGAGTCAATGCATTGATCATATACGAGTTTGATCTCGCGGACACCATGATAGATCCCGTCATCCCAATCGGTTCCTCCATTTCCTCCCCAGGGTCCTACGAACACAGTCAGATTCTTATCACCCTGTTGTAGTTGATCCATGTGTCCGTCCTGCTCTTTAATTGACAGCTAAACACGATGCAAGAGAAAGTGCTAGGAAACCCAAGTCTTGCAACAAAGGAAGCTGCTATTAATCTGATACCATCTATGAAGAATCAAACTTCTTCTTTGCTATTCAAACAGGTTGCGGTTTGATACAGAACAAGAGTTGAGTATTTAGCTTTTGCAACAACGCATATAAAAAGAGGGCAAAACGATGAAGAGACAGGACAGCATCATGGGAAGGTATTGGATTCCAAGACAGCACTATATGAGGATAATAGGTCTGCGTGTGGTTGTCTTATCTTCCTTTACAGAAGGAACTAGGAGATTCCAGAAAACTTCAAGGAGAAAAAGATTGACATGGAACAAATTCCAAAAGTGTTCATCATAGTGACAAAAAGAAGAGAAGAAGTATATCGCCACTTGTTCTCACATTACCAAGGTGTAAATTTGCTCTTGTATGTATTTATGCATATATGAACATATCCTTAGCTTTCTGACACAGTAAGTTTTGAAAATTTACTATAATGGCTACTCTGAGAAAGAACAAGCGGTTGATCATTACATCTCAGTCCTGCTGTTTACATGAACATAGACGAAATCCTATTCTCTATCATTACTACTTGACTTATCTAGAGGAGTCCAATGAAAGAATAAAGAAATCAACAGAGTAACTGTAGAAGCACCTGATAGAGAACTACAGGTGAACATACAGCAAAAGAATCAGTAAAAGCTAATCCAGAAAATGCGAAAGAGCCCATCTGCGGAATCATTTGTATCTCATTCTCTCTCTCAGCATCTGCAGCCCCATGTACCTGCAATTATAGTCATATGGAAACGTGTTTTTAGTCTGACCAAAACGCACTGGTCAAGCATCAAAGGTAAAAATTTTGATTACCTTCCCAGCATCATCAAGGTAGCTTGGGGATTAGTCCCAGGAGATATATTGAAGGTTGATCCATCCACGATTCTGAGAGAATCGATACCAATGACTTTGAGGTCAGAGTTCACAACTTTTCCCACAACGCAGCCTCCATGGTAGTGCCAGATTGTGCTCACAGTTCGTCTGCAGAATTCTGCCATCACCAGATCATTTGATTGGTCCACAGGTAATGGAACTCCAACGAACCTGAACCTACGGCTCCCAAACCATTCCCTGAACATGAAGTCCTGCATAGCTCGGCTCCTGAGAATTTCTCCAATCTTCCTAGTCCCATTAACACATCTCTCTAGATCCTGTGGATCACTAAAGTAGTTGAACCTGACAATTGGGTTTATCCTCACATCCGTTGAGGCCAACCTTAGTGAACCAGTAGACACTGGACCTAGGATCTTTTCCATAATAGTTGTCACAGGGACGTACAAAGGAGAAGCTGGAGCTCTGATGAAAACAGAATGTATAGGCGACGCAAAAGGAATCACATTGGAAGCAGCCTCCAGAAAAGCCCCTTCCTCAGTAATTCCCACGACTTGTATCAGTGAGCTCTCCATTGGAACCGGAGGAACAATGGAGATACCGTTCCTCGGGTTATCATACACAAAGTCTCCCACATGAGGCTGGTCAAGAGCCACTGGGATTCCCCAAGTGGAAAGATAACTCCTTGTACCAATTCCACTAAGAAGCAGCAACTGTGGGCTACCGAGTGAACCAGCAGATAGAATCACCTCTCCTCTGTCTCGGATCAGCGCGTGATGGTATCGTCCCAGCTGATCACGGTAAACCACTCCAATTGCAGAGACATTGGAACCCGAGTCACTTGGAGATGAAGCCAGCAAAACTCTCTCCACAGTTGCGTACACTGCAACTCTAATGTTGGAACTTCTTGAATATCTGAGAAGATCTGCAGAGCTATGCCTCCTCCCAGCACGATCGAACGTAGAACCTCCGATCTTAGTCCCCACTTTATGCTCCAAAGTGAAGCCATTAAACGGATGGACACCAACCTCAAGCAACGCGTCCCTAATCGCAGATTGCCAAGTCCTGAGCTGAGGTCTAAACACAATAGCTCTCTCCACCCACTCATACGACTGATTCACAGTAGTCAGATCCCAATTGAGACCCGAATTCTCAAAGAACTGTTTATCAGCTCGGCTGTAGAATCCGGCATTGATTGCGCTGCTTCCTCCAAGAACACGGCCTCTGGCGTTAGGGACTCCTTCCTCAGAGATGAAGGACTGAGCCGGCGAGTCGAAGTTGTTGACGTCGGTAAGAGTGGTTAAGAAACCGTCGTGTGACATCACGTGAGGTCTATTGTACGGAACGCCGCCGCGTTCGAGCAGAAGAACCCGGAAAGATTGCGACAGTGTGGCGGCTAGTGGGCATCCCGCCGTTCCTCCTCCGACGATTATGTAATCGTAGTAATCCTCCGACGCAAAATCAGTTGCGTTCGTCACGAATCGCATGAAATTGGGCGCTGCAAACGAGATTCTAACAGTGAGAACAGCGACGTAACAATGTAATCTCTAAAAGAAATTAGGGATTGAGCGCAATTTGGGTCTTTTTCGGAATGGTTATGGCTTTCTTGCAAATACTCATAAGCGAATCAGGGAAGAATCGAAAGTATCAGCTAATTTCCTCGATTTACTACAGATTCCAGTGTCTAATTACATGTATTTTCAATATAATCAACGAAAACCTCAACAATGGTGGCTAAAGATTTCAAAGTTCAAGCATAACCAGAGATTCTCCTGAATTTTCTTGGGAAACTTACGTCGATTAGCGCGTGGCCTTGCATTAGACTGAGAAACTGCTCCAAGAAGAAGAAGCACCACGAAAACCGTGTACAGAAGATAACAATCCATCCGTTTACTCATTTTCGCTCTTCGTCCGAAGATCTTCTCCGAGCAGAAAGAAAATTAAATTTTCCCGGGAAAGAGAGAATTTTCTCAGTTAAAAGGAGAAACGGAGTGGAAGAAGTTATAAAAAAAAAAGACTCGACGCTTGTTATCTGTTATGGAGTGTTCCTCAGCTCTCGAACTCATCAGTGTATATACGATATAAAAACACTCATAGCCATCGATGACAATTAGATCAAGTAGATATCGACGGCTCTCAAGAGAAGCAATCATGAACCCAACCGCAGCGGATAATAACAGAATTTCACGGCCGTTAGCAACAGTTTCAAGCTTTCAAAACGTCGACGTTATGCCGGTTCGATGAGCTCTAATCAATATCCGGTTCAATCCGGTTATAAAAGATAACAAGATTTAACCACGTGTCATGAAGCTGTGCGGATTAGACTGTAGCGTTTAGCTAGTGTTATCACTGACATTTTAACCGTCAAAACACAGAGAGAGATAGAGCAAAAATGGCGATGGCGATGGCGATGTTACCTGCGCTCTTCTCTTCTCCCTCGATTCTGGCCAGCAGAATCAGATGCGGAGCCACCGCAAACAGTGGCGGGGCACTCTCATCTGCTTCTCCTGACTCCGACCCTAGGAGAGGTGTCTCCGTTTATAAGCCCAAGTCCTACGAGGTTTTGGTCTCTGACGCTGCCAATTCTCTTGCGTTCGCTCTTCAGGAATCCAAATCTCGTTTGGAAATCGATTTCCCGTAATTATTTCTTCTTCTTTCATCTGAATTGTACAAATTTGTGTTATCGGCTCCTCGTGATAATGGTGCCTTTTGCTCTTCTGTTCTTCTGTAGGCCTTTGCCCAGTAGCATTTCGTCATACAAGGTTTTTTTTTTTTCATGTCATCGTTGAGATTTTTCGTGTTCTGAATTTTTGATGTTGTGGCTTCGTTTTAGCTTATCTGTGGTATTGTATTGGACTTGCAAACGTTGTCTAGGGCTCTTCGGACGATTTTATTGATGCCAACATACAATTGGCCTTGTCTGTTGTCCGGAAACTTCAGGAGAAAATAGAGACCAGAGCTTGCATTGTAATCTATCTCCCTCATTAGTTTATTTATTAGCCATCCTTCTTATATGTTTCTTCTGACCTGTGTACATCGAACATGCTTCAGGTTTTTCCTGACAAGCCCGAAAAGCGCAGAGCTTCGCAACTCTTCAAAGCGGCGTTTGATTCGGTACTAATGGAACTTCCCGTTTGCTGCATTTTGCATATGTTAGGATTTAACATCTGAGAATTGAACACTTGATGGTTAACAACGATTTGATTTCTTGTGTTTCTCATCAGATTGATGGCATAAGTATCGGTTCTCTAGATGATATACCTGGTACTTCTGTCACCAATTTCTTCAGGTCCATAAGGAGTACCCTGGACTTTGATTTTGAAGATGAAAACGAAGGTTTAACTAAAACTTCGATTCTTTCATCTAAATTTCCTTTCCCAAGGATTTTTGCTTTTCTAAACAGATGGATTATTGCATTTATCATGAAGATTATATGTTCCTACAGGTAGTTGGGAACCCAAGGAGCCACCGACCCTTTATATGTTTATCAATTGCAGCACTCGAGAACTCTCTGTTATAGAGAAGTTTGTGGTATTGCAATCCTTTTATCCTTTCTTATCTTAACATGGAACTTGGTTTACATACGTCACTGACTATAGTCATTTTGGACTTTTTCTTTGTAGCTTGTTAATTATAGCAAACTGTATTGTTTGGGTATACTTGCAGGAAAGCTTTGCCAGTTCAACCCCAGCTCTTCTCTTTAATCTTGAGCTAGATACCTTACGGTATTGCTTCTATCGAGACCTCAATTTCATGATTTACTTAATCTCTCTCGGCTTCCTCACTTCTGGTAACAGCTGATTTTTAGTGCAGTGCTGACCTAGGGCTACTTGGCTTTCCCCCTAAAGATCTGCACTACCGGTTTCTTTCTCAATTTATTCCCGTCTTCTATATCCGAATCAGAGAGTATTCTAAGGTAATTGCCAATTATGATGATAATATCTTGCGGATCTCTCTTGACTGCTAGCATAAATGAAGCAGCATAATAGCTGTTTGTGTTTTCTTGGCTAAGACAGTGGCAGTGGCACCATATGTGTTGAACTACAACGGAGCACTTTTTCGACAATATCCTGGTAAGTGCTTAAATGTTCTTTCCCGGGACTAAAAGTATACAGTGGCACCATGTGTATTGAACCTGTCCGTCTTGTGACATCTTTGAACTATGAACACGATGTGATGCTTGTCTCAGTCTCTCTATCAGATATGCAGAACCATTCTCAATACCAGTTACCTGAACTAAGGGAACACTGTCTCTTTCCATGTCTAATACATAAAAAACTAATGCAGGGCCATGGCAGGTGATGCTTAAGCAATCTGATGGTTCATTTGCGTGTGTTGCAGAAAGCGCAACTCGTTTCACCCTGGGTGAAGTATGTGCAGTAATCATTTGTGTTTAGTCGTTTTAACCTAACCTCTGAAAAGAAGTAACGAGCTCTGATCGATGTTGATGCAAACAGACCAAGGAAGAGCTGTTGCAGGTTCTAGGACTACAAGAAGAGAAAGGAAGCTCACTCGAGTTCCTGCGCAGGGGCTACAAGGTTCTTGCACATTGGTCTAGATTCTGTTTGTCTGTTTCTTTTATGTTCACAGCGTAGCTTAAAGTGGTCTGAAACTGATGATGTTGCAGGCCGCAACTTGGTGGGAAGAGGATGTGGAACTTGAGTTATCATCTAATTGGCGTAGCTGAATGATGACCAAGTCATGGATTCACAGTTTTTAGTAAGTTCGATAAGTCTCTCAAGATTTAAGGTATTTACACTTGTATATGTGCAACATTGGTAGAGAGAGTTTGAGAGATGTAAATGAGAACGGTAAACGATAGTTTGAAAATGTTTTTATATAATATTCAGTCTAAATTATGATACGGTCTGCCCCACCCGCTTGTTTAATTCTTCAACACTATCGTAAACCATAAATAGTCAGAGGAAATTACAAAAATAAACTATTTTAGGAATACTTCTCTCCTTAATTAGAGATATACGATGATTATCTCTTTCCCAACTAATCAGTTTCTCTTGATAACTATCTATTCTTTGACGATGAACGTTGATTGCTCTTCTTCATCGAAAGGTATCCAAAACCCAAACCTAACATTTATTTGTTTCTTCTAATAATGGCGCCAATCTGATGGGTTAACCTTTAGCGAATACCCTTCAATCAAGTTGTATCCTTTTTCCCTCTTTCTCTCTCCTTTTTACGTCATTTTTGGTGAGTGCTTCATAATTATTAGAGCTTGATACTGGGCATGTTTCTTGGTCTTTTAAGTCTCAGATGAAGAATCTTGGGTTGTTCGAAACTCTCCTGTTTTCCTGTCTTTTTGTTTCGGCTAGGTTAGTTACGGTTTCGTGTCTAAACTCAGATGGGTTAACTTTACTCTCACTTAGGAAGCATTTGGGAAAAGTGCCACCAGAATTAAGTTCAACATGGAAGATAAACGCATCTGAAGCTACCCCGTGTAACTGGTTTGGTATCAGCTGTGATGATTCCAAGAAGGTTACGTCTGTCAACTTCACCGGCTCAGGGGTTTCAGGTCAATTGGGTCCTGAAATTGGGCAGCTCAAAAGCTTAGAAATTTTGGATATGAGTTCAAACAATCTCTCTGGGATTATACCTTCCACTTTAGGAAGCTGTAGCTCACTCGTGTATATTGATTTGTCTGAAAATGGATTCTCTGGTAAGATCCCAGATACTCTCTACCTTGAAGAGCTTGGCCGATCTGTATCTTTACAGCAACTTCCTCTCCGGCGAATTACCTAAATCCTTGTTTCGAATTCCAGCCTTGAATTATCTGCACGTTGAGCATAACAACCTGACCGGTTTAATTCCTCAAAATGTTGGTGAGGCTAAAGAGCTTCTGGATCTGCGTTTGTTTGACAATCAGTTTTCTGGTACAATCCCTGAGTCAATTGGAAACTGCAGTAAGCTGGAGATTCTGTATCTGCACAGGAACATATTGGTTGGTTCATTGCCTGAAAGTCTCAATCTTCTGGAGAATCTCACTGACCTGTTTGTTGCTAACAACAGCCTCAGAGGAACAGTTCGGTTTGGTTCAACCAAATGCAGGAATTTGGTGACTTTAGATTTGTCATACAATCAATTCCAAGGCGGTGTCCCTCCTGAATTGGGCAATTGCAGTAGCCTCGACGCTTTAGTCATTGTGAAAAGCAACTTGTCAGGTAAAATCCCTTCATCATTGGGTATGTTAAAGAATCTTACAATTCTTAACCTTTCCGAGAATCGTCTCTCTGAAAGTATTCCCCCGGAAATCGGAGACTGCACCAACTTAAACACATTGAAGCTGAACAATAACCAGCTCGGAGGTGGGATACCGAGCACGTTAGGTAAGCTAAAGAAGCTAGAAAGCCTGGAGCTTTTTGAAAACCAGTTTTCTGGTGAGATACCTATTGAGGTATGGAAAATTCAGAGTCCTACGCAGTTGCTAGTTTATCAAAACAAATTCACAGGAAAACTACCTTTGGAAATAACCGAGCTCAAGAATCTAAAGATCGTTACGCTCTTCAACAACAGCTTTAGGGGAGTAATACCACCTGGTTTGGGTCTGAACAGCAACTTAGAGATTGTTGATTTCATTAGTAACAATTTTACGGGAGAGATACCACCAAATCTCTGCCATGGAAAGAAACTGACAGTGTTTAACTTAGGATCAAATCGACTTCACGGTAAAATACCGACATCTGTTGGTCAGTGCAAGACTCTAAGCAGATTCATACTTAGAGAAAACAACCTTTCAGGTCTTCTTCCTGAGTTTTCACACAATCCTGATCTTTCGTTTCTCGATCTCAATAGCAACAGCTTCGAAGGACCGATCCCTCGTAGCCTCGGAAGCTGTAGGAATCTCACGACAATCAATCTGTCTCGAAACAAACTCAGTGGACAGATACCTCAAGAACTTGGGAATCTACAAAAGCTTAGTCACTTGAATCTTGGGATTAACTTATTAAACGGTTCGGTTCCTTCAAAGTTTAGTAATTGGAAAGAGTTGACCACTTTGGTTCTCTCCGGAAACCGGTTTTCAGGAGTCGTTCCGCCGGACCGCCGTTCTTAGAGTTAAAGAAAACAACCATTTCTCGGAACTATTAAACTAGGCGAAAATCAGACTTAAGTTTTCCATTACATAAACATAATGAAAAAGTATAATGTACTGATTGTAACATCAATATATTTAACATCTTGACAAAAATAATCAAAATATTTTAGCGTTTAAAATTCACAAGATGAAATGTGTTTTTTGTTAAATCGTTGTAAATCTTGTATTCAATATATAAGCAGCTATATAGTAGAATTATGTATATACAAATATAATGCATATATAGTTGATAACACAACATACATAATTCAATTTACTTGTAAGATGATTAAGTCATTGCTTTCATAGTTTTCCTCTACCTTATTCCACGGTGTTACCAGTCAAATTGTTGTGCTCTAGTTAAGTAAGGTTTAGCTGCTTTTTTTGGATGGCAGTTTAGTTGTTCTTATCAATTAACAAATCGAATCTTATAATCTTATACACGTAATATATCATATTTAAGTCTTGATAATGACACGATTCGCACGACGATATCGTTTGCAAACAATTATTTAATTGGGATAATGGACTTAAACCTGCCCTAGCTCCTCCACTACGTCACCATCCACCAACGAAGCTGCAAATGGACAAAAGAATTAAATTGATTAATGAAATGTTTGTGTGAATACGTTTCTCTCTTTTTGTTAACGTTTTCTTACTAATAATTAAATTAATCTGTTGAAGTGGCATAGCCTTCTTACTTTCTTTGGCTGATGTAAAACGACATCGCTGAAAAATATCCAAATTGATTCACGTTTCTCAAAGAGAATAAAAGAATAAGAGAAGACTGCTTTCTAGAACACGTGTGTCTGAAAAGGGAAAATAAGAAGAGTGAATAAGAAACGGCGTGCCAAAGAAAACGCGTTGAAAGTTTGGTTCACAATCGCTGATTAATACCGATTACCGACCAAACTTATCGTCATAGAAAAACGGAAAGAATCAGATCAACTATCACTTGTCACCCATCAATCAAGTTCTGTGTCTTTTTATAAACTCCTTTTCCTCTCTCATGCGAGCTTCACTTTACTGAGACGAGAGCTTCAAATTTCAATCTTGATTGAGACTTTTTCATGTTTCTTGATTCTTAATCCCAGATGAAGAATCTCGGGTTGTTCGAAATTCTTTTGCTTTTCTGGCTCTTTGTCTCCACCCATATAGTTTCTGTTTCATGTCTAAACTCAGATGGCTTAACTCTACTCTCGCTCCTGAAGCATTTGGACAAAGTACCAAAAGAAGTAACTTCGACATGGAAGATAAACGCATCTGAAGCCACTCCATGTAAATGGTTCGGTATCACTTGTGACGAATCTAATAATGTTGCGTCTCTCAACTTCACTCGCTCTAGGGTTTCAGGCCAATTGGGTCCTGAAATCGGGGAGCTCAAAAGCTTGCAGATTTTGGATCTGAGTACCAACAATTTCTCGGGAACTATACCTTCCAGTTTAGGAAACTGCACTGAACTCGTTTATCTGGATTTGTCTGAAAACGAGTTTTCTGGTAAGATTCCAGACACACTCGGTAACTTGAAGAGCTTGATGGATCTCTATCTTTACATAAACTACCTCACTGGTGAGTTACCTGAATCCTTGTTTCGAATTCCGGGGTTGCAGACTTTACATGTTGAGTATAACAACCTAACCGGTCCGATTCCTCAAAGTATTGGTGAGTCTAAGGAAATGTTGGACCTTCGTATGTTTGAGAATCAGTTTTCTGGTAACATCCCTGAGTCGATTGGGAACTGCAGTAAGCTGGAGATTCTATATCTGCACAAGAACAAGTTATCTGGTTCGTTGCCTGAAACTTTCAACATGATGGAGAATCTCATTGACCTGTTTCTTGGTAACAACAGCCTAAGTGGGCCAATTCGTCTCGGTTCAACAAATTGCAAGAAGTTGTCGACTATAGATCTGTCCTACAATCAATTCGAAGGTGGTGTTCCTCCTGAATTGGGGAACTGTAGTAACCTTGACGTTCTAGTCATTGTGAGTGGTAACTTATCAGGTACGATCCCTTCATCGTTAGGTATGTTGAAGAAGCTTAAGATTATTAATCTCTCCGAGAATCGTCTCTCTGGGAGTATCCCTGCAGAGCTTGGGAACTGTAGTAGCTTGAGCTTGTTGAAGCTCAACAATAACCAGCTTGGAGGCGTGATACCAAGTACATTGGGAAAGCTCAAGAAGCTAGAAAGTCTTGAGCTTTTTGAGAACCGGTTTTCTGGCGAGATTCCTGTTGAGATATGGAAGATACATAGTCTTGCGCAGTTGCTAGTTTACCAAAACAATCTCACAGGGGAGCTACCTGTGGAAATGACCGAGCTGAAGCGTTTAAAGATCGTTACGCTCTTCAACAACAGCTTTTATGGAGAGATACCATCAGGTTTAGGTGTGAACAGCAGCCTAGAAGAAGTGGATTTTATTGGTAATAAACTTACAGGAGAGATACCGCCGAATCTATGCCATGGAAAGAAGTTGACAGTGCTCAATTTGGGTTCTAATCGGCTTCATGGTAAGATACCGACTTCTATTGGTCACTGTAAGACCATCAAGAGATTCATCCTCAGAGAAAACAACCTCTCAGGTCTTCTTCCTGAGTTTTCTCAGGATCATAGCCTTTCATTTCTCGATTTCAACAGCAACAACTTCCAAGGACAAATCCCGCGTAGCCTCGGAAGCTCTAGGAATCTCTCGAGCATCAACTTGTCTCGAAACAAGCTCACGGGGCATATACCTCCAGAACTTGGGAAACTACAGAATCTTGGATACCTGAATCTTTCACATAATCTTCTTGAAGGCTCTCTACCATCTCAGCTGTCTAACTGCGTGAGCATAGAGCGTTTTGATGTTGGTTTCAACTCGTTAAACGATTCGATTCCTTCAAACTTTAGTGCCTGGAAAGGCTTGGCCACTTTAGTTCTCAGTGAAAACCGGTTTTCAGGAGGCATTCCCTTGTTCTTGCCTGAGCTTGTAAAGCTCTCAGATCTGCAGATTGCTCGGAATGCTTTTGGTGGTGAGATTCCTTCGTCGCTTGGTTCGTTGCAGAATCTGATCTATGGTTTGGACCTGAGTGGAAACGGATTAACAGGCGAGATTCCAGCCAAGTTAGGAGATCTTGACAGACTAACACGACTCAACATATCCAACAACAAGCTTACAGGCTCTTTATCAGTTCTTGAAGATCTTAAATCATTGCTTCACGCTGATGTCTCCAACAATCAGTTCAATGGTCCAATACCGGGAAGCTTAAAGGATCAGTTGATCTCTGATCCGTCGTCGTTTTCAGGAAATCCCAACCTCTGCATTCCACATTCCTTCCCTGTTATCAACAATAGCCGCAGCGACTTCACTTACTGCGACGATCAATCAAGAAACGGAAAAAGTGGCCTAAGCACCTGGAAAATCGCGCTTATAGCGGTCTTATCCTCTTTACTCGTCTTGGTTTTGGTTCTTGGTCTTGTTTTCATTTGCCTGCGTCGTCGAAGAGGAGCTCCACAGAAAGAAGCCTATGTCTTCACCGAGGAAGGCCCATCTTTGTTGCTGAACAAAGTTCTTGCAGCAACAGACAATCTAAACGAAAAATACATCATCGGAAGAGGAGCTCACGGGATTGTTTACAGAGCATCTATGGGCTCAGGCGATGTCTACGCCGTGAAGAGACTCGTCTTCGCGTCTCACATCCGAGCAAACCAGAGTATGATGAGGGAGATAGACACAATAGGGAAAGTCAGGCACAGGAACTTGATTAAGTTAGAAGGGTTTTGGCTGAGGAAAGAAGACGGCTTGATGCTGTATAGATACATGCCAAAAGGAAGCCTTTACGACGTTCTTCACGGTGTTAGCTCGAAAGATAATGAGCTAGACTGGTCTGCAAGGTACAACGTCGCGCTTGGTGTCGCTCACGGACTTGCCTATCTACACTATGACTGTCATCCTCCGATTGTTCACCGTGACATTAAACCGGAAAACGTACTCATGGACTCGGATTTGGAGCCTCACATTGGAGATTTCGGTTTAGCTCGCCTTCTCGATGGCTCAACGGTCTCAACTGCCACTGTTACTGGCACCACCGGTTACATCGCACCAGGTAATCTATTATCTCATTATACATAATCATAAATCCGGTTTAGAGTCTAACCGAGTTAGTTACCGGTTAATGATACTGTTACTAAACTCTGTTTTTTCTGCTATCTAATTTTACGATGAAACTGTGCAGAAAACGCTTTCAAAACCGTGAGGGGAAGAGAATCTGATGTTTATAGTTACGGAGTTGTGTTGCTTGAGCTAGTTACGAGGAAGAGAGCAGTGGACAAATCGTTCCCGGACAGTATGGATATAGTAAGCTGGGTGAGATCTGTCTTGAGCAGCAGCAGCAACAACAATGTTGATGACATGATAACGACTATCGTCGATCCGATTCTCGTGGACGAGCTTCTGGATTCGAATCTTAGGGAACAGGTGATTCAGGTGACGGAACTGGCACTGAGTTGCACGGAGAAAGATCCGGCGAGGAGACCGACGATGAGAGATGTGGTCAAAGTGTTGTGCGATGCGAAAGGTCTTGTAAGAGATGATTCAGTTCGCTAGTACAGAGCACAAGGAAGTGCGGCGGGATGTTATTACTTATGTAGTGTGTGTGTGTGTGTTTTGTTTCAAGTTTTTAACTAGAAGTAATGTAACTCAGCCCATAATGTAAATATGGGCCTAACTAAGGCCCAACTATGATGGCCCTCTATTTGAAATTCCGCAAGTCGACTCGTATATGATAAAATCAATTTTAAGTAAATTGTTCGATAATTTTTTTTTTTCTTGCCGGAGATGAAGATAGGGGCGGTTCAGCAGAGTTGGCTTGTACGGACACCGGTGCTTCCTCCGGCGGTTCGTTGCTCTATCCGCCGGAATGTAAAGCCGCAGCTCGGGTTTCCTCGCTCGAAGAGTGAGCAAAGTTCTTCTCTTTCACTTAAAGTGTTTTTTTTTTTTTTCCTTGGAAAGCATTCTGTACACACTTCTAGTAACTTGGTCGATATCAAATTGAGGTGACTGTGGTAATGAGTTTCGGTAACATGAAGTTCAATGAAATGGGTTTCGTCATTGAGAAATACAAGGATTAAAAAAGAATGATAAACAGAAGTAGAATAGATAAACCAGAAGATCAAGTTCTTTACATTGTTTCTTCATATTAAATTCAAGAATTCTGTTTCTTGTTTTGATGAATCAGAAAATGGCTGCCGACCCATTGATTGGTTTTGCTTAACTTCTTCGTAGTTTCCTTGTGTATTTCATGTTGCTGGGCCTTGTTTTGGCTTCTAAAGAGAAAAGAAAAGAGATTTATTTAATCAAAATTATTTGGAGATTTCAGGGTTGTCTCGTGGTGTGGTTCTGGCGGTTCATGGAGGGAGAGGGTATGAGTCTCCATGGGATGAAAAACCCTATGAAACTCTTTCCACTGGTAAAAGAGTTTACGTTGATGAATCTGATGTTGTAACGTTTCTTGATCCCCCCAAGGAGTTGATTCCATTGGACCCTACTTCATATAACCCAGCTGCTTATCTCTGGTTAGTCTGCTTTTGGTTGATTGAGTTGCAGCACTGATTCAGTCTTAAGCATTAGGCTAGCACATTTATAGTAGTCATAACACCAGTGATAGCTATACTATCCATATATTTTCTTGGTGACTAAATTTAGCATTGTCTCGGATTAGCTCTCCAATTGGTGTGCTATTTAGTTACCTGTTGATGATTGATGTTGTATATCTCAAAGCAAGAAGATAAAGTGACACCATCAACTAGAGTTATACACCTCTAATCATGCATTCACCTGTTAGATTTCATCTGGCATCTCATGAGACAATAAGATAACTATTAAATAGAGTTCAGACTGTACAGGAAAAAGATTGAAGATATCCCCGAAGAGAGGCGCCACCGTCTGCTGCATTTGTTAGAGCCAAGGTCATTCTTGCTGAACTCTTATCGATATTTAGCTTTCTGAGTCATGTGGTTGTCATACGTCTCTTGGAGGATTCATATGCCAATTCTTCTGATGACACTGGACATGGAATGAGCACTTAGTGCATGTTTTTGGCATGGTTTTCATGAGAGTTATGTATGCAGGCTTATATCAAGAGCGTGGGAAATAGCAAGCGCTCGTTATGAAGATCCAAAGTTAGCTAAGATGACTGCATCCAAGTTGTTCTCTTCTGGAGATGCGGGGATTTCACTTGAATACTTCAACTGCCGAACAAGTCAGGGTAATCCATTTTAGGTCCGATTTCCTTCAAATAAAAACGAATTTTTACGTCAACTATGATCTATGTATGGTTTTGTATGTTGATGTTTTTGTTCTTGACAGCTTCTAAGATATTCTTCTCTTATTGTTTAGGTCCACTGATCATATCTTGGATCAATTCATTTAGGATGGTAAGTCGGACTGAAATCACTTCCATGCGTATTTCATTCAGCAGCATCTATCCTTCGTTACTTTCTTGACATAGTTTATATGTTCCTTGGTAGGCTGTGTTTTGCTCCAACAATGGCCAAATCTATGGGCGTGTATGTGGTGAGTCCTGATCCAATTAATGTTTTCCTCAAAATAAACACGTGCTCATTTTCCCATTTGCAGTTGCTGGGAGTTTAATTCCAACATTTAAGGCATATCTAATTTGATGTGGAACAATATGCTGATGTAGAACTCTATCTAACAATGGACATATCTAGCATAAGCTTATCTTGTGTGCATCTTTAAAAGCCTTTTCGCAATTGGCGACTGAACATGAGTGACTGTCATGTTAATACTTCTTCTGCAATATATATTTAACAGATATCTCTAGAAATGCAATCATGCAGGTGGACCGATAGTTTCAACCCTTGCGGATTCTTTCAGTCCTCTATACTTTGAGGTCAGAGAAGCTATGGAAGTTATGGCCACAGAAGAACCGTGCGACATAGCATGCAATTTTGGTGATGGGCTTCTTGCTATTGAAGATTACCCGAAAGGCTTCCCTCCACCAGGTAAGATTCAGTGCTTAGATTAGCCATTTCCACTTTCCTCGCAGCTACACACTACATTAGTCTTCACTTACATTACGCTACACAGAAACTTAAATCCAATGATTCACACACCTTAAGTTAGTTAAGCAAATAGTTCCCCATGAGCGGCATTACGATATATAGCTATGACCATATTGACAACTTTGAGCATTTGATTAGGAATCCCTATATAATAAACCCAGCATTGTCTATCGAAAGATTCGTCAGCTTGGAAATGACAATCCATCCATTTCCTCCAACTCTGAGCATCTTTTAGTAAACAAGACGAGAAATGTAATCATAGATGACTCTCTTACTCACATCTCAGGTTTGAGAATAGCATAGACAAGAATGTCTCTAAACTCAGAGCTTCATCTTATTCTTTCACTTGATGTTGCAGCAAAGCATCCATACCCATTCAACGACAGCGTTGTCATATACATACGACACATAGGTCCTGGTGTATGCGTAGGACAAGCATGGCAAGAAGGGAAAGAACTGCAACAAGTTCCTCAGAGATTATGCTCCGACATTCTAATGGTCAAACAATACAACTGAATCAGGCTTTAGTTAAATTAGATTGCAAGCTTTTCAGATTAGCTTGAAGAGCTTTTTGTTAACTTGTATTCGAAGTTTTTAACTACTAGTTTTAAAACCTTCGGATTAGTGTATTAAGATGAACAAGCAAGGTTGTTTGAAAGTGCTAAACCTATTTTCCATTTTACATTATGCCTGATTTGGCAAATATATGTTGTTAGGTTCTGATATTCTTTTAAGACAAGAAACAAAACAAAAACAAAAAAAGAAAAGAAAAAAAAAAGGATAAAGAGAGTATATCCTTCGTTACTACATGACTATTCAATCTTCTTACATCAAATACAAATTCGAGTAGTGGATCCGAATTTGGAGCAAAATTAATAGATATGTTCTTAATATATATGTTGTGAAAATTAAAATAGTATCTTTTGAATTATTTTTCGATTCTGGTGCATCTGTCATTGGTGGAACAAAAATGGCAACAGTAACAGCACGAAAAACAAAAGAAAGGAAAATGTAAGGATAGGTTGTACCGTTGTAAAAAAATATTTTACTTTCACTTTTTTCAAGCCCATCTGAATTTTATTTGGACGGTAGCGATGACGCACACGCGAATCTAACGGACCGAGTTCTCTGTAAGACCAACGTCTTTTGCTAATTTCATCTGAGCGTGCAATAGTGTCAAAATCTAAAATGCTTTAAGGCGTCTGTTCACGTTGCCACTTGCTTTTTTTCACTCTTTCTCGTCAGAATTCGTCGTCTCTGTTCTTGCATCCTCCTCAGTTTTCTCTCTCTCTCTCTCTCATTCTTTTTTTTTTTTTTAAGTCGGAGCCCTAATTTCTAATTCTCTCGTCTTGGCCAGGTTGGTGACGACAATCTGATTTCTTCTTGTTTTTCTTTCCTCTTTGAAATCTGGAATATGCATAAATGAATGTTTCACTGTAGATATAGTTTTGATTTAGCCGGTGAATCTGAAATAGTATTTTCTAATGCTCGATTAAGGGTTCGTCTAGTTGCGGCATCCTGCTTTAGATTTTCGAATCTTGAGTAAAAAGTAGGGATCTTGATGTAAAAAAGAAAGGAAGATCCTTTTCATTTTTATCTTGATTTCCCTAGGCAAGAAAGATCTAGTGGTGTTTATAAAAGCTGTTTGGCTTTGTACATTTTGAGAGAAAATGAGTATGAGCAACAGAAACAAGCTGCTATGCATTTTTTTTTTTTTTTTTTGACATCAGCTGCTATGCATTTAGGTTTTATGGAATGGCTCTTTTATGTAGCAAAGTTTGCATTTTGTGGTTCACAATAGCAAAGTTTGTATTTTGGGTATGGATGTTCAAATAGTTTAATTAAAGCTCATGAATGGAAAAGACTGCTTTTGCATTTTTCTTATAATATTCTTTCTACTTTAAATACCGCAGAGAACAACCCACAAGGTCACTAGGCAAGGTGTGTCCGAGGGGGCTATGCAGTTGTGATATTTATTTTATTTGACAGCTTTGGAATAGGTTTGTGGGAGAAAACGCAGTAGTCTCAGATCTTTCACGCTAATCTAAACTTGTTTAATGCTGATCTTAATCTAAGTGTTGGTACTTTTTCTGGCCAGGAGTTTTAGCAATGGAAGGAGTTCCAGGGGTCAATACTGTTCCAAATCCAAACCATTATGACAAGTCAATAGTGCTAGATGTAAAACCGCTGCGAAGTTTGAGACCTATTTTTCCAAATGGTAATCAAGGTCCACCATTTGTTGGAGGTCCACCTTTTGGCTCTTCTTCTTCTGAGTATTCTCCTTTCTTTCCGTTTGGAGGACAACAGCCAACGCAAGATACTCCAGATCTCAATCAAACCCAGCACACGCCTCCTCCATCATTTGTTCCACCTCTTCAATCATATAGAACACCTACTGCATCAAATGGCCCCAGCAGCTCCAGTGGAACTAAAAGAGGAGTTGGTCGTCCTAAGAAAACTAGTGGTGTCAATACACCTCCTCCATCATTTGTTCCACCTCTTCGATCATATGGAACACCTACTGTATCAAATGACCCCAGCAGCTCCAGTGGAACTAAAAGAAAAGTTGGTCGTCCTAAGGGAAGTACTGGTGCGAAGAAAAAACAGGAGAAGTCTGTGCCCAAAGAGCCTAATTTGGATGTTCAGGTAGTGAAAAGATTCAGTGCAGATTTTGACAGCGGGATCAGTGTAGCAGAGCGAGAAGATGGAAATGAGGAGTTAGTAAGCAGCGTGTTGATGCGTTTTGATGCAGTTAGGAGGCGGCTCAGCCAAGTAGAGTATGCAAAGGCCGCGACTTCGAAAGCAGCAGGTACTTTGATGAGCAATGGGGTGCGGACAAACATGAAGAAGAGAGTTGGGACAGTTCCTGGAATTGAGGTTGGGGATATCTTCTTTTCTCGGATAGAGATGTGTTTAGTGGGTCTTCACATGCAGACTATGGCTGGCATTGACTATATAACAAGTAAGGTCGGGGCAGATGAAGAGCCTTTAGCTACTAGCATTGTTTCATCTGGACGTTATGATGGTGAAGCCCAGGATCCTGAGTCTTTAATTTATAGTGGACAAGGCGGCAATGCAGACAAGAACGGACAAGCATCTGATCAGAAACTTGAAAGGGGTAATCTGGCATTAGAGAAAAGCTTGAGGAAGGGCAATGGAGTAAGAGTCATACGAGGGGAAGAGGATCCAGCTAGTAAAACAGGAAAGATCTATATTTATGATGGACTCTATTCTATCTCAGAGTCATGGGTGGAGAAAGGGAAATCCGGTTGCAACACATTTAAATATAAATTGGTGAGACTACCTGGTCAGCCACCTGCTTTTGGCGCCTGGAAATCTGTTAAGAAGTGGGAGCAAGGTTTGACTACAAGAACAGGCCTTATCCTTCCAGATCTCACTTCAGGAGCTGAAAGTAAACCTGTTTCGCTTGTGAATGACGTTGATGAGGAGAAGGGACCTGCTTACTTTACCTACATCTCCTCTCTAAAATACTCGGAAACGTTTAAACTAACTCAGACCACAATTGGTTGTTCTTGTCATGGCTCATGTGCACCGGGAGATCTTAACTGCTCTTGCGTCCGAAGAAATGGCGGTGATCTCCCTTACCTTAATGGGACTATGCTTGTTTCTCGGAGGCCAATGATATATGAATGTGGCCCAACTTGTCCATGTCATGCCAATTGCAAAAACAAGGTGATTCAGACAGGACTGAAAGCTCGCCTGGAAGTGTTTAAGACAGCCAATCGTGGTTGGGGTTTACGTTCGTGGGATCCCATCCGAGCTGGTTCTTTCATATGTGAATATGCTGGTGAGGTCAAAGACAAAGGGAAGTTTAGAGCGGACCAAGAAGACGATGAGTTTGTCTTCGACACATCGCGTGTTTATAACACATTTAAGTGGAATTATGAGCCTGCATTAGTAGATGAAGACCCTTCAGATGAAGTCCCCGAGGAGTTTAATCTCCCATCACCACTCTTGATCAGTGCCAAGAATTTCGGAAATGTAGCTCGGTTCATGAACCACAGTTGCTCTCCCAACGTTCTGTGGCAGCCAGTTATTTGTGAAGGAAACGGTGAATCGGTTGTCCACATTGCTTTCTTTGCCATTCGTCACATTTCTCCATTGGCAGAATTGACATATGACTATGGGGTCTCCCCTACATCCGAGGCTAGCATTGGGAGCTTTATACATGGAAAGAGGAAATGTCTCTGTGGATCTGTGAAATGTCGTGGTTCATTCGGATAATCTGAGACCTGTAAGTACTTGATTTCCACTTGTCTAAAAGCATTTTTGTCGTTGTACTTAGAGATATAATATAATTACACAATCCGTCTGAAACCATTTCTGTTGTCACAGGGAAGAAGATCTCAACGTGTGTAGCAAAGTAGAAAGGGGTGGCTTTTGTTGTGCCCTTAGTTCTTCTTCTTAAATAGTTGCTGTTTTTGAAAACTGTGTATGCATTTGCATGTTCTGTGGCGATGCATACACATCTAACGTGTTTTGTATTGGCTTTAGGTTCCATGCGCTCATGAATTGGTAAAAATAAACTCTATAGAGCGATTCAGTTATGTTTTAAAGCTTTTTGTAACCAGTCGACTTTAATAATGAGAAGAAATAAAAAAATCGATGTTTGTTTGGTATTAATCGTCTATGTTCTTCATGTACTCCTTGGAAAGCTTTGTTTCGTTGATGAGTTTTTGTTCCTTAATGAGTGAGTATCCTGATTCCAGCAATGCTTCCACCGTTTGCTGTTCATACCATTATCACCATCATGAAACAAACCCTTCATATGATCCCAATTGGAACAGAAGCTTGAAAATTTTGTAAGAGTAAGAGAGTGATCACTGTGAAGCCTGAAATGGCATTTACCTCAGGGGGAATAAATTGAGGAACCTCTTCGGTCTTTTTACACCTGAGAAGAGTTTTCCCTAGAGTCTCTATTCCTCCAGCATCATCTACCCACTGTTACAACAAAGAGATTAGCCATTTCAATACAGAGATCCTCTCTGTAACAATTAGTTGTTCATGGCTGAAGTTAAGTTACCTTGAGGATAGATCTATCGTATGTACGTGACCTCAGAGCTCCATAGAAGTCAAGTGCTGCAATAAATAATGAAGGAGTAAGGAAGCTTCACACTGCACCTTCGTATTCATCATCGAGATAGTAGATATATTACCTTGATTTGGAAACTTATCAACAATGCTAACAACATCTTTCCGCGATATCCCATCTTTCTCATACATTCTACTAACAATGTTAACTATATCTTCACGAGTTGGCTGCCTGTTTTTAAACAACACACTCCAAGCTTTTTGTCAGAATCAGGAAAGATCCCATATTTGCAGGAAAATGAACTGTAATCTGTGTGTGTTATTACCAGTAGAACTTCTCCATTCTTCCTTCACGGATCAGTGGAGCATAGAGCCTGGAGAAATCGTTCCCTGTGACAATGAGAGGAACTCTGTTTACAATGTCAGCTTCTCTCCAGTCTTGTCCCACACTTACCCTTGTAGGATTATCCGCAAGATTCATCAGAGTACCGACAACTATCTGGTTGTTCACAGTCATTTGTGTTTCCCCTAAACAGAGAGCAATAAACTCAATTAAGAAGATCATCTCTGCGGAATAAAAGCAACATAGCTTAAAGCTATCTGGAATTAAGACTTTTTACCAAATCTACCAAGGCCAGCATCAATATCATTGATCATGAGAACACTCATCTTCCCCTGCATTACAGGTCATCATCACAGTTCAAGCCAAACCCATATAGATAAATAGGTGTAGCAAGACTGAGAATGGTAAGAAAAGCTTCTAACTTGATTCTGAATGACTTGTGAGGCTGTTCGATAGCGGTCACGTATGAGTTTTCCCGGTTCCCCTGATACGGAATACTAGAAAGATGAGAACTTTCGATACCACGATTGTCACTGAAAGCAACCAGATTCTAGGACATGGTTTACTACATAGACCTTAGACCTGACGATATAGGAGTAAACAAAGTTGGAGAAAATTACCAGCTCTATCGGATTCCAACTCTCCTGCAGACATTATAACCGGTTCAACTCCCATGGTTTTGAAAATAAGTTCGGTCTGAAACGTTTTGCCCTGTCCTTTACCGCCCCAGATACCTAGAGAGATGGAAAATAACGGCAATGTTCAAGTGACGGTAGCGAGATTTCAATCACGGGATCAAAACGGAGAAGCATGAGGCATTCAGTACCTAAGATCAATGGGATTTTTATATTTAGAGAACTAGCAAGGTAGTTCTTCACAATGTGGACTGCTGCAGGAGGCAATCGAAAATCGACATGTTAAGGTAAACTGAAAGGAAGAAAGAAACATCACAAATGAAATCAAGATATCAAAAGTTCCAGACTTTTAAGCACTCAAATATGAACCCTATAATCCAACTTCTAGTTACCGATGTGTATATTCATTAATCTTCACCAAGGGATAGTTCAAGAAAACATACCAACTTTATCCTGTCAAAGAAAAGAAAAAAGAAGAATTAACATAGTAAGCAACTTGGTAGCAAACATTTCTGAAATTCATCAAACCCATTGGCTCATTGGCTACACTGATGCAGATAGACAACATTTACCATGAACGTTGGGGCAATGTAATAATCTCCTTGAAGATGTTCGAAGGACCTCGTCGCCTTCTGACGATAATCAAACACAATATCAGCTGCAAATCATCAGATATACAACTTCTGTTAACACTCCTTATCAGAGACAGCACCAACATCAAGCCATAATATTTGAGTTATTTGGACATAACCGAAATTCCAAAAAAAAAGTGGGCTTTTTTTTTCCAGAAATAAGAAACGAGACTTAACAATCTTTTCCAAGGAAATCTCCGATGAATACGTCATCGATCATGCCGGCTCGTGCTCCGACGGCTATGTTAACGTTATCTGACTCCGCTCCAAGCCTATAGAGATAGTCCTTCCCTTCCGAATCTTTTACTTCCCACGACGATTGCTCCGACAACTTCCTCGGCTTCGCGCCACCGTCGTTAGCTCCTTTGCTGCCGTCATCTGCGGCCGAGATAGACGAGGGCTTGGAGCAAGCGATGGAAAAGGGTTTTCTAAGTGAGGTTAAAGTGCTGTTGAATGTGGAAGAGGATGAAGACTGTTGTGGAGGAAACTTGAAACGCAAAGATATGTTCGCAATCGCCATTAAAACTCTCAAATCACAACACAATTAAAACTTCTTCCGTTACAAAACAAAAGTTGAATTTTTCTAAAACTTTAACATTTTAAAAATATTTTATTTTCTCACCAAGATAGGATTTTGAAGAAGAAGAGCCATTTGTTCAAAAAGGAAAAAAAAAATGCCATTCTTGTTTCTTGTCTGATAGTAGCTAAATCTGTGGTTCTTGAAGACAAAGACTAGTTTCGGTCCCACGTTCAATCTTCTCTTTGTTACTACTTGCAGACTTCCAATTAGTCATGATGAGATTAATTTTTTTCATTGGGATTGAGTAAAAGCTTAACACGTAACAAAGCGTTATTTAGTTAGGCCATTGAAAGGTAATTAGCAAACAAATCGATGAAAACATCAGTTACTTTGCTACATGCATGAATTGGTACTTAACTCATTTCATTTATCTACCATCACCATCATTATTCATCATCATCATCGATTATATTACCATACATATTACAACTTAATTACACACATATGTATCAGAAGACACAGAAAATTAAAGTTTTTTGCCCCCTTACAACAATAATTAGACGAACACAGAGAGAACGAACAATAGAGCTTCTTTTGCCATCATCAAGAGAACCAATTAACGAGCTCGTCCACGTGGCTGCCAGCTGGAGGAGGTGGCACATCTTGCATCACTTTCTCTTGCCCCTTTGGATAGTATATTCCCGTGCCTTCATGTGGGACCCAACTATTCGCTGACGACGACGTCTCTCCGGCGACGGAGAAACCTCTCATCGTCTTCATCTCCTCTCCGGCGCCTCCAGAGTCTGTCTTCGCCGTCTCCCTCACTATGTCGTGCGAAGCACTCTTCTTGTGGATCGATTTCCTAAGCATCGGCCTATACATATATATGTTTGTAAAAATTGCATGTGTAAATATAACAAAATAATCATAACTCTACGATCTTGCATGCATAAAATATTATCTGCATCAGCATTATCAATATGGCATGCAAATAGACTTACTTGACGAACATGGTGTTCATCGTTTGTGCACCACGAGACGAGAATGTGGAAGTCGCCATGTCTATCTCTATGATCTCTTACACTGTGTATATATGAGTAATCAGATACAGTTATATTTTTATACAATATGAGATGGTTGCATTTATATGCACACATCATCTAATGGGAATGGAATTTAACCAAAAAAAAATATAAATATTTTGGAGTGGGACTATATAAAGTGGGATATATAATCTGTAGTCACATTTCCCAATGTAGATTATCGCCAGAGCCATGCCTCTCATTGGTCATCTCCTCCACGTGGGATGATCCACGTCTTCTAATTTTGGATTTTTCCTCTAGAAGCATTGTACACATACGTATGCGTACACATATATAGTTTTGTTCACTTGCGGCGTGCGTGATTCATGACCCGTTTTGAGCACTCAAGTTATATTGGGCTTGAAATTAAAAGCCCATTTAAAATACTCAACAGAATCCACATGTATTGACTTTACTAAAGTAAGCCCATGCATGTATGACCGAAATATTGATATCCACTTGAATTAGGAAAACAAATAAATCTTAAACCCACCCTTAAAAAAAGTCATATATATAGCTATTATTTATTGTTGTGTGATGATTCTATTCAGATTTTTCTCCTTCGTTCGTCCTATGATATTTTGTAGTCTCCTCCTTAACTTTTCTCTGGTAATTCTTTTCTCTCTTTTCTCCGTTCTCTCGTCGATGCTTTACTTTGAATTCTGAAAGTCTCGTTTTTTTTTTTTTTTATGTAATTCGATTCGTGTATGAGTTTCTCTCTTTTTTAGCGATCTTCGTGCTTTGGTCACCGATTCGAGAGAGTAGTCTTTTCTTTTTCTGAAATTTTCATCTTTTCCGAGACAATAGCTAATTTTCTAAAGTCAGGGTTTTTGAGCTGTTTCTAAGTTTTTTTTGCTGTTTCTAAGTTGGGACTTAACTGAGATGATGTTGTGGCCTAATCAAAGTGTTTGTGCAAAATTGTGTAGAGTTAACCATGGGTCCAGAATCCAAAGGAAGATCATGGTTTGGTAAAATCTACAACAAGCTTGAAACGATACTTGTGGAGGTGGACACTTTTACTTCACAGGTACTCCTCTCTAGAATTTCATTGCTGATTATTATATAATGTTATAGAGTTGAGAGATTGAGTGATGGTTTATTATATTTGGCCAGAACACACATTGTCTGAAATCAAGTGATCCTTCAGGATGGGAATCTGTAAGATGTGAACCAGAGGAAGTCGCGGAGGAGGACAAATCTTCTGTAACTTCTGATCTGCAGAAGCAACATGAACGCGTTGCTCTACCGAGTTGCAAAAGCCCTTTTGATCCACCTTCACATCAGAACTTTGATATTTCAGGATATGTTCGCGTTGAGGAACGAGTTGAAGAGGATATTTTGAAGGAGACTTTATCAGCCTCCTCGTTGCCTGATGGAGATATAGTACTCTCTGGAGCTCCATTGCCAAAAGAGTGCTGTGATGGTAATCTAACATCTCTTGGTGATGATGAAGAACCAATAACTACCGATCTTGAAGAGTCTCAGATCACTAAAAACACTTTAACTCCTCAGCATAATTCTGCTGGAGACCGTTTGGTTTATCCGGGCGAGGAAAGTATAGAAGAAGAAGTTAGAGTGGAATCGTGGACAGATTCCAAAGAACCTCAATCTACTCAAAGTTCTGTGGAAAGTTTTGTGAGTGTAGTAGAATATGATGATGATGATGACGCCTTTCTAGCTGCGCTTGGTTCAGATCTAAGTCTTATCGCCACAAGAATTCCGGATGTACCTGTTCAATATACTGTGGCAAGCATGAGATCCTCTGATGAGGGTTGGTGCTTCACTTACTCTTTTCTCTAGCTATTTACTTCTACTCTTTCCTGCTTGTGCTTGAAGTAGACCCTTTAATTTGCCTCGTAACGTGTTTTTTCTTTCTTTCCTTTAACATGTGAAACACTTTTTTGTTATTTCTCTAGGTAATCTAGATGATTTGTTTAATGGAAAATCTGATATTGCTTCACTGGATACCGATGCATTCTACGACGTGGCATTGCGAGAAGACCCTTCATCTGTTGACGACAGTGCACTCTATGCACTGCGTGTTAGGACCAAGAAACTCAGATCATTCAAGGTTCCTTGCTTCCTCCCTCTTTCTCTTACATATGTCTGTTGTGATAAATTCAGATCATTCAAGGTTCCAATTGCATAACTTTACGTTTTTTCTATCATCAACAGAGAAAGATCGTTGATGCTTTAACTACGAAAAGAAGAAGAGAGAAGGAGTATGAGCAGCTTGCAATTTGGTTCGGAGATGCAGATATGGGTTCTGATCTGGTCAAGGAAGACTCTGAACATAAGGAAGCCATAGACTCCAAAAGCTCACATGTACTTGAACCAGAAGATTCCCGGTGGGAGCTATTGTGACATTAATGCTCTCGGTCATATAGTTAAAATCCGGCCTGTGTATTATCCTGAGTGAGACTTTTATTGCTTTATTAAAGACATAGCAAACGAGCTGGTCTGCTCTGAGATGCAAAGGTTTTTTGACAACGAATTAATACCAAAAAAATTATCCTATCTTTGCTTGCTTTCTTATCTGCTCAAAAAGAAAACCTGTCTAAAAACCATTGATGGTAAAACTTCATATTCTTGAGCTATGACAGTCCCAGGGAAAGGATCAGAAGGAATTCCGATGACTGCGTAGCAAATATGCGTAGAGAATCTCATTCCACGTATCAGGAATACCTGGCAAACACCAGTGGATGCAGTCTCCATAGTTTTTCGGATCAGCTCTCTGTTCCTTAGTCAAGAGCTTCCCTCTCCGTTCTCCATACACACTCGTATGTCCATCTTTCCTATATTCTGACAGTTGCGTAATGTTTAGGAACGTGACATGTTCTCCAACTTTGCTTAGAATATCTCCAACTATCTTCATGATTTCTTGATTTGACCCTGTGCCCCAGTATGACCGTTGGTCTATTGGGTATAACTCATTATAACAGGTTCCATCGCTCCCTGGATTCCACTCCCAGCTCCTGCCAAAGATTACACGCCAAAATCACTAACTGAAAACTATCTATTATCTGTCTAGCTTTTTGAAGTCTTTTATGTTTTGTTTTCTGATGGGACATACCAGAGATGTGTTGGAGACATACTCGTGAAGAAAACTCTTTGCTTAACGGGATTGATCTTCGTCACTAACCACTTGGCCCATGTTTCTAACGCCATTCTATAAGCAGTCGTCACATTATACTCTTTGACTTCCCTGGCATCTCCAAACCTGCATAGACAAATTTTTGTTATCAAAGAGAATGCAAGCAACTTCGATTTTGGTTATCTGTTATATAGCTTACGTTGCATTGATCTTAGGTTGATGCATCCACCATACATAGCTCTCAAAGACTAGAACATCGACACCTTCCCAACTCTTGCTATGTTTTTCAATGGCGTCGAGGTTAACCAACCTTTTGTGTACTGTATGATTAGTTGCATGATCCGAAACTGATTCCACGATGAAAGGTGCCCAGTAATACTCGATCGATACATTGTATTCCTGATCAAATTGCATACACATTTTTATATAAGAAACCATCTTTGCCTCTTTTTACTAGGTATATGTGTGTTTTGACGTACCTCAGCTTTGAAGATCTTCATAGGAGGAATCCTATGAAAAGACTTCTTGTTGTCAGGTATTACTGATTGCACCATACAGACCATTGACTCGAACGTGCTTCTCTGCACTGAGTCTCCTATGAACATCACTCTTTTGTCTCTCAACACGTCCAACAGTTTCAGAGCATCGAACCTGAAACATCACAAGAGATTATCTTAAGTCACTAGTCAAGTTTGGATCTGAGAGCATGATCAACACGTGCTTTTTTTCCTTTCTTACCTGGGCAAGTCGCATGAGTTCGGTTTCCATCTCCAATTCTGATAATAAGAATCAGGTCGTCCGTTTCGTTGACATGTTGTTTGTTTGACCAAATACGGACAACTCTTCTCTGTATAAAGAGGGTAAGAGACATTGTCCCAAACCCATTGTCCTTCAAAGACATTGCAGCTCTCATCAAGCTGATCCTCTTTGGTAACAAACACTGAGTCTTTCTGTCTGAAACCATAGAGTTGTAATATCCGACTCTCGTTGCTCTTGAGTTCATCAAGGATCCATCTTGTGGATCCTAAAACTAGAAGACTAACAAGCACAAGTTGGAAGATGGACTTAACAATCCGGGAATCTGCAGAAGTTTGTATCGACATTTGAAACAGAGTCGACAGAAGAATCAGCTCGTTTAGAACTTCTTCTTCTTCTGGCTGTTGAGCTCATGAATCTATGCTGTTTCTGAAAGAATCGAATATCTTCAGATACAAGCATCAACAAATGACTTTGTTCGATGTAACCACCAGTTGGTGAAATTTCTACATTAGGTAGCATGTCTTTTTTTTTTTTTTTGTTAATTGGTCTAAAGTAGCGATATGATAAGGTATTCGTCTATAAAAGACTATAAAAGACCAATTATTCGTCTACAAAGTATTCTTCGATCTGGCCCAGCAAGACTGGTCACTGGAGAAAATCCAGTAATGGCGTAGTTATGAACAACATATAACACAAAAAACAATTAAGAAGAAACAAGCCTGTTCGATTGATGACAAGCCCGAACCAAAACACTTAACATGTTCACTTTTCTGTACAGTTAACAAGAACTCTAATACAGAAACAATCTGATGGGGGAGCAGCTGGAAAAAAAAAGGCAACCTAGCTTTGCTATTGAAAGAGATGCACTAATTTTGAAATCGACAACACGATGGTTCCACCTATGCTAAATAGTTTCACAATCTTGGTTAATTACCAATATCAGATCCATGCCCTGAGCTGTCACTGTCAGAATCTGCATAAGGAAAGAGGAATGTGAGTAAACTGGTTTGGAAATGTGATACTAATAAGAAAGAAGAAGGTAGACAAGTTTGAACATCTACCACTAGAACACGAGCCTGAACCACTACTAGAACTGTTAGAACTACTTGATCCACCAGCATTTACTTCTTGTCGAACAGGAGATGCCACATGACCTAAAATGGGAAAACAAGATTAAAGAAGAGTTATTGCAGTGGGGCGAAAAGACTAATATAGTAGAAGTTGATACAATCTTATAAACTAAAATCTCACCTAATTCTGTAGCTTTTGGCGATCCAGGGCCAGTTACTAGAGTGTTCTGTGAACACAAAAGAAGCAACATGATGTTATTAGAGCCTATACCAGTGAATACGGAAAAAGCAAGAGAAGTGAATAACAATTAGTGATTTCCTCTCACCGGTTCATGGACACTATTGTGAACCGATTCCGCATCTCTTTCTGAGTCCATTCCCTGATCCTCTTTTCTCTTGTTCGAGCTATCTTTATACTCGGTCACGAATCTGTAAAGCTCCCAAAGCGTTTCGAGATCAAGACTATCAATATCTAACTCAATCTCATCGTCTTGTTGAGCGAGTTCCGGATTCCTCTTCTTTATAATCTGAACAACTGCCTCTAGCTTGTCGAAAGGTAAATCCTGAAGGTCTTCACTAAGTCTCCGCTTCTCGTCAAACGTTAAGTCCCTATTTCCAGATGCCTCTTTGTCGTCAGGCTTCTCAGGGGAAACAGTTAGAAGTGCAGGTTCCACTGGGTTTGTCATAGATTCTGCTCTCTCCAAAGTTCTATTTTCAACTACTGTAGGAGGAGGAGGAGGAGGAGGAGGAGACGGGGAAGGTGTAGGAGCTCGTAATGGTAATGGCTCTACATAATGAGTGTTTGTTGATACAGGAGGACGGAAATCGATATCTCTGGCGGCTGGCTGTTGCCTTCTATTGAGAAGCTCATACTGTGTTTCAAGTGGAGGCCATTTCTCTTCAAACAAGTTCAACAGAAACTCAGCCATACGATGCACATCATGCCCCACAGGATTATACAACATTGCATTGTTAAAAGTAAGTCTCACGTCGTCAGCAAAATCCAAGGGTGACTTATACCAACTCTGACTCAGCCTAGTCTTCACTGTACCCAAATCCATAGGCTTCTTAACAATAGTGTGATAATCATGTAAACCAAGCCTAGTTGCATCCACCGGCGTATTGAAAACCCATCCAAACTTATGCTTCATCAATTTCGTAAGCAAATTGTTGCAGTTCTTCAAAACCTGAACAGTACCTTTATCAGCAGCTCCGTGTCCGCTCTTCTTACCACCGTTTGCTGTTTTGAGCTTCTTGTTGGGCACTGGCGTCACCGCAAGCCCAAGCCCAAAATCTCCGGCGATGTTGTGACCTCGTGGTTCGAACCGCTTGATCAAGCTCCTAACTTCGTCAAGCTCAGCCATTAGTTTCCGCTTCAAGTTCCTGACTTCAAGCTTCGAAATTGAGCTCAGACTTATCTTCATCATCTGATGATTTTCCTCAGACCCAATCGAGTTCGAAGGAGACACGAGCGGAATCGGCTTCTCCTGTCTCGCCGCCATCGTGGGCTTCGATCGTTTTTGGCTTTTGTTGCCACTGTCGCTCCATTTATGCTTCGCCTTCGATACTCCATCACCGGCTATAGCACCAGACGCCATTCCCTCGTTGACAATTTCTCTGAACGGGAAATTTAGGGGTTTTCTGCGTTTTTTCACGGATAGTGCCAATATTGGGGATTCGAAACAAGGAATCGAAGATCGGTGAGATAGACAGAAAGGGGTTAGGATCCGTGGTTCATGAACATTGGCTCGGATTGCAACAACGAAACCCTAGGAAGCAATTGTGAGTCGCAGCGTCGCGAGGATAGGCGTAGATACACGCGCTTTTGGCACACGCGCCTAAAGAATCCGAGAAATTAGGGGAATAACAACACATGTGTAAAGTGTGACTGGGTAATAACGCCTACGTGTCCCGAACTAAATACCAAACCGGAACTAACCAGGACGAAAAATTCACATGGGCGTCCACGGTTTAGTCACAAACCCCAGTTAATGCAAAGAGATTTTGACTTTAATTGAATGTGGAAAACATATAAAATTAGCTAAGCCATGTGCAATTCCATTGAGAATCGAACTGTTAAAAAGAAATTTGAGAAAGATCCGAATTTCAAGCAAAGAATCATCTTGAATAGTTGCAATAAAAGTTCACAAAAATCGAATAAACGAAAACAAAAGAAATGGCCTTCAAGAATCATTCTTCAAGAATAGTTCCATCTTCTTCTTCTTCTGTTTCAACTTCACTTCCATTCAGATTCACAACAATCATTACATTAGCACTCATATTCTGTTCTTCTTACTACATCTTCTTCTCACAGTTCGACTACTCTCCGGTGACTTCTTCGCTGGAAAATCCCCCGTTCGTCGGAGATCTTCGAGACCTAACATTCCCTTGGAACAAACTTTCTCTCGGACCAATCTCCGAGAAGCTAAAACTCGCCGTCTTCTGCAAGTCATGGCCCGTTGGTTCGATTCCGGGAGGAATGGAGCGTCACGCATACACTCTCTACACATCTCTCGCCTCAAGAGGCCACGAAGTTCACGTCTTCACGGTTTCTTCCGACAAAAGTAACCATGAAAACATACAAGAGTATTACAACAAAGGAGATCTACACATCTACTTTGCTCCAAACAAAAACGGCGTGCTTAACCAAACACAGGCTTTCGAGATCTTCCAAAGAATCAACGGTGTAGATGATCATCCCTTTGACTATGTTCACACTGAGAGTGTTTCTCTGCCTCATTGGCGAATCAAAATGGTGCCTAAAGGTGACGTGGCTGTGACGTGGCATGGAATCTGGTACGAGATAATACATTCCAAGCTTTTTCAAGAGCTTTATTACTCGAATGAGCATCCTAGCTCTGATCTTGAACAAATGATGCCTAGACTCGTCAACGAAATCAGATTCTTCTCGAGCTATAAACACCACATTTGCATAAGCAACAGTGCGCGTGAGGTTCTTGTTAACATCTATCAGCTTCCTAAGAGAAACGTTCACGTTATAGTCAACGGCGTTGACCAGAACAAGTTTGTGTATTCCCCTGAATCTGGAGCTAGATTCAGGGCCAAACACGGTGTTCCTGATGGTAATGGGACAGTTATTGTGATGGGTGTCTCTGGACGTTTGGTGAGAGACAAAGGACATCCACTTCTCTACGAAGCGTTTGCTTTGATCGCTAAAACGCACCCGCAAGTGTATCTACTTGTGGCTGGATCTGGTCCTTGGGGGAGAAGATACGCGGAATTAGGTGAAAACGTTAGGGTTTTAGGATCTTTAGAGCCAGAAGAGCTCTCTGGATTCTATAACGCATTAGATGTGTTTGTGAATCCAACGTTGAGACCACAAGGGCTTGACTTGACGATCATTGAGGCAATGCATTGTGGGAAACCGGTGGTGGCGCCTAATTATCCGAGCATTGTTGGGACAGTGGTTGTGGATGAGCGTTTTGGGTACACGTTTTCTCCGAACGTGAGATCTCTTGTTGAGACGTTGGATTCTGTTGTAAGAGATGGGTCTAGCGTTTTGGAGATAAAAGGAAAAGCTTGTAAGGGATACGCTCTTTCGATGTTTACAGCGACACAAATGGCTTCGGCTTATGAGAGATTCTTTATGTGTATGAAGAATGATAGGTATTGTAAGTACCCTCTTCCTATAGATAATTGATTTTTTTTTTCATAGACTTTGTAAGTTGATTTGAATCGTTTATTTTGTAACAATTTACTTGATCTCTTGCAACACACAGTTACTTGATGATATCTTCATTTACACACATACACACAACTTGTAATTTTTGGTGGATCTAGTATAATTTTTTTGTTTTTTTTTTGTTTGTTTTAATCTAGTAAAGAAATTCGTTAGTGAGAAGATTGAGAAGACTCCTTCCCAATTAACAGAAATATTTCATAAGCAAAGAAGTTAGTTTTGTCCATCTATTTGAAACAATTTATGAAATACTATTATGATAAAGAGTAGAAAACAAAACATTAATAAGTTCACATTGGATATAATGTGTGCATACTCCATTTCTCATCTTTTTGATCAATATACAGAAATATTTCACAATTCTTCTTCTTCTCTCTATATCACAACTCTTCTTCACTCTAGATCGTAATTTAAAACATGGGTTCTTTAGAGAGCATTTAAAGGTTTCGGTAATTGTAGGAGGAGAAATTTAGAGACGCGCGTTGACTTCCAACTTAAAATAAGTTTAATTTCCTTAAAACCAGATCTGTTTTCCCCTGTAATTTTTTTTTATTTAACTTCAATCACTATCTCTCTTTTATATACGCTTTATCGGTGGACGACGATGAAGAGAAAGAGTCCATAAATAACATATACTTTCCAAGAATAATTTTATATCGTATATCTACACGAGCCATTAGAGGATAGATTAAACTTAACTTTGTCTCCCTTATCTTACTATTTCTTTCCCCTTTCTTGTTGTATATACTTTATATGCAAACTTCCTCTCTAGTCTCTACTAGACTATACTATATATCTAACAGAATGTATAAGGTACGTAAAGCATGCACAATTCATAAATGTGTAACGAACCGATACATCAATTTATTATTGGTTACGCTTACACCGAATGAACAAACAACGCTAATCAAATACAAAACGGATCGATATGTTTTCTTCTAAACCGGTTCTCGATCAAGAAAAGAAAAAATATAAATCCCTCAAATTTAAATCTACGAGAGGAGCACTCAGCCACTCAGTGATGACGAGGATCGGGACCTCCAGGACTAAGTCTCATGGACTCATTAAAGCCTCTTTCCATTAGCTTTTCCATGTGAGCTTTCAACACTTTCTCTGCTTCTCTCATCATACGCCCTCGTCTGATTCCGTCTGCGTTTGCAAACCGCTGCTGCAGCGGCCGCGTTGCTGATGACCGCGACAATGAAACGCAGATCAGGAACAAACACAGCCAGAAATTCAACTTAGCCATCGGTTATTTGCTAATAAATGATTCGAATATGAGTGTTAGAATGGTATGCTGTAGCCTGTATGGTGTGTGCGCTTTTATGTTTTATCACATGCTTGAGACATTTATATAGAGAATGTCATTGGGATCATGAATTGCACACTGATATGATAATTTTGTTTTTTTTTTGCTATATATTATAAAATAAATAAGGCGGTCGTAAAATCCAATTTAGAATCGACGAGTTTCCAACTTCTGCAGAGTGCTCGTTCGAGAGCATAATTAAGCACTTCCAAATACATATAGATATATTCTTTTTTTGTCAACATATATTGATATAAAATTTATTAAAGTAAGCTATTGATATTAATAATAAATTTTATATCATTATATGTTGACAAAAATATATAATGATAACAATTAACAAAACTTTTTTGAATAATGGGAATGATTTGTAGTGACATTGCAAATTTATTTATAGTATAAACCCAAAAAAGTAAAATTTTAAGGAAAAAAGTGAAAATCCGTAGATGACATGTGTTAAAGTGCATTTGAATGATAAACCATCTAAACCAGTTCATAATATAAAAAGGTAAACATTGGGGGACAAATGTGAATGGGCTCAATTTTTTAAAATTGTCGTACCGAAGAGTCAATGAAAGCCACGTGGCAGATTTTTGCCGCCTTTTTTTTGTTGGCCTTTCGATTAGTTGACCAAATGAGTTAACTAACATAAATCCGAAGTAAAAGATGTGAGTAAATGTCTTTAGATTGAATTTTGATTCTATGACTGAAAATAACAGACTTTATAAAATAACAAAAAAAAAAAAAGATATTATTACCAGTGGCGGAGTCAGAATTTTTTTTAACCAAAATCTAGGAAAGCATTAAACATGAAATTAATGGGTCAATCAAAAAATTTCCAACCAATTTTTTTAAAGATAATATGCATTAGTAAGTTTAAGTTGTATTTTTTGTAATTTGATCTGGGTCAATTGACCACCCACAACTCCATGTAGCTCTGTCACTGGTTATTACTAACAAGCAAAAGCAACTCTGAATCTCTCTATAATCCGTGCATGTATTGGTTATAGATGATTGTATACGAACTTAGAGAATATTCATGAGTGAGGTCCAAATCAGTAATGGTTCTTCCTTAGTTGTTCTTTTTGTAAATTAATGAGAGTAGGACAAAGCTATTCTATTATTTACTTTGCTTAATAACAAGTTGAAGACTCTTCTATGATTAAAAGAATTCGTTAAATGATTTTGGATTTTGTGGATACAAGCGGTGCACTTAATTTTATAGAGTAAGCGAAGCACCAATTAGAAGCTGAAAGAAAAAGGTGAATGAAACACTAACTTCAACTATGTTAGCTGACAACACCTAATCTCTTGAGATCACGAAGGATTTATAGAAGAAGAAAATATGTCAGATTGGATACGAGAATCTTAAATCGTATAGTTGAGAAACGATTTATATAGATGTTAGATTTGATACTCAAGATCTTCTTGTACTCACATTACAAAACTACAAAATGGTTATGGAACTACGATGAACAGATAAAACGATGGTAGTCTTACGGTTGTTTTTTTAGGGTCAATATATATATGTTTTACTTGGTTATTATAGAATATGTAAGATTCCAATGAAATGAGTGGAACTAAAAAACTTTTTTTTTCTATATACGTTCGTGGAACATTTTAATTAGAATTCTACATTTTTTCTTCAATAACGACACCACTATGTTACATGTTTTGATATTATTTTAATTATAAATTGTTTGAAACAATTTGAAACACTTTACCAGTTGGATCGGATGGATACCACGCTTTTTTTTTAATAATAAAAATCCACTTTACCACATTACTCAAAGTCTTTTCTTTCTTCCTATACGTATATTATATTTACCAAAATACTTATAAGCAGCTTTACATATGAGTTATGGTTGATAAACTCATAACAAACACATAAATACAAAAGTAACGTGGAGCTAAGAAAATAACCAATAACACATATAAATATAAAAATCTGCGTGTAATACAGCTGCTCAACTAGTAAATCAATTAAAGAAACGAAATTTTAATCAGGCTTAATAAAAGTAAAGTAGAGTCGGTCCTCTCAGATGATTAAAGGTTATTAAGGTTTAACTAACTACCTCCCACAGTGGTCCTTACTCCGCTGGTCGGCACCTTCTTGCATAAGCTAACGCACTTTATAACTCAACTTATTCTATCCAACTTTTTCTCCCATTCAACTCCCATATTTGTATATGTATATATATATATATATATATATAAATTATGATATTTTTATACTTTGTCTTCTGTATATCAATTATATTTTCAGTTAAATAACAACCATGGGATTAAACTGAGTCACGACCGCTGCATTGGGGATAAACTAAAGAATTTTGTAATGACGGTTAGATATGTATAGAGGCACTCACAAGTCACACAACACTTTATTACCACTTTTTTCTTTTCTTTTACTTTATTTTCAAAAAAGAATTGTTACAATCAATGTGCTAATCTATAATAAAGTCAAACTTTTTTGAAGAAAATAATCTTCTTACAGTCAGACTATTTATACAAGACGAGTATCAAGAAGACGGAAAGAAAAAAAAAAATAGTTGGACTCACGTTGCGATTAGTGACAACTCGTTGTGTTATACCAAGTTTATTCAAAGGTAGTAAACGTTAAGTTTAAGACTCTCGACTCTACTAAGTACTAACGTTTCGAGATTAGTATAAGAAACAGTTATCAATTTTTTTAAGAAATATTTTTGTCATTCACAAAAGAGTATCTACAAGAATGTTATGAACAGATAAAACTAGTCAGGCAGTAGAGGTAACCTGTCGATGCCATAGGGTGAACCATTAAATTCGCCGGAGGCAAAACCAAACTCGTCAAGCTCTCCTACGTTCTCTTCTTCGGCCTCTCCTTCTTCTTCATCTTCATCGTCGTCCGTGCCATAAGGGAGGATCCGTAGATACACCTCAGCTCCTCTCCATTGTCTTTCTGATCGTAAATTGTACTTCTTGACTAGCTTTCCTTGAAGAGACACGATCTTTGTTGGCCTTGGGAGTAGATCGACTGGTTCCTTTTCTGGTATCACTATCCGCTCTATCGCTAATCTCGCTTCCTGCATATAAACGAATCGGTTCGAAACAATGTTGAATTGTGGTTACTATCAAAACAAATTTTTACTCGCTCTTTAGGTTACCTCTAAAGCGTCCATTTTTTCAGATAGTTTTGGACGATCTTCTGATCCAAACTCTCCGAGTCCATCTTCGTAATCGGTTAGTAGCGCCCGTATTGCCTTGGCTACTTGAATACCTGAAATAGTCTGCAAGAAGGAGAGTTTTTTTTTGGGTAAAGAAGCTGGCATTTGATAACTTGAAGAACAAGAGAGTCTTAGTTTTTTTTTACCTTTGTTACATAAACAGGTATACCGTGAGATGTGGCTAATGATTTAATCCGAGGATTCTTCCTGATCTTGGATTGCAATGCAAGTAACGCTTCTGCTTCGCTAATGTTGTCGGTTATCTCAACTGCAGTTTCCATCTCCAGTTGTTTGATTGCCTGAAGGACAGTTGATTCTGAAATCTGTGTGAGGGAAATTGACGAATCAGTGTATGGTATATGGAAATAATAAACCAAGAAATCATAAGACCATTGGTAACATCAAAATGAATAGGAGAATCTGCAAATTTCATTCTAATCTTTACCCCATAGACATATAGATACATCGGTGTCTCCTGCTCTGAAGATTCTACTTCACTAATCTCCTTAGTTGGAAGGACTTCAGAGATAGCTTCCTCCTTGTTGAGCTGTTTAACATCTAACCTTTCCTCTTCATGTTTCTTATCCAAAGTCATCACGTCGATGAGAGTTTCCTTCTTCTCCACAATCACTTCCACTCCATGAGATTTTATTTTACGGATTTCAACGTTTGGTAAGCGACCTTTTAACCAACAGACGAGACAAAAGAAGAAGATAAACTGAAACCAGAATCTTAAAGTTGTTGTATACAGAATACTTTATGCAGTTATTGTATATGTTTTTTGATTCTATTGATAGTTCCAACTCAATAAGACAAGAGTCTACCTGCGAGGATAGCATCAACAGTTGCTTCAAGACTACGATGAACACGAACTTCAGTCTTTGAAACTATCTCTGCACCACAGCTAAATGTTGGAGGACCTTTTCTTTCAAGGACAGTCTTCGGGCCACCTCTTCTGGTCGCTTCCTCATCTCCAAGAGTTACACTCTGCCAAAGATGTCCATTAGTATGTCTGAAATAGTAACCTCCTAAAGAATACATTTTTACAATGCTGTACAACTATTCAACAGAAAAAGAACTGATTCCCAGTAATTGACCATTTGAGCTAATACAACATGATATCATTCTATTCAAATCTTCTGTGCAGTTCCTGTGCCCCATCTCTTGGTTAGCAGACATATCGAGCTGCAAGAGATCCACGAGAACAGGAAATATCATCTCCTTACTAATTTCTGGATAACACGTGCAGTGTCAGATTGGCATAAGTTTAGGCGGAAATGACCATTGGTAAGAGAATCTCATAAAAATGTCAAATAGAATCTCCCTACGAATATCTATGAATTCAGTCTCGCGGTTTGATGCTACGTAAACACATCATGTCTAACCTGTACACCTCCAACGAGGAGGTCTAATGAAGGGTTCTTAATCAAATTCTCTATGGTTGCTCCATGAGCCGTGGCAACTAACTGGATTCCACGCTCTGCTATAGTGCTTGCAGCAATGGCTTCAAGTTTAGTTCCAATCTCATCAATCACAATCACTTGGGGCATGTGGTTTTCTACTGCTTCTATCAGTACCTGAAGGTAAAGCAAATTGAGAAATACATAATAAAACAACATCTCTTGTGTACTTATTTAAACAAAGGTTGAAGCTATCTAATAACCTTGTGTTGTATGTCAGAGTTAGGGACTTGCATCCGCCTAGCATTACCAATGCCTGGATGAGGTATATCACCATCACCACCTATCTCATTGGAAGTGTCAACAATCATAACTCTCTTCTCATAGTCATTCCCAAGCATTCGTGCTACCTCCCTGAATTAGCAATGGTGGCTACATATCAAACGAGAATTGTTCATTGGCCAAGGCTGATCTATTGTAGAAGAAGCGAACACAAACCTAATCATTGTAGTTTTTCCCACACCTGGTGGACCAATAAGCAACAAAGAGTTCCCATCTTGAACGAGATCACGCAGCAAATTGGCGCTTCCTCTAACAGATCGACCAACACGGCAAGTTAAGCCAATAATTTCCCCCTTTCGATTCCTTATGGCACTAATCCGGTGCAACGTCCGGCTGATTCCTGCTCGATTGTCATTAGTGAACTCTCCGACCTGAGAAGTTCACGGTGTTATCAAGCTGCTAAATATATATTGATGGAAGAATTCAGCGGAGAAGAACAAAAGAAGAAAAGAAAAACACTCACCAACCTGAGAGACAGCGAATTCCAGATCCTTAACCCTAACGGCGTCTTCGGAGATAACAAAATCGCCAGAAGGGAATCGCGCCAGAGGCTTACGACCTAAATCCAAAACTACCTCTATGAGTTCACTAATATTAGGGTGCTCCTCCAGTGTCCGTCGTATCTCCTCCGGTACAAGCGCCAATAGACGGCCTAATTCGTCATCGAAGTTGTCCTCGTCTTCCAATTCCGGAACTGCGACTGGAGACGAAGAGGCCGAAATAGCAACTACTCCAGGTGAAGAAGACGAAGAGGAAGAGGACGAGGACCAATTAGAAACGAGTTGGTGAGCAAACAGTAGGGACGGTCGACATCTGAGCTTGAGGATTCCTCGTTCATGGCTCAAGAGCGTTAATGGAGGAACATGATTACTCAGTGATAAGCTCAGCATATTCCTCGCCTGAATCGTCTTTTTTTTTTTTTCTGGTTCCAGAAATTTAAATATGAATGTCTGCCAACCACGTGGACGAATCATCATAGGACACGTCAGCAAAGAGGTCACATTTCGGACTTCATGATCAACAATAGGCAAATTTATTCCATCCAACAAAAAGAAAAGCAAGAGAGTTTTAATTATAGATAGAAGTGAAGCAATGATTGTCTTCATACAAAGCTACAAGGCTAGAAGTTTTATAAAAGCTTCAACTCTACTTGGAGGCTTTTACTGTGTATCCAGTGCAAGGTCACGCCAAGTTTCTCCATCTGCTTGCTGAGTTTCCTGATCTGAAACAATGGCGATGCAAGAGATCATTTAGTCACAGGAAAATAATTTCTTTGGAACTGGAAGAGCGAGTATTTTAGAAGCTCAAACTCAAACTTTCTCTGAAACAAAGCTCTCAGTGTGTCACACAAAACATATATGTGTCTGCATTGATTCCTCATGAAATTTCTTCGAGATCTCAACATGTGTGTTTAATATCATGCATCACATATATGCATCACCATTATGAATTCAAGCTAGCACTTTTAAGAGACGGCTATGTTCCAAAGACTTGGAGCTATCGAATCAAAAAGCCATGTAATAAAGCAAGCAAACAAACAAATGAACATACTGGTTTCTTCAGTATCATCAGTCCTAACAGCAAGCACTGGAGGCAATGGGAGATCTGCAAACAATAAACACAACGAATGATCTGATGAAATGGGATTTTGGGGAAATACAGGGGTTCTTGAAGTGTGATATGGAAGGTAGAAATGGTTACCATCATCAGGCAGAGTGTCCCTCATCCACTCCTCGTCCACAATGTCTATAAGCATACCAAGACTTACTTCTGCCATTTGAATCCCTCAGGTTACTATGAAAACCATTCAAAATCAAATGATAAGTAACAACAAAGACATATATTATAACGGGGAAGAAAATTGGATTGTTGAAGTACACAGTAACTTGTTGGTTCTGCGAGAGAACTTAAGACATTTCCTAAGAAAGGATCCAATTCAATTGCTTCCGTTGTTCAATAGCCAAAAAATTGAACAGAATTGGGACTTTTTGATATCCCATTGTTATTTTTTGAAGATGTAACTGTATCTAATTGAGAGAATATTGTTCATAACATTTGCATGAATTTTTGAAACAATCTACAGATAGTTTCGTCGGAGATAGAAAAAGATTAGGGTTCTATCGATGAAATTCGTCTAGCAGGTGGTGAGAAATCTAGGAAAGAGAACCCGGTATGAAATTATAACCAAAATTCAAAGCTAATCTTTGAAGAAACACATGATTCTCTATAGAAAAAGACCTTACTTGAACTGAATTAGTCAAAAAAGTTGCAAGAGGATTCACCTGGATGAGACGATGGAACGAGAAAATCCAGAGAAAAGCAGCAGAGCACACTGTTATTGAATTTTGAGTTTTTATTATTTTTTTATATACTTTTAGTAATATGAGTTACCTTCTAGTTTAGCCAGAGGTTTCTAAAGCCTTTCGCTTTAGGGTATCTCATTACACGGTTCAGAGCTAAGCCGGCCACAACAGCGACCGACTTCTCTGCCCGCCGATTGCCGTATCGTTTCAGGTGCCTTCTTCTTCTTCCTCTTCAATTTCAGATTTTCAACTGGAGATGTAGTTTGATCAAAAGTTGGGTACTTTTAATGATGCCAAAATGAATTTTCTTCGATCCAGTAAAGTAATTTAGTGATTTTCGTTTCCTCTGACGCGATTCATGTGTACCTAGTCTGCAAACAGAGTTTAAATTAAATTGATGACGAGGGTTTCAGTAGGAATTTAAGAGCTTTTTGTTGACTTCAGTTTGTAAATTGATATAATCGTCTAACCAGTGTACTAATTCTGAGATTTTTTTCTATTTCATTGATGCATTGATCAGGTGTCTCAAGTAAAGCAATGAGTTCTTCACCGTCGTTGGAGATTCTAGGTAGATATCTCTGAAACTCCATTTTTGTATATTCTGGTGTTATGTTATATTTCTCTTTCTCTAAAGTCACCTTTTTTTGCAGTTAGAGAAGCTGAAGGTTTCTCTGTGTGGAATGGCCCTCCATTCAGCAATGGTCAACCCAGTCTCAAGCTTGAACGAGTTTCATGCTCCAACACGAAGTTCAGCTTAGATGGATCGAAGTTTATGGCAATGAAACCAGATGGAATCATCAGTATCTATGATTCCACTAGCTTGAGAGAAGTGAGGTCATTCACAATAGCAAATGTTACGGCTGCTGAGCTATCTCCGTGCGGGACTTATCTGCAGACCTTTCAGAAACCCTCTACTCCGCAGGAGAAGAACGTCTCTCTTTGGAATACTGAGACAGGAGATCTAGCACACGGTCATTACCAAAAATCCATTACTAAAACTACATGGTAAGCTGGTCTTAGTGCTTAGTTATGTTGTGCGTGGAAATAGATAGTCTTTGTGCTTATTACACTGCTTTTATGATACGGAATATTTCTGTGGTTGCTGTGTAGGCCATCAATTCGCTTCTGTCCTGATGAATCTTCCGCGTGCCGTTTAGCTACAAATGATGTCCAATTCTTTGACCCGAAAGATTTCTCAAAAGGAATAACATCTCGGATCAGAGTTCCTGGCGTAGCGGCATTTGAGCTTTCTAAAACCCCAGCTTCCCATGTTGCTGTGTTTGTTCCAGAAGTAAAGGTGCTTTTTCATTGCTTGGGCTATCATAGTCTGTGTTACTTAATAGTAAAACACACAACTTTTCCATGATCTGTTAATTTTGTTTTCATTTTATAAGCTGCCACCGTCATTTGTGTAATTGTTTCTTCTATGGATAAGCTATTCTGACATCTTGATACCTACATGTATAGGGGAGTCCAGGCAGTGTCCAGATATTTGAATGTGGGAAAGATTCACAGAGTCAGCCACTTGCTCGACGTAGCTTCTTCCGATGTTCCTCTGTGCAGTTTAGTTGGAATCATGGTTCCACTGGACTCTTAGTGGTTGTACAATCAGATGTTGACAAGACCAACCAAAGTTATTATGGGGAAACAAAGCTACACTACCTTACAGTAGATGGCACACACGAAGGCCTAGTTCCATTACGTACGTCCTAAGCTTTTATGTATTCGCTCTTGTGATTTTTGAAAGTACTGACTCTTTGGTGCTTTGACAGGTAAAGAAGGACCAGTTCATGATGTTCAGTGGTCCTTCTCGGGTTCAGAGTTTGCCGTTGTATATGGCTGTATCCTTTTTCAACTCTGTTATGACGACTTATCTGTATGAGTTTATTCGCATCTATATGTTGCTTCTGGTAATTGTTTCTTTAAATTTTGTTTTTCCTTAAGTGTGACTTCAGTTATGCCTGCTTGTGTGACAATCTTTGACAAGAAGTGCAAACCCTTGATGGAACTTGGCGAAGGTCCTTATAACACTCTTCGCTGGAACCCTAAAGGGAGACGTATGATTCTCTAGTCCATCCCTGTTCTCTTTTGTCTTCTCGTTTTTGTTTCTTTCTTAAATAGAAGCTTTGAGTTCATACATGCATTTTTAACTTTGACTTGATGTTCCACAGTTTTATGTGTGGCTGGATTCGGTAACTTACCTGGTGATATGGTAAATGACAATCCACCTTGTGTTCTTCGCAATTTTCGTTTTCCGGTTAACAATTAGTCAGCATTTACATTATACTATCGAAATGATCATCTCTAAATGGTTACTCCGTTGAAATAATTATGAATCACAGGCGTTTTGGGATATTGCCAACAAGAAGCAGCTAGGAAGTAACAAAGCCGAGTGGTCTGTAACAAGTGAATGGTCTCCAGATGGGCTTTATTTCCTGACTGCCTCAACAGCACCAAGACGTCAAATAGACAACGGGTATGTTAAAACTTCTTGCCACATTGTTATGATTCTGTTTGGTATCTGATTCTGTTTTAGTTATGATTCACCAAGCTGCTAAAGCGGTGAAATGAGGCAGCAACAAGCCACTACCTTGGATCCTTTTATCCTACTTTTTTTCTTTTGTAGCTAAATAGAATTGCGATTTCTCATCAATTTTGGACTGTTTGTAATATATGTCGTCTTTCTTTTGACTGAAGGCTTAAAATATTCAACTACGACGGAAAACGTTATTTCAAGAAGAATTTTGAGAGGCTGTACCAGGTTTGTCTCTTTAACAGCTTTGAAAAGGATAATTACAAATTGTCTTACTGATGTGCCATGTTTGTTTTACGGACAGGCTGAATGGAAACCAGAGTCTCCAGACAGGTTCGGTGAGATCAGTGAACTTATCAAGTCAGTTGAATCATTGAAACTCGAAGCGGGCAAATCGCAAGGTCTGGCTGAATCTCATGTTACAACACTTGAAACCTGTGTCTGATAGTGACAAAGCCTTGTAAACTTATCGTGTTCATAATAAACTCTTCTACTTATCCATCTTAGGACAAGGATCAACTCAGAAGAAAGCTGTTGCTCCTACCACTATACAAAAACCCGCTGCATATCGACCTCCGCATGCTAAGCACGCAGCTGCCATTCAAGCCGAGGTACTCTTAATAACTTCTATGATATCACACTGATACTAAACATCGATGTGCTCTGGTCTTCGACTTGGTTCTATGAGAACGTCTCTGATAGTTTCATGATTTGTTAATTGCAGTTGCTCGGAGGAAACCCAGAAGGGTAAGTCTCTATCTTGCAATACGTACATACTTCTTGATAATATCATTCTTGCGTTGATGGATGATCTGATGTTAATACAGAGAGATGAGCAAGGCCGCTCTTAGAAACAAGAAGAAGAGGGAGAAGAAGAAAGCGGCCGCGGCCGAGGCTGCTGCAGCTTCTGGGGCTAACAACGCCTGATTGTATTAAGTCACAATCCCAGATGCTATCAAATTGAATGGAGATTACAGTTTTGAGATTATCAGATTGGTAATAAAGATTCTATAGAAGTGGCAGAAACCGTTATGTAAACCGCTATTTTTTTGTTCAAAAGGTTTTTGATATCAATACATATAGCCAACGGTCATGTTTTTCATATAGTGTGATAGTAAAACTCCGATTAATCTGCGTTAAACCACATAATCTTGTCTGTTTTCCCAACTCTAGAAAATTCCTTCTTGTTTACATACATGGCACACATGCATGCATAGACAACACAACACATACACGCACATAAACACGTACGCGACGACATGTAATTTATATATCTCGAACCTTTTAAGGTTGGTCCAAAAACTTACCAAGAAGAGATAAGGAGACAGAGGGAATTAATGATAAAAACGAACACGAATTCTTAAGAAAACGAAGATTGAAGTCACGGTTAAGTAAAATGCATGCAAATTAAAGCTACGTGTCCATCTCAAGACACTCAAGTCTCACATCTGTCCCTCTTTACTTCGACTTCGCTTATTTTTGGCTTCTTTTAAAACTCTCTCTGTCTTCCCACTTCTATCTTTCTTCTCAAGCATCCATTTCAATTCGGAGTGTTTGATTATAATGGCAACATCAGCTCGTAGAGCGTACGGTTTCGGTAGAGCCGACGAGGCTACACACCCTGACTCCATTAGAGCAACTCTAGCTGAGTTCCTCTCCACTTTTGTCTTCGTCTTCGCAGCTGAAGGCTCTATCCTCTCTCTCGGTTCGCACACGCACCGTTCTGGTTCTATCTTGAATATGTGATGATGTATATGACTTGTGAGTTGCGTTTACATTTTTCTTCTGTGTGTTTCTTAGATAAGTTGTATTGGGATCACGCGGCTCATGCGGGAACAAACACACCAGGAGGACTGGTACTAGTCGCGTTAGCTCATGCGTTTGCTCTGTTCGCTGCTGTTTCAGCAGCCATCAATGTCTCTGGTGGACACGTTAATCCGGCAGTCACTTTTGGTGCTCTTATAGGAGGCAGACTCTCTGCGATCCGTGCCATCTACTACTGGATAGCTCAGCTTCTAGGAGCCATCCTCGCTTGTCTCTTGTTGAGGCTCTCAACAAACGGCTTGGTAACACTAATCAACATCATAAATATATAGATGCGAGCTAGTGTTTTGGATTGGGATCTTTTAGGTATCTTACATCTGAAATAAGAAGGGAACTAGCTAGAATTATATATAAGAGACATGAGTCTCAACAAGCCATTGACAACTAGTTTTGATTGAATGGAAGTCTATTTCAGTGAATAACGACTTACAAGAGTTTGTGTTCATGCAGAGACCAGTGGGTTTCCGTCTAGCATCAGGTGTTGGAGCGGTTAACGGACTCGTGTTAGAGATCATTTTAACATTTGGCTTAGTCTACGTTGTCTACTCGACTTTGATTGATCCAAAACGTGGAAGCCTTGGGATTATAGCGCCGCTTGCGATCGGACTCATAGTTGGAGCAAACACGTTAGTGGGTGGACCGTTCTCTGGTGCATCCATGAATCCAGCTAGAGCCTTTGGCCCAGCATTGGTTGGATGGAGATGGCATGACCATTGGATCTATTGGGTTGGACCATTCATCGGTGGTGCTCTAGCCGCCCTTATATATGAGTATATGGTCATACCTAGTGAGCCTCCTACGCACCACACCCACCAGCCATTGGCTCCTGAAGATTACTAGATGGGTCTTTCTTCATGTCACTGGTTCTGATCTTGTTCTGTCTCAATCTCTTTGTTTGTATGAAATCACTTTGCATAAAATCACTTTTTTCGATGCAACTCTTTGTTTGTAATAACAATAATAAATAATAAAGAAATATTTCGTAATGAGTTCTTTTGATATTTTTACCAAACATATGAACACAGGTAACAATCTCCTAATCTGATTCTCCATATCAGCTTTTTTGTGTCTGAAACCTGGAAAAAAAAGAAACTAAATTTTCTTGATCTATACCCTTGAGTGTCAAGGTCCTCTCATCTTTTCAACAATCTGTCTACTTCTTTCCTCCACGTGACGCTTCTTCTCTTCAAACTTCTCTCCAACTTTCTTCCTAAAATCAAACATCCTCTCTTTTGTTCCCATTTTCTTTCCCTTCGAATTCGAATCATCCTCTTCACTTGAAACAATCGACCTGGACGATGATGACTGAACACTATCCGGAATAATCTCCCCACGATTGCCTCCTCGTGCTATCGTCTCCTGCTTTTCGCTGCTTTCCAGCAGCGGAGTCTTGAGTTCTTCCAAGGATTGCTCACTCTCTACTATAAAAGCTTCGGAATTAGCTGCTGATGGTGCAGCCACAGGTTCATTCTCAATTCTTGGCTTCTCGGGAACGTTGGCAAGTTTCTGCAATTGTTCAGAATTCGGGGGCTTGTCAACTTTAGATTTCGCTTCTGCGGCTTCGAAGCTGTCGTGATCACTAGTCAAGTCTTGATTCAGCCAAATGAATGGAGCGACTTTGCGTTGGACCCAATCATCCTTTTCAGCTATCATCCAAGGAATGGTTACGCTTTCGCAGTTCGGGAGCACCATGACCTCTCGTATCCCCGTCTGCAGAGAATGAGTCTGTGTCTTATATCTAGTTCAAATTCACTAACAAACAAAAGCAGGGCAAGTGTTTACCTTAAACCGGTTGATCAAGAACGTAGCAACCTGGCTGTTTGAGATTTTGTGTTCACCAACAGATGAGACAAGGGCGAATTCAATATCGGGATTGCTTGTGAAGCCAAACCATAGTTGATCAGATGGAGGCGGCTTCATGTGTACACGCAGTGTCCCTCGAAGCGAAGTAACTCCTATTGACAAACTAATTGAAACCTGCAGTTTACAAACAGAGACAATTCAAGATACAACAAGAGCTATGAAAAAGGAGCACCCTTTCAGAGCTATTAATCACACCAGATCCGAAATAGTGAAGCTTAAACACTGGAGACCAAAGAACGCGTCAAGCAACGAAAACTGTCTTGTAGACATAACAGAAGAACGAAGAATTAACCTGGGAAACTTGCTCAACGATGTTCTTCAGAATAGACTTCCACTTGGATCCATTGTTCGAACCTGATTTTGTGCTTTTTGATCCCTTAGATTCATCTGCGTCAAATAAAAAAATGTAGTTTATCATCCTTGCCTCCTTGGTATAAATGCTTCTACGCAGCATGCAAGATCACATAATTAGATGAATACACAAACCATCAGCAGAATACCGTACTGACCAGCTTTATCGCTTCCTCCAGTTTTCACATCTTGTGCATCAACAGTTCCTCCTGGCTGGGGGTCAGTTAATTGCTTTTCAAAATCCGCAAGACCTTCAAGTAGATCTGGAGGAACATCCCCAGCAGAATTTGGCTGCAATTTTCCTTCAGCTATGCCTTTCTGCAGATCTTCCTCTCTGGCATCAACCCGAGTTTCAACTTCAAGTCCCGCACCGCCACTGTATTCAATATCTAATTCGAACGCCCACACACCATTCATCTGCAATGGAAGAATCCTTATACCATGTATATAAGGTGGGAGATTTCCAATGTTTACATCACAGCAGATTAAATCGCCTATGTAGCTGGGAAGTCTCATGTTGGACACCACCCGCTGTTCAACCAAAAAAAAAGGTTAGATTTATTATTAAAAAAAAAAGGGGTTAGATTAAAGCATAAACGCAACCAAATCCTGATTCAGTGAAAGCTTTCATATTCATAGAACAGACCTGGATTCGTTCCTGCACTTGATTCTTTATCCCTGTGTTCTGTTTGACATCAAAAAACAGCCTAGAAATTAGTAAGTTCCACGCCAATGTTCCTTCATCAGCAAAAAACTTGTCTTCTGAGTCTACATCCGAAACATGACTGCCATGGCTCCAAGTACGTGAGAAAACTTGCACATCGGTTTCCTCAGGGATGTTATCTCTCATCATTCTTGCTGGTGTGCTCCTTCCAGAGCTACCGGTAGACTGTGAATCTTGGTAAGGACGGGTTGAAGTCTTCTTGTCTTCACGGTTCGAAGGGGCCGTATTCACTTTAGTTGAATACTTTTTTGAAAACTTCTTCCAGAGTGAACGAACTTTTGATGAGGGACCATCCGTTTTAAGCCCCTTGTCCAATGACTCAAAACTAAACTCAGCTGATGGTTTCATAAACGAAGGATATGCAACATTAAGGGAAGACATGTAGTTTCGAAAATCGTCTTTCAATTTGGTGAGCCAGATAGACCTTTCCTGATCCATGCAAGCAGCAAGACGAAGTGCTTTACACCATGACTCCTTCTCCCAAGAAGTCTCGAGATAGATGTAAAACACCCGGTTTCCCTTGTACAACTCTGAAGTTTTGCTCTCTACTTGGATAGGAAATCTTTTAGCCCTAAGAAAAGATTAAAACAAATGGGTAAGAAGAAACTCAACGACAATTTTCGAAAACGGATTAGTGAAATTAACCTTAAAAGATCAAGTACCATTTCCTTGTCGGGAGTTCAGACCCTGAAACAGCATCAACCGAGCAACCTTTCAAAGTAATAATAGTCTGAGTGTTATTTGTCTCTGATAAGATCAGCTTATGGTCTTTGATGCGAGCAAATTTCCTAACTGGATGTACATCCAAGAGGTCTTTCTTCTTTTTTTGCTCTTTTGGTAGCTTTTCCTTCATCCATTCCTTTAAACTTTCATCCAACTCCAAAACCCAAATCACTCCCTAAGATATAGATCAAATGAATGATATCAAAAAGCTTTGATCACAGAGATCTAGAAATGAAGAAACTGATCAGGATTACCACCAAAGCAAAGACACATTTCTTCAGTGGAAGCTCGATTAAACAACGAAATCAAAAATTAGGGATTCTCTACTTCAACGTAAGATACTCAATCCTCGAAACTAGACAACAATTGACGGGTTTCGTAGAGGTTTCCAATGCAGGAAACACAATGTTCACTAAGGAACTAGCGAGAAAGCAGAAAACCTTTAAACAAAACCCAGGAGGCATAAGATCGATCACCTGTTTGTTGAGACTGAGAGCACTGGACTGGGGAGGATCAAACTCCGTGAGTGCTGGATCAGAACCCGTACTCGATTCCTGGCGATTTCTCTTCCGATTCAATCGATTCAGAAGATACAAAAACCCCGCTAATTCCGCCGTCACGATGGTAAGAATCCCCAGCAAAAATCCGGTAACGAAGACGAAAATCGCAAAGGAAACCATCTCCGGGAAGCCAACAAGTTTATCGATTTCCAGTTATCGGAGAAGATTTCTTGCCAAGGAATCAAGAAGAGAAGAAGACGCGTAACGGTGTGTAGTTCATGGTCACTTGAGAAACGAGGAGAGAAAGGAAAAGTGAACCAATCGGATAATTGATAGATACTCGCAATTCCAGCCAAATATTTTGATTTTTTTTAATTAAAAAAACACCACTATTAAATGAGTATATCCTGCTTAGAAAGGAAAAGAAAAGAAAAGAAAAATTAAAATCCTGTTTGAGAAAATTTTGACCCAACTGGAAAAAAATCATATTTCAAATATATATATTTAGGTGAAGTAGAGAATTTTTTGTTTACTGATTTCAGTTTTAGGTTTTTTTTTGGGTCAGAGTTTCAGTTTTATTTATTTTACAAAAAATTAGTATTGATTTTCAGATTTATTTTATGTTTTTTTGTCGTCAGAATTAGTTTATGTTATTTATTTTAATTGGGCAATAGTTTAGTTTTTGCTACCTATAATATATGAAAATCTACATAGAGGGTGTTATTCAATCATGAATTTGAAATGAATTTTCTATGTTTTATAATCTTCTAGATTTAAAAATTGATATCAGTTTGATGGATTCATTTGTTTAGATTCTAAAATCTCTGCAATATACACTGGATTTTGATTCTAATAATTTACTCATAAAACTCTATTAGAATTGATTTGAAATGACTTAATGTACAAAAATTTAAAAATTATTTAGTTTTGAATAACACTGGATTTTAATGAAAGATTTGAAATCTTTATTGAATAACACCAAACTTTAAAACCTTTTAAATATGATTTACAAAAGAACCAATAACACTTGATTTTAAAACATTATTTAGAATCATTAGTTGAATAATAGTGGATTGTGGTTGGATTTAAATTCTATTAAAAACCATGATTGAATAACACCCCCATAAACTCATTTGAAATCTTTTAACATAAAAATTTCACATTTGTTTTACATGAAAATTCTAAATAAAAAGGTAAAGAGAATAAAATGGAAAAAGCATGTCACTTTGAAGGAGATTGCGTCATGGAAATCATTTTATGCAATCCGTCTGAATATTTTGACAAGTGATTCGATGTTTTTAAAAGTTTTAAACACTCTCTCATTCAAGCTTCCTCCTCTATATGAATGAGAGAGATGAATTTAACACTGTCACTAAAGGAACACATGTATCATGCATACAAATCCACCCTAAACCTGAAAAAAGTTCTGTATCTTTCTAAGATTCGTCACATAAACATCTAATTTTCATCTCATTAACTGACTGAGACAGAGTATTTACGCATGCTACCGAACTAACTATACTACTGATATACATAATCAAAAACATAAGGGTTTGAAATGTATTTTTAAATAGATGGCTACAGATACGACACCAATCAAAACTAAAGTCATCAACAAAATAACATAACCACTTTGTTGGTACCAAAAACATATTTCTATAATTTATATATTATTTACCACTAAGAAATGCTCTACATCCATAGGGACAAATCCATATCATGAGAATCCTTTTTAAAAAATAACAGTCATACAAATTTATATCATTATACAAGAAATCAGAGGCTATCTCAAATTTTGTTTAAGAGTAAACACTTTTTTACCGGTTTTTCAACAATAATATATCACCGACTATTTATGGCCAGTCTATTAGCAGACTTAAACCAAACAACTTCTCTTATAATATTGGACTCTCTAGGTAACTTTGTTGAACTAGAAAGTTTGACTGTTTCGGTCTGATCTATGTCTTTGAAGTTCCAATTTGACTCAAGTCTTCATTCGTTGAAGAATAAGTCAGAATATATCAATTCTTGAATCAAGTTCAATTAGCTGATGAGAGCACGTAGAAAAAAAGTATCCAAATAATGTAACTACACATGGGAAAGAACAAAAAAATCATCATCGCACATTGAACACTAATTAAAAAATCTAGAAAACAAACAAAAGCACATATCAAATCTACCAAAAAGTGTATTCTTCTTCCTCTCTTACCGACATACAAGAAAGACAGATTTTTTATATATTTGGAAAGAAAAGTACATAACAGAGTCCTCTGTTCACAGCTCCATTAAGAAAAGGGAAAAAACAGACAGAAACAAAGAAAATAGAGAAGTACAAGAGTAAGGAACTTCATTTACATGGTCTCACTCAAGAAAAAACTTTCTTGTTTTCTCATCACCTTAACACCAAAACAAAAAGAAAAGAAAAAAAAAAAACTTATGTTTTCTTCTTAGTAACTTCCATGGCTTGCAAAAGGAGAGAAAACTCCAGGATGGCAGTTGCTACCTAAAACAACACAACGAGCCAGAAAGAGGAGGGAGCTTGAAACAACAAAGAACAAGTTCAGGGTTAAGAGTTTTTCAAGGTTTGGAGACAGGGCAAGTAAGAGGACCCGATTGATCTTAGAAGCTCGGGTTTACGAAGTAGTTAAAGTCATGGTGATCAACATTTAGCTGTTTCAGCCATGAATCCGCAGCGCTCAGAAGATAAACCAACCGATCCTGGTCAAATCCTGTCTTTCCCCAAAGATCTCCTTGCATTTTGTAAGTAGCTACACCAAATGGAGGCAATGGGATTCTCTTGTTTATAATGGGTTCCTCCTCACAACACAATGTTCCTGCTCTGCATTTGTTGTTGCTATGATCTCCTTCCACCACATTATCTGCAGCTTTCAAACACCGTTAAAAACAAAACACAAATGGTGCTTGCTTCTACCTCACTGAGATATGGTTTCTAGGAAAACTACTGATCATACATACCTTGAAAAGACGAAGATAAAGTATGATAAGTTAGGAAGCATGTAGTCAAATCTTTCTCGTTCTTGCAGGCTGGGATGTGATAAATCGGGTACCTAATTCATCAAGTCATTACACTTGTCAATGCAAATGTTGACGACGCAAAACATAAACTAAATGCATACACAAAAGATATATCTTAACCAAAACATGAAGAGTTTGTATTAACAAACGACTAATGACTTACCACGCAACAGCCATCCAACTAGCAGGAGACAAGTCGACACTTCTTAAGGTCATGAGTCCCGGAAATTTCTCCGCCAATTCGTTTATCTGGAGAAGAATCAAGTACAGTATCTTTGCTTCAAAACTAAAGCTCATAAGAAGAGAGGAGAGTGCATTTACTAAGATATGAAGGAAGAGTAGGTAACCTTGTCGGTTAATGGAACCCGCTTGTAGGGAGGATCTCTTTCGATGTACTTAAAGTCAAGGAAACCAAGTTTATCTCGCAGAAGTAGAGTACCATCCGCATCAAACACCGAATCTTCAGAGACAGCATCCCATGTTTTGCTAGAATCATTGCTCATTGACCTTGACAACAACTTCTCGCTCTCACTATCGCTCCAACAATCGCTACTCTCAGATTCAGCCGCCTCATTCTGGTTCCTGAAACACCAAAAGCAGTCAGCACAGAAACAAGAAACCCTGCGCATCAGACATTTAGAGACCTCTGCCCTAAACACATCCATTGTCAAACAAACCACAAAGACAACAGATGGTTAATGAATGTTTTAGAATCAAAATTGGATAAGTAACCTGGAAATCACAGCGTGTTTGTTAGTGTGGATTTGGATGGCAGATAGATAGGGGACATAATATTGCATAACGGTTTCTCCATTGTTTAAATCAACCTGTGATCCAAAGCCATACGCGCTCAGCTCATCGTAACAGTCCCAGAGATCACCAAGCCTGAAAAACTCCATCTCCTCCTTTCCCTGCTGCTGCCACAAATAGTTAAGATCACTCACACAGCTCCGCAAACAGCACTTAGAATCCAATGTTTTAGCAGCTTATATAATGTCATTTAACTCCTAATTACCCCCAAAAGTAACTGTTGTTAAGCTGTTCAGATCGTTTCAAGCAGCTCTGCAACAACATGATCTTAAGTTTTAAGACCAAACATGGTCTTTGTGCAAAACTATAGATTAACATGTATTGAGCAAATAAAGCTCTTAATCCATAATCGCAGACATAAACCATGATTACTGAGCAAATATACAGCCCTCTAATGATACAGACAGATCCAGATGATTCAACCTAACCTCAGTACTTAGCAATTGGATTATTGAATATAATAATATTTATATTCAGTACAAGCAATTCTGTCGCACGTTTCCACGTGGTAATATATAATCCATGAAATGATGTGACCATTAAAAAGATAGATTTCTCAGATTAATTTTTCCGTGATGGTCCATGGACCATGCAATTATTGTCCTTATTGCCAATTTCATCTGAAAACACACCAAATCATTAAAATATTGCAAGTTCTAGGTTGTCTGATACATCACCCTTGATTAAAAATTAAAGACCTTTTTGCAAAATAATCTGTTGGTTAGAGACGAGATTTGAGGAGAAAACAATTCAAATAGCTTTTTAAAAAAAAAACGATTATCTGAGAATTAAGACCATAATTATCCCCAAATCCAGGATTTCAAAGAGAAGAAGAAGAGGAAAAAAAGTACCTGAGGAAGAGAGAATGAAGGAGGTTTAGGAGTGACTCCTAAGAGAAATCTCTCTAGATTCGAACGGCCTTTTGTTGAAGAACACCACCACCACATTCTCTTCTTCTTCTTCTTCTTCTTCTTCTTTCTGATTTCAGATCTTTATCCGTATACTCGAGTCTACGAAATTGAACACAAAGTTTGGAAATTTAATAATTTCTGGTCTTCTCTCATTAATAGCAACACTTAATCCCAATATGGTAGCTTTCTAATTCCCAACATAACTCTCTTTCCTTTTAATCCCTTCTGTGAATCCCAACACCAGATTCTTCCCCAAAAACTTCTTTTAAGTACCCTCTTAAAAAAAAACACCCCACCAAAGAATGGAACAGAGTCTGGGTATTTCAAAAACAAAAAAATCCAAACTTTCGATTAAGCCTTTAAAGAAAATGAGGAATCAGAAACTGGGTTTTTTCTGGAAATTTGGTCAAAATTTACTCTTTTAAATTTCGTGAAATCGTCAGCTGAAAATGGGGGATATATAAACTGAAGTAGAAAGATGAATAGAGCTTTCTGAGTAGGATTGCTTTGTATTAATGGAAGAAGAAAACGAAGAGGACGAAACGCTTCTCACTTTCTCTCTCTTTCACTCACTCTGATCCTTTTTATTTAGTATGTAATTAATTTCCCCCTTATTATTTCTAAAAACCCAACCCCCCCAGTGTGTATGAAACTGAAGACTTTTGTTGATCTTCTTTTCTTTTTTTGTTTCTTCTAACGATTAAAATAATAAATTAAATATCTAGCTAGAATTAAAAAGAAGATTGCGATATTTATTATACAAATAATTAATCTTTATATATTACTATACCAAAAGTTTACAAAATGTAGACATGATTACGTCGTTACAACACCAAAATCCCAGTCACGTTGCAAAAGAGAAAAAAAGTATATTTTTCGTTTTATTTGTCTATATTGAAATATGCTCATAACCTTCTGCATCTATATGTTTCTTTTCGAAGATAATTAACTAAAAATGGATTAAATGTAACTTTGGAGATCACGAGGACGTTAGACATAACAACTAAATTTACTATTTTTATTAGAATTAAAGCCATAAATAAGATTTTTATGTTTTCTCGTAAGTTTTATTCTTGACGTAAAATATCAGTGTTTTTTTATGAATCAATGTTCTTGTTAAGAAACTGTAAAGACACAAATCTAAAAACGGAAAGAGATTATAATATGCTGTTTGGTCTCTGCTCTTTTTCAACAAATGTTAATGATTAATTGAGGTAGAGAGTTTAAAGAGAGTTATAGCCTTATAGGTGGTTAATAGCTATAGGTAACTCTTTACAGTTTACACTGAAAGAAATTAGAGTTTCTGAAGCTCCTAGTCAATAAAATCAATACTGGTAAAAAATCACTTAAGTATTACTCAAACGTACCAAAAACAAATATCCAAAAAATCTGAAAATTCCATTCCATTAGCTAACCCTCGTGGTTGATAAGTAATAATAACTCGACCACCGATTTTTTTTTTGTTTGTATGTTAACGATAGCAGGATGAATTATTAAAACACAAATTATATTTTTTGAACATGTGGAATATCATAACTTTCCAACGACTAAGCTCTAATTGTTGCCCAAAAAAAAGCTCTAATTTATACGAGAACATCTAGCGCTCCATGTCATTGAACATGAAATATGTGTATCATATAGGACGCAACACTTCTCGACACAGTACAAAATGTTGTCATTGTTATCATGATTTATCATGCAAGATTGTTTGGATAATGTATTGTAGGATTGTTCGCATCAATGTGGCTTTTGCAGAAAATCGACAAATGGCTGACCCAGCTAGCTATATATCTAAATTCTGGACATGTATACTCTTACTCCCATACTACAAATTAAAAAAATATATATATAGTATATGATGAGATAGAGCAAATTAAACGACTTGAAAAGTCTATTTCTTCAAGATCATGTGACACTGATCCTCGTCTTTTCTAAAGTGCATGTTTATTTACATTCATGAGGTGGACAATCTTCAACTATTTTAAGAAGCAACAGCAGAATAACAATATCGAAAAATATGCACAAATATCTACGATAGCTAATAGGTGAGAAGCTAAATGGAGATTTGTAATTATAAAAATCGACCTCAAAAAAAAAAAACCGCCTCTTCCTAGATCTACATGAAAATTCTCACAACCAAAATTCCACCATTGAACCACTACGTTGTTGTTCACAAATAATTTATACAATAAAAAATCTAACTTTAGTAATAAATACTTTGCATCGAATTTTAAAACCCAAAACTTCCTTTATCGAATATCTCCGAATAGTCAAAAACCCAGTTTTATTTTTAGCAGTCAAAACATAACAATAGTTAAATTTTTTAGAATTTTTGTACTATATTAGATCTCTTAAAAATCTATTGCTTTTTTTTCTAACTGTGTTCTATCTACAAATTTGATTAATTTTATTTTTGAAAAAGTTAGCTATTTTATCAAGAAGTACACTAATTGTATGAAAATCAATATTATTTGAAACGTAAAATTATACCTTAAAAAATATATTTGCAAAATGGAAAGACTAATAATACATTGTTATATACGTTTTTTTTTCAGACATCATATAGAGTGTTTATCAGTTTGTTTTTATACCTATGTACTTCCGAGAATTAGCTATTATTTGACTAAAATTAAGAAAAACAACAACTATATATGACTGTGAACCAATATTGTTATTATTATTAAACCAAAAAAATATAGAGGAAAAGAGAAGAATCTGAACACTCAACACTCAAGTGTGTGCTGTCGGAGCACTGGACTTCTTGTTTGACGCGTGTTTGCCAAAACTGCGTCAGTCTCTCGCGTTTTGCATCTTTTTTTTGTGTTGTTTTTTGTTCAGATTTATTCTTGTCTTTAAAATTTGAGTTTGGCATTATCCATAGTGTAGTTAGCAAATACTAGACTCTTGTTAAGTGTGTGGTATACATTTACGTAATGGTGGTCATGAAAGTAATCGCAGATAAATAAATTAATTAAAAATAGAGCACTACGTATATAGATGTATAGCATCTAATCAAAATATTAAGGATAATGATCAAGTTGAATTCTAAAAGCGCTTAGCATTTTCTCTTCTTTTTTTTGTTTGTGAAAAGGTTTTTTCCTATCAAGGATTTGAATTAAAAGTAATGTTTCTGAAAAGAGTTTACACGTGTGGAAAGTGGACTGTTTCTTCGTTTTTTGGCTCAGGAAAGTGGTTAGTTTAGATAAAGTCACGTGCCATATAATTTGTCGTTTCCTCATCACACTACTCCGACTCGCGACGTCGCCAACGCTATGAAGTTTATTGTCCTCTAATTTATAATTTATAATGGTTGTTGTACTGTAGTGAAATTGTGATAGAGACTGATAGATAGTTATGTGTTGGACCGTGTGATGCGACGAATATGGTTTTATCTTACGGATGTGACTACCGCTAGTCAATAATCTCACTTGGGCTAAGCTCAATTCTTTAGGCCCATTTTGTTCTTTTTTCTTTTCTTTTTGGTGGGGCATGTACATATTTCTTTGTTTATATTAAAACCTTGCAAGAACATGGGCAAGAAGAACAAAGAAGAAGGGCGATACATAATCAACAAAAGGACTTGACTTCAAAGCTGTAAAACCCATTATGAGATGAGTATATATATTTTTTGCTAAAACCTTTTACTATATGCTAAACGACAAACAACAGAACAAATTGGGACATCATTTTAATCAATGATATTCAAGTCTTAGACTCACATTTATTTTGTATTCCTTCGAATGAACTCGCCCTTTTATAACAAATAATAGAGTTTATGAGCAAAGAAAGTTTGTTATGAAAGATATTTTCTGTATTTTATCAAAACTCAATGTACAATTACGTCTAGCCTAAACCAACTAAACCAGAAAAATTAAATACAACTAATCTAACCGATATTTACAATGTTGATACCCCCCTCAAGATGTGGATTCAAAGATATTTTGAAGACCCATCTTGGATATGTTTTCCCGAAATGGAGAAGGGTATAAGGTCTTTGTCAAGACATCAGCAAGTTGATTCCCTGTCTTGACGTACATAGTCTTGATTATCCCGAGATCAATTGCTTCGCGAACCTTGTGACAATCAAACTCGACGTGTTTGGTTCTTTCGTGAAAAACCGAATTGCTCGCAATGTGTAGAGCCGAGGTGTTGTCACAATACAAGTAAGCTGGAGGTGAAAAAGGCACACGCAAAGCTTTAAGAAGTTGACTAAGCCAAATCAATTCTTTAGTCGCCATACACATCGCCCTGTACTCTGCCTCCGGAGTGCTCAAAGACACAATGGTCTGTTTCTTAGACTTCCAAGAGATTAAAGAATCTCCAATGAACATTGCATAACCCGTTACTGATCGTCTCGTATCCGGGCAGGCTCCCCAATCAGAATCAGAGAAACCACGCAAATCAAAGTTAACTTCATTCCCGTAAAACAACCCTTGACCAATCGAACCTTTAAGGTATCTCAAAACCTTATGAGCTGCTTGAAGATGAGTATTCCTCGGAGCTGAAGAATATTGAGCAAGCTTCGACACAGCAAATGTAATATCTGGTCTAGTGATTGTAAGATACTGAAATTTACCAATCAGTCTGCGATATTGTTTGATATCAGTAAGCACTTCACCATCATCTTTTGATAACTTCTGGTTGGGCTCCATGGGAATTGAAGATGGCTTACAGTCCGAGAATCCAGTAGACTCCAACAAATCCAAAATGTACTTCCGTTGGTTTAAAGCGATACCTGCATCCGATCTAGCAATCTCAATGCCAAGGAAGAATTTAGGAGGACCTAGATCTCGGAGCTGAAATGCAGAAGCTAACTGATGTTTCAAGACAATAACAGCATCATCATTGGTACTGGCAATCAATATGTCATCGACATATACCAATACCACCAAGAACGAATCATTGGCTTCTTTCACAAACAAAGTGTGATCACCATGACATTTCTCAAATCCTAGATTTCCCAAGGTTGTAGAGAACTTAATGAACCATTGTCGTGATGCTTGCTTCAATCCATAGATGGATTTATGCAACCGACAAACTGAATTTGGTGAGACTTCAACACCTTGAATCTCAGAATATCCAGGGGGCAACTTCATATATATTTCTTCATCCAGGTCTCCATTCAAGAAAGCATTGGAGACATCAAGCTGATGCATAGACCATCTTAATTTGGAAGCCAAAGCAAGAATAAGCTTCACAGTAGTCATCTTTGCAACTGGTGAAAAAGTATCAATGAAGTCTATTCCTTCCTGTTGAGTATACCCCTTTGCAACTAAGCGGGCTTTATATCTCTCGATGCTGCCATCTGCGTTGTATTTTATAGTGAATACCCACTTACAGCCTACAGATGTTTTCTCTGAAGGCAAATCACAGACACTCCAGGTACCTGTTCGAACAAAAGCACCAATCTCCAATTTACAAGCATCATTCCATACCTTGTCCTTCCGAGCTTCAGAATATTTTTGTGGTAATGGTGTTTTAGTGATGATGTTAATGAAAGCACGGAAAGGCTCAGATAGATATGAGTAAGAAATATAGTTTGATAGAGGATATGGGCTAGTTGTAGTAGGAGT